TACTTTTTCTTAATAGTGAGATATCACTGAGATATTACTTCAGCTATTCTCACTTATAAAATAAGAGAAGATATTCACTTATTATCTATATAGAATAGCTAGATACTGACTTCTTATAAAAGAAGTCAGTAATTCATTTTTCTTCTACTGAAATATATATAAGAGTTACTGTATATCTTATATAATCTTCTTAGTATACTAAGTATTATATCTGTGATATTCTCACAATAACTCTGTAGTCTACAAGCTCACTATTTAAGCAAGATAGTCAAGCTTACTTATACAGCTTTTTAAATAACTATCTCTACATAACATCACTGACTAGTCACCGCTTCAGCTCCGCTATATTACAATATTACTTATATCTTATAAGTATTATACTGACTCAGATTAAGGCAGAATTTTCATTCAAGACTACAGATAAAGCTGTGAAATTCAGATAAGATATTTCTCTTATATCTCAGAGAATCTCTGATCTTAATCTCTCTATCTTTATAATAGATGTAGATGTGTAGAGACTGCAGCAGTGATAAAGCAGTTAAAGAGCTTATATCAAAATATATAGTAAGTTCAGAAATCTCAGATTTCTGTCAGAGTAAAGATGTATACACTCTAGAAAATAATGTAGAGTTTTTCTCAGAGAGTGAGATCAGATTAATCTCAGTATAAATATATAAAATTATATCAGTCTATTAGAGCTTGACTGATTTAAACTTATAATCAGATTAAGTGATTTAAATTGTAATATAATGAAACTAAAGTAATGACTAGTTAATAATATTATATAAAGATAGTTATTTAAAAAGCTGTATAAATGAGCTTAACTATCTTACTTGAATAGTGAGCTTGTAGACTACAGAATTATTATAAGAATATCACAGATATAATACTTAGTATACTAAGAAGATTATATAAGATATATAGTAACTCTTGTATATATTTCAGTAAAAGAAAAATGAATCACTGACTTCTTTAATAAGAAGTCAGTATCTAGCTATTCTATATAGATAATAAGTAGATACTCTTCTCTTATTTTATAAGTGAGAATAGCTGAAGTAATATCTCAGCAGTATCTCACTGCTAAGAAAGAGTAATCTGCTGACTTTATATAGAAATGAGATTCTTATATTCATCAATTGAATCTTTCTATAATATATTCAAATGATGTTATAGAGTGATTGAAAATCAGTTTAAACAGAATGAAATTATCCGCATGAAAGCAATAAGCCATGTGAAACCGCAATGAGGTCTTGATGCGGTCAGAAGCGTGATATAAAGACAGATTAATATTATCAGATTTCTCTGACAGTGAATCTATAAGCATTCTGACAGAGCTCTGAAAATGTGATTTAGTCACTCTTTATAAAATTAAGAGTTTACTTTTCTAATTAAAAAGATGATTTTTGAATTCTTCAATCTTTTTCTTATTTAATTATAATTATTATTATATAGTAGTTTATTATTTCTTCTCTTTTTACTCTTAGATCTTTCTTATATCTCTAAGCTTCTTTTCAATCTGCTGTTAAGTGACTCTTGCAGTCTTATTTATATCTTTTTACTACTTTATTATCTGATAAGCTATCTCTTACTTCATTCTCTTCTTTATAATATCTATCTTCTTATATCTCTTAAGAATAGTATATTACAACTTAATATTTTTCTTATAAGTTTACTCATTCTTTTTAACAGCTTTAGAAGTTATTATTTTCTCATATATAATCTATATCTTTATCAGTGAAAAAAACTGTATTAATAATAAATTTAAAGAATTTAATAATCTTATTATTCTATTATACTTGTAATATTTTCTCTTTTAATTAAGAGCTTACTGTAGCTGTCTATTCTCTATTAAAAGAATCTCTTTATTAAGAGTAAGATTTTCTTCTATATAGATTATCTGATTGAGATTACTAGATATTTAATACTACTACTAGTTTACTGATTAATTATAAAAAACAAAAATTAAAAACAATAAGTATTAAAACACGGACAGAATGAAATTAACAGTATTAATAAAATAAATATGCAGAATTTTAAAACATTAAATATAAAATATAAAGCATTAATTAATTATATATATAATAAGAAAATGAAATTAACAAATTAAATAGAAAATCTCAGCTAGTTATAGTTTTAGATAGACTAAATATCTCAGTAGCAGATCTTAATCTTGTATGATTTTAGAGTAACTTGATGATAAAGTTGTCAGGTCACGTGATCTGGCTTACTAATCCCTCCACCATATAACTTTCCACAAAGCTAGCAACCTTTCAATCACACAAGCTTTACACCTTCCACAGGTTATGAGACCCGTTTTGCGCAAAAATCGCTGCCAATTCGGGATTCCTTGTCAATATACTCATTATTTGAACTACTGCTTCATTCGATACGCCCATCAGGAGTTAAAATCGTCTTATTCTATCAGTATTGATGCGTTTGAGATCTTGATGATCAATAATACTACTGCTCGCTTAAAAAAGAGGCTTGCAGAAAACGCACCACATTTGCAAAAAAAAAAAAGCAAGAAAAAGAGAACGATATTGGCAAGGATCCAATAAACGAATATCAAGATGGCGGATTCAATACGATCTCGCCCACATACACGTTCGCGATCTCGCGTCCTTTCCACTGGATCAGTTGCAGTTGATGATGATGATGATTCTTCACACTCACGCTCTGCCAGTGGACATCCTCCTGGAGCCTTTGAAAGCTCCATTGATGAAAGCTCCATTGTCGAAACACCCTCTCGATTCGAAGCTGGTTTGAATACAGCTCCTGACACGGTCAGGCCGGCCCCCCGATCTACTCGACAGCTTGATGAAGCTGGTTCTCTTGATGAGAATATTGGACACTCAGATGTCTACCGTTCGGGCGAGGCAATATCAGACCAACAGATGGAGCATCTCAAGATGACACTTGAGATGAACAAGGGGAAGCAAAGAGTCCTAGAACTCGAACTACAACTGGAAAAACTCCGTCAACAGAGATCCTCATCCTCCACAGATCGATCACAGGATGTCAACAATCATCCTGCCACCACATCAACAGCCACATGGAATCCTAATCTCGGTGAAAGGTTGGAATTCAACCTTTATGAACCGGATAGCCGTGTTGGCAAGGCAATCTCCCAATTCAAGGAAGATGTCAAGAATACTGTGAGACCAAACAGTCTAACTGGCACATCCAATTACACCATATGGAGCATCTTCATGAAATCGAAACTGGTTGATGCACAGTGTTGGTATATGATAGAGAAACAACAGACCCAGAACCCTCTACAAAGAGATGATGAATGGGCACCATTCTGGGACGCCAGAAACCGGTGGCTCTACACATTCATCTCGAACTCCTTGGGTGCAGGTGTCAGATCACGTTTCTCCAAGTATGATGAAAATCGGATCGCTTATACTCTATGGAATGCGATCGAACAGGAATACTCTGTCCCCAAAACACAGTTACGCCGTGAGGCAGTTCTGGAATTCATGTCTCTTGGTGGCACACAGGTCACCAATCTACACACATTCTTTGATAAGTTCCGGTCCGCCATCACGAAATTGGAGATGTTGGATGCTTCCCCCCCAGATGCATGGATATTTGATACCTTCTACTCAGTTCTACCCAACAATTGGAGGAATTACGTTCAGAAGAAGATAGAGGAGATACAGGATTCCAAATCCACAGCTGTGGTATTGGATGTTGATCTTCTCATGGAGGAAATCCGTTCGCGGCTTGATCCTCCAAAAGATAAAAAGAATCTGCAGAATATAGATTCTGCGGCCAACACAGCTACGACAGCTACAACGGCCACAACGACTACCAACACCAATACATCGAATTCGGCCCGTGGAGGCCGTACTGGACGTGGTCATGGTAGTACACAAGGGGGCTCCCGAAACCATCGGGGATCGGGAAATCCACCTACATGTCCTGAATGCGAGAGATCTCACTTTGGCAACTGTTGGTTGGCCAATCCAGACAGTGCTCCAGATAATTGGAGGATCTACAACGCTGCGAGGATAAAGGAATTCAAAGAAAAGAAGGAAAAGAACAATAGTGGGGGTGGAACCCAACTATCCATTACAGATGGATCAGACACCTATCAGATGGCAAACCTCGCAGAGGTTATCAATGTGCCAGCCTGTTTTGTGGAACCCCACAAGGATCCCTCCAACGGGCGTTTATACATATCAAAAGACGTCATCTTCCAGGAGGACCTCCATCTTGCCGATCCATCGATACCGACTACTCCACACAACCCGAAGGTCCTACTCAATGCGGCCCGTAAGGCGGCTGCGGCGATTCCTTCGGCGACACCAGGCCTACCGACTGCGGCCCGTAAAGAGACTGCAGCGATTCCTGATCCATCAATTGATAATCTATTCATTGATGAGGAAATTCGACCTGAGTGTCCATTATTTCTCGTACCCACTAATAATTGGTGGATTGACTATGATATCTCCGCGAGAATACCTACCCTTTTAGTGCAGAATACACTGAACTCCCCGGAACCCACAGTTGAATCTGATGACCCTCCGACATCTACAAGGGATATCACTATAGTGGGGGAATCAACAGTGGGGGAATCTTCAGTGGGGGACAGTCTTGAAGACCTACCCACCGATCCCGAGATCGCTGCACTCCCGATCCCGAAAAACCTCACGCGCGCCAAAGCTTCCATGGAATGGAAGTATTATTACAAGGCCCGTGTTAAAGAGGTCAACCGTTTGAAATATACGCGTTGGAAAGAGAATATATAAAGAAGATAGGGGGATAGGGGGATAAAAAATGATGTATATCATGACTGGTTTTTCATTACTTCACATTTTCCAGTCATTTTTTGTACCTGTACTTGATTTGAAGGCGAATTTTGTATATAGCATCGTGTATAGTTACTCTGGTGAGTGGGGGTGTCAGGTCACGTGATCTGGCTTACTAATCCCTCCACCATATAACTTTCCACAAAGCTAGCAACCTTTCAATCACACAAGCTTTACACCTTCCACAAAAGTGAGATGAAATTGCATTGAGAAGAAGAAAAGTAAATATAATTACTATATTAAGAACAATTTCAGCTGCAGCACAGCTGGGCCAGGTGACACTAGCAGTGGCAAGAGAAAGAAGAAGTGAGCACAGCACACATGAGACAAGAGAATTATGAGGAAAGAAAGAGAAAATGAAGATGATGAAGAGAGAATGTTCAAGCAGCAGAAGAAGGGGGTTTATATAGTTCAGAAAGCAGTGATGTTTCACTAAACCTGATCAGGATAGTGCTAAACCATGTAAGGTAATTCCCCATGATACGGTATATCTAGGTACTGTACAACCTACCCAGTAATTACCAACCACTTATATCACTCATATCACTCATATCAATCATATCAATCATATCAATCATACCAAATCGCATTCATCCCAAACCCCGGCTCCGGAATGTCCAAATGCGCTACACGGGCCAGGAACTCTCCCTGCCATCGGTATATCTCCACCCACCCTTCCTGATCATCAGTCAGCGCCAGCCACTCATCGCTGAAATCGCAGGGGCTGACTGCATTCGAGTGGCCACCGCTCGTCGGCGTCGGGTTGATGAAGAGCTGCTTCTCAATATTGCCGGCAGGACCCAGGCGGAATGCGCTGATGTAGCCTGTTACGTCGAAGTGGTTAGAGCGTGCCGTTGCGAAGAGGTGGGAGCCGCTGTGGTTGGTGAAAACGATGTCTGAGCGGTATTTTTTGGATGGGTCGACACCTGTGGGTTTTAGGAGAGAAAGGGGAGGGGGTTTAGTGTAAGTAGAAGATATATATTTATAATGGTTTGTATATATTTACACATACCTGGCGGGATCAGGGGATATATCCTATGCGTAAATACAGGTGTATGCATCTTCTCATCAATCACGTACTCTGCCAATCGGTTCCCAGCCTCCATCAGCGCATACAAATATTTCCCACTGGGATGTATCTCCACCCAGCGCGGGTGGTCACCGGGCCCCGGGGCCTCAATGCTATCGACTAGAGTAAGCATACCGGTTTCCGGATCCTTTTTATGAGTCCATATTTTATTTGCGCCCATGTCTGCGGAATAGAGGTAGGTCTCTGTGGGATCAAAGACCATGCCGTGCACGCCGGAGTGCGGGTCATATTCGTAGTTTTGTATATTATTGTCGAGTTGGCCGTCCGTTGTGACGGAAAAGACGTTGCCACAGCCTGCGTAGCTGTAAAAGGGATTCCCATACACGTTGTAGGGGGGTTTCTTTGCTGCAAGAACGAAGATGGCTCTCGTGTTTGTTTCGGCTTTGGAAGCCAGAGCTATAGGAAACGAAAGTCAAAATGAGCATCTATTCTTTTTGTCCTCTCTTTTTTCCTTCTTTCACCTACTGTGCAGGTACGATTTTACGTACGGTGACCAGCTAACGGGTGTGAGATGCTATGGCTAATATCCAAGGCACTTTTGACGGAGTGCGATGACCATTTCTTCATCGACGCCCCGTATATATTCCTTTTCACGTGCTAAATATCGTGATGTCAACAACATGGCAGGCTACATATAGATATATATATATATATATATCTCTCTTAAGAAGCCTTAGAGATCTCACATCAAACGTCATCCATGAGATAGGTTCATCCTCAGGGATGCTGGTCTTCTTGACAAGCTTGAGTGTCAGGGCTTCATCGTCGAACTCAACGGTGTATATATTTCCCGGAGGAGTCCAGGTGCCAATCATTAAATGATGTTTCATGTTGTAGAATGTGCAATGCAATCAGACGGGGTATAAAATATCAGCCTGGAGAGTAAACATATATCTTCCTTAACAAGAATAATAGCAAGAGTAAGTAAGGGAGGGCTGTGATTGCCGGAGTGGTAAAACAACGATTTCACCGGTCCCCCACCAAAAGTCGGAATTTTAAAACAATTATTAGAAATTAGAGAAAAGAGCTTTAGCATAGGCCAAGCACTCTATCACAACAAATCCATGCTTGTAGCTAACTACTAATAACCCTCCCAAGCACTGTCTATGCTGACTGTTGCTGCTGACTGCGCCGCCGGCAACCGCGCTCGGTAGTTGCTGCTGAGTCAGCCGCTGCCATGTGCCAAACTGCCGGAGTCGAGTGGAAATCGCAGCAAAACAAGCAGCAACAGCCGGCGACTCAAGAGGGAATGGAACACAGTAAGACAGGATATTCAAGCGAAAAAGCTGGCGGAGATTCCAGTTTGCAGTGGCACGAGGTCTATGAAAAGTCCTGAGACCAAAACCATCACACAAAAGGGGTTTGCGTCGATTCACCTCCTCTCCGCTCCGCCTGCAAACAGCCGAGCAAACTGCCGGATGATGCATAACTACCGACTCGACTCAGGATATCCCTCCGCGCGATGTGTATAGAAAAAGTATATATATAATCATTAAACATAGCCGGTCCTTCCATGGCCACACTATTACACCAGGCGTTTATTTTCTTCTTCTTCTTCCAACTTTCTATTACATTACACACTCCTCTCAAGCAAACCCCCCAAGCACTCAGTTCTAGTCCTCTAGTACTGTACTTTACTTCACCCTCACAGCTTAACCGGCCAACATGCCCACCAAAACGAACGGCGCCAGCACAAACGGCGTCAAGGCAAACGGTGCAGACACACACACGCACACGCACAAATATGATGCCGATTTCACTCCCGCCGTAATAGACCTCATGGGCCCCAAAACAACCCCAAGAACAAGACAGGTCCTGGGCTCCCTCATCCGTCACATCCACGACTTCGCCCGTGAAGTCGACCTCACCAACGATGAATGGATCATGGGCGTGAACTTCATAAACAGCATTGGCCAGATTAGCACTCCCCAAAGAAACGAGGGACAGCGCGTTTGCGATGTCATCGGGCTGGAAACGTGAGTGTTTTCTTTTTTTCCCCTTCTTGAACAGAACATGCCGCACCAGAAAACCGATACTAACAACCAAACCAGCCTCATCGACGAAATCGCCAACAAACTCGTCCTAGAACCCGGCGACGACTCGCCCACCTCCTCCTCCATCCTGGGCCCCTTCTGGAGCCCGCACGCCCCCTTCCGCGAGCTGGGCGATAGCATCATCCGCAGCGCCCACAACGGCCAAGTCGCTCTAATGCGCGGCCAGATCACCGATATCGTCACAAAGCAGGGCATCCCCAACGCTATCTTCGACATCTGGCAAGCCTCCTCGAACGGCAAATACGACTTCCAGGACCCAGAGAACCAGGAACCCAATAACCTGCGCGGCAAGTTCCGCACAGACAAGGACGGGTACTACCACCTCTACATCCTCCACCCGACCCCCTACTCACTTCCCACCGACGGGCCCGCGGGCGTCCTCCTCCAGCTCATGGATAGGCACCCCTTCCGCCCAGCGCATATTCATCTAATGATCAGCCACCCGGAGTACAAGACGGTCACGACGCAGATTTTCCCGCGCGATGACCAGTATCTAAGTAGCGATTCGGTGTTTGCGGTGAAAAATGATCTGGTCGTGGATTTTAGGCCACTAGAGGGCGATCCTGCGGCTGAGTTGGAGTTGGAGTACGATATTCGGCTGGCGCCGAAAGGTATGCAGATGGTTGCGCATATGTAAGTTAACTAATAATTTAATGAGTGGTTTGTTGTTTTTTAATCTCCACTGGTTTCCCATCCTTGATGAAAACAAACTATCCCGACATACACTTGAGTGTCTATCTATTCATGGGACCCCTGAACATAATTTTAATTTCCTTTTTTTCTCTTTACGGGGTTTCGAGGATGAGAGGGGATTTGTTGGCTTTCATGTCTGTTTTCGTTCCTGCATGGCCACTCCGCCCTCTTTACTTGTATTAGCGAGACCACTTTTCCTTCCTTCTCACTGTTTATAATGCGATCTCGCACCACACCACATTACATTACATGAATATAATTATCTGGCAATTCTGGGTTCCGAGGCATACATGCTGACTGCTTGCCGTCTGGTAATGTGTGAGAGGGGAGCGGGTGGGGGAGGGGAAGAGGGAAAGGGGAGATAGGGGGAGAATAGGGAGTGTAGATGGTACTTTGCATTGCTTGGGTTGTGGTATCTATTTGCTGGCTTTTATCTCTAGTTTACCGTGAAGGAATACAGAGTAGGTATAATGGAGGTGTGTGTTGTGTAAAGGGATCATCAAGAAGTGATGATGTTTTACCTTGGGAAGTAATATTTGGCCTTTTTAGGGCTGAGAGCCCCTTATATACGGAGTATTTACATCAGACTGGAAACTAGCGTTCGATCACTACAAACGGATCACAGAACACCCAAATACCTCCATGTTTAAATTTGCGAATGAAGTAAAACAGAGAAGAAGGGAATGTACTCAGGAGCAGAAGAAAGGAAACATCCCTTTACTTACTCGACAGCGCACTAACACCAGGCAAATCTTTCCCCTCCAACAATTCCAACGAAGCCCCGCCACCAGTCGACACATGGCTCAACTTATCCTCAGCATGATACTTGGCCGCAACCGTCGCCGTGTCCCCGCCGCCAATAATGACAATCTTCCCCTCCTGCACCGCCTCAATACACGCATTCAACATCGCCTTCGTCGACCCAGCAAACTTCTCAAACTCAAACACGCCCGGCGGGCCATTCCACAAAATCGTCTGCGCCTCCCCAATCGCCTCCTCGAACAGCTTCACGCTCTTCTCCCCAAAGTCCAGCCCCCACCACCCATCCGGAATCCCCTCCGCATCCGTCTTGTACTGCGAGTTCGCGTCCGCCGCGAACTTGTCGGCAATCACGTGGTCGACGGGGAAGACGATGCGGACGTTATTCCGCTTCGCCTTGGTCATGATGTCCGGCACGATCTTGCTGCCGGCCTCATCGAACAGGCTGCTGCCGATGTTGATGTTGTCGAGCACCTTTTTAAACGTGAACGCCATCGCGCCGCAGATGATGAGCGTGTTGACTTTGTCGAGCAGGTTGTCGATGAGCTGGATCTTGTCGGAGACTTTGGAGCCGCCGAGGATGGCGAGGAAGGGCCGTGTGGGGTTCTCGAGGGCTTTGGCGAAGTATTCTAGTTCCTTTTTCACGAGGAAGCCTGCGGCCTTTTCGGGGAGGTTGACGCCGACCATTGAGCTGTGGGCGCGGTGGGCGGTGCCGAAGGCGTCGTCTACAGTGAGTAGGATTTTGTTAGTATATCCATATTCCATATATCTTTTTTCGTTTTATTGGGAGGTGGGGGGCTGCTTTCATACTGATATAAATATCCCCCAACGCAGTCAACCCCTTCCGGAACTCCTCCACCTTCCCCGCTTCCGCCTTAACCTTCTTCCCCTGGTCATCCTTATAACTCCCCTCCTCCTCGGAATGGAACCGCAGATTCTCCAACAGAATCACCTGCCCATCACTCGCCTTGTTAACGGTCTCCTCCACTTGGGGACCGACACAGTCGTCCGTGAAAATCACCGAGCGGCCACCACCAAGCAGCTTCTCCAGCTCGGGCACGACGGGCTTCAGGCTGAATTTGGGGTTTGATTTGCCGTTCGGCCGGCCCAGGTGGGACATGAGCACGACGGCTTTGGCGCCGTGGTCGATGGCGTACTTGATGGTGGGCAGGGCGCCGACGATGCGCTGGGTGTTTGTGACTTTCTTGTTCTCGTCGAGGGGGACGTTGAAGTCGACCTATGATAAAATGTTTATTAGTATGACTGTTTTGCCATTGAATATATATTTCCTCTAGGAACAGATATGGCACATTCATACCCGGATCAGCACCCTCTTGCCCTTGAGGTCGACATCGATAATAGACAGCTTGTTGGAGAGAGACATGGCTGCGAGGTTGTATTTGTTTTTATAGTTTTGTTGTTCTATAGTCCTGCTTCTACATTATTCAGTCAATTGAAAATGCGAAAATATAAAAAGGAAGAACAGAGAAGACAAACCTTCTGTAACGAATTTCAAGTGGTGTTTCTATCCCAAGAAGTCCAAGAAATCCGGGTTTACTGTTGTTATTATATAGGATAGGAGGGGTTGGAACTTGGAAGGTTGGGAAGTCCTTTTTTGGTGGGGTTTGTTTTGTTTGGCGGCCGGCGGCGGCGTCGGACTGACGCGGGTTTCACAGTGATGTAATCGAACCGCCGAGACCTCGTCGGACGAATATCAGCCCCAGGATTAATCGGAATGCAGGGATTTAAGTAACTAACTTATTATTGTTGGCTGCTGTTTTCGTTAGCTGGGAGGGAAGAGGGGGTTTCGGGTTCGGAATTTTATACATGGGAAGCTAACGGGAGATATAAATAAATGTGATATTGAGTAGGTAGATAGAACTTCGGAACGATATCGAAGAAAGGAGAGAAGTAATGGATGTTAGATAGATATCCAAGTAGATAGATATAGCGCAGTTCTCTTCGCAAACTACCTAACTACTCAATCGACATGCTGAAATCGACATTGCAACGCCAAGGGTGGAATTCCAACAACAAAAAATAAAAATAAAAATAAAAATAAAAATAAGAATAAGAATAAGAATAAAAATAATAAGAAAGAAAAGAAAGAAACGGTGACTCCGGAAATAAGTTATACGGAACAATTGTCCCACAATGTATGAGACGCAACTGTTTCCACAAAACCCCCAGCCAGGAACTCCAGATGCAGATTAAATACGGGTCTAATCGACCGCCCGGGTTGAACAAAACAGAAAACGAAATGACAAAGTAAACAGCTGACGTACGCAGGTCAGAAAAGCCCAGGTCAGAGTCAAACCATTTCCCTAAGCGAGCAATCATGATAATAGCAATAATCGTTCCAAAAAGGAAAGGCTAGATGTGGACATACAATATAAGATTAAGGAAAGCAAAACAAGAAAGCCATAGACCAATTTCATTGGCCTACCGTCTAACAGCGGATTTTCCGCTCTCTATTCTTCCTCAGCGGAGTTGGTTAGGGATAGGTATGCCGTCCAGGCAATCCCAACGGCGGATACGAATGGCTATTTAGTTTACACGGTTAGAGAATTTGTGGAGACCTTCCTCATAATTGGACGTGTCTGGGTTACAGTAAACGAGGACAGATAGATACTGCTACTCACAATTTGAAACTGGATAGGCATCACGCGGAAATTGAGTATTTGCACCGCTGGCCACAGCATAAAGTTCGCCTTCAGCGTCGGTGTATACACATCTTGGAACTTGCGTACTATCGCTCGTCGATCCCCACCCTCTGCCACTGTCATGAATGTAAAGAAGCAAACGAGACCTGTATTTATGGTGTCGAAAATGGTTAGTATTGGCTTTTTTTTTTTTTTTTTTTTTTTTTTTTTTTTTTTTTTTTTTTTTTTTTTCCCTTCGGCTCTCTTCTATAATAATGAATGGGATAAAAAAGAGTATATCTTTTATACGGGATATCTTATCATTTTACATACCAATCGGTGCAAAAATCAGCTGATCCATCGCCACCCGCTTCAATGCCGGCACCGTCGCATGCGTTTTGGTAATCGGGAACGAGCGCGCCAGGAACCCAAACCACTGGAACTGGATGGGTGCCATGAAGAAGCCATAAGCCATGAAACGGGTCAGCCGCTCGAAGTCAAAGGCTGGTGCGAGGTGTCTGCTGCCGCTGTAAAGGTCGCCCATAGGGGACGGCCTTTCTTTGTCTAAGTTGTATATTTCGATAGAGATTGGATCATTATTGGGGTCGTTAGAGGAGGTGCGGGAGCGGCGGCGGGCCGCCATGCGTGTCCGCACGGCGGTTATGGTTTGGGCTACTGTGTCTGCGATGCCGCCGAGGACCTGTTTCGTTTTGGATGAAACGGGTTAGTTGGGGAGGGTAACTAATGCAGTAGGATATGGTATATATTTATATGTGTATATGCGGAACAGAAGAGAATGGACCAGAGGGGCGATGGCTCGGGATGATGCTTACGGCGTTGGTGACCATCGTAGTCAAGACTGGAGATGTGATCAAAGGTATGTCAGCCCATACATAGCTCTTCAATCCGCTCGCCGGTGAGTTTTATAAGGGGGGGATGGGAAAGATACAGTTACATAGTTACTTACCCGGCTTCTCCGCATAGTAGGAGTTGAATTTCGCCGCGAGCCTCATGGTTACGGCCATTTCAACCAGGAAGATGATAGTATGTAGAAGCGGCTGAGTTATTTTTGATGAGAGATCATTAGCTATAGCTCGAGCTACATAGCAACGTTGATTGCGAAGAGGAGAAAAAAAAATTGCGTTCTCTGCTAAGATTTTCTGGACAAATGGAATGCTGTCCTTTGGAGCAAGGTTCAAAGTATGTTGTCACTTACCAACCGGCCGTATATATACCGACTATTCAAGCCATCGAGCACTCTCCGTCTGGTTATGTCGAGCATGGCGGAAAGAGGAGAAGGACTTAAATAGCAGAGATGCGGACGGTTTTATTGTAGAAGGAGAAAAACGAGGGTCCACGGGCGAGATGGGTTCGATGGTTGGAGATCTTCGAGCTCATCCAAGAATGACGCCGGAGTGGGACCGCGAACGAGACCGGAATAAATATTTATGCTTTTGTATATGACGCAAGGTGTGGTGTAACTAGCGTAAGTGGTCCTGGGCGGGTGGGAATAATATACACAGAGGGAGCGATCTGAGTTCCCGGTAGCCGTGGGCGGGCGATGAGCACTGTTATTGTAGGATGAGAGGATGAGAGGACGAAGGAGGAGGAGGAGGAGGAGGAGATGAGGACTGATTGATGGTTGTGATGAGGATGATGTTGGCGGAGAAAAGGAAGCACAAGACAAATGAGACAATTGACAACACTGAGTAACGAACAACCAACAATGTATTCACGGTTTAAATATTCAATGCTCTTTCTTATGTTCTCTTAAGTATTTGCCTTCATTTTATTTTTTTTAATAATTAATTCCATAGTGCCTATCCTTCTATCTATTTCCGGAGGTGTGAAGTATCCCATAGTTCCCGCGCCGCGCCGCGCCTACTAGGTACTATATGTAACGTACAAAACCCCAGAAGAATACGACTAGTTAAGCGCCAGGCCGATCATATTTCCACAATGTAAAGGGCCTTATTATGTCTTGTATTTTCTATGCCTTGGCCAAAAAGTAGATCAGTTTATACCTGGTCGTTAGTGGTCGCATTCAACTTCGTATATATACACTTGGCTGTGCAGCATAGTTACGTGATATGTTCTTTCTATCTACATAAATTCGGGTGGTGAGCAAGAAAGTCACACAAAGTATTGCTACTTCGCCGGTCTATCAAACGATACAATATCTGGCAAGTCTCTTATATCCAGTACCTCGTTGGTGTTCAAATCCACCAGCCGGACGGCTTCAACATGCAGCACGCCTGCCGCTAGCGGGAGCAGCTTCAGCTCTGTCGAGTGGCATGTACCGGGGTAAAGAGGGCTAATGTATTATTGTTAGCCTACTTCGACTCATATAATATCGGGTGTATGCAGCCACATACACACAGAAAAAAAAAAAAAAAAGAAGGATATAAAACACTCACCCAACTCTAATGTCCGTACTTAAACATATCAACTCCGTATCATACGGAATTGCGTTCTTCTGCATCGCATATACAATATTCTCATCCGTCACGGCCTCCGCAATCTGCTCGTCGCGGCGCCCACACGACACAGACGACGCCGACGGCCGAGAAATATGTCTACTACTACGCACATCCGCCCGCTTCCTCCGCGGCACGGCTGCCATGGCAAATTTCTTCGCTTTCTCCGACCGGTTGACGATGAATACGTCCCAGTGGAACGGCTTCCCGACTTCGACGCTACTGGGTCCCGAGAAGGAGATGGTCACGCCAATGTCGGTGGTGGATATGTAGGTAGAGCGTTTATTCGTAGCTAGCGCTGCCGCGCTGGCTGCATAGGCTGCCGCTGGAGTGGTACCGCCGCCACCGCCGCCACTCTGGCTTGGGGTCATGGGAAGGCTGGTGGGGCGGTTGCTTCGTTGGAGGACTTGGCTGGGCCCACCGAAGGTTGGATTGAGAGGGAAGGAGAAGTCGACGTTGGTGCGCCATTTCATGGATATTCTGGGTCGGCATTCATCCGACACGCATATCGTTGCTCCCAGGGAGATATCTAAAACGTAAACGACCGCGGTGGTGGATGAGGTGGCCTCCATTCCAGGCACTGGGGTGAGTTTATATACCAGCGTCATGTCATCCCCTGGACGGCAGGTTACTGGAAGAGCATATCCGTTGTCAGTTGTTAGGCTTTCGACCTGGCCGTCGAGGAGGGTCAGTTCCGTTTTCTCTAGGATGACGTCGAAATTCGTAAAGGGTGTCACCTCAAAGTCGAGGCTGGCGATAGTCGTGGGTTTGCTGGAATAGGTATTTAGGCGGGAATACCGGATTCGCGCACTGGCAATGGGGATGATGCGGAACGGCCGTTGTTTTATTTGTCGCACACGGTACGATGATGCTTCCTCCTGCGCAGCTGGAACCACCCGTAGCAGCCTCGATGCGGGGAGGAACGGTTGTGGGTTGGACTGTCCTTGAGGGACATTTTCGACTAGGGATTGGAAAACATTGACAGACCCCGATATACCACTTGGTAGATACTCATCTTCGTCGTCTCCAGACGAGATGTTTAAGGGGCGTAGGGTTGCAGAGGCGCTGAACGTGACATATGGATGCTGGAGCCGGACTCGTGGACGATCTTCAATAAGCTCTTATTAGCACACCAGGATTCTTAAATTCCATACACTTCTCTCTTCTCCTGATCTCTGAAATGATCACAAAGCTGCACTGACTGAGGACAGTATCCAATTTCCATATGACATAGATATGGTTTACCACATCCCCTGCTTCTTCAACTTCGTTGACCACCACCAGCGGATCCTCGTCTTCGCTCACCGTGCCAGAAAATATAACGTCTCTAGCTTGTTGTTGCTGTTGAGGAGGACCTTCGATCTCGCCGTCCTCGCCATCAGCTCCATTCGCGGCGTAGGCCTCTAGCTGGACGGTCAAGCGAGGGAGTTGGGATTTCAAAGCATGCCCCGAGAAGTTCGTAAGGCGTAGGACAATATATACAGGGAGGATTTCATCTATTCAAGAATATCTGAGAATGAGTAAGACCCTTGCACAGTGCATTGCGTGAACAAGGTGCTGGTGGTTGCGGAGTAGAAGAACATACCGAAGAAGAGAAGAGAGCGTTGGCGGATTGTAGGTAGGAGGGACGGGGCATCTTCGGCATTCTCCTGGATTGAGGAGTTCAGGGCGTCTTCAAGATTGACTTGAGTGGCATAGGGAACTATTGTATTCAACACTGCACGGCGCAGGAATTCCTCAGGGGCCATTGTATGTATGTGACTATTAAATCTTGTATGGATGAGGTAAATAAATAATAACTGTCAAATGTTCAGATGGTCAACAGCGCCGACATAACCATGGCCCGGCAGTGATCACCACCTGCACAACAATATATCAGAGCATTATTAGAAAGGGGAGGATGTAGCTGAATAATTTTGTTAACTAACTAATAAACAAGAACCATTTAAAAAATAAATATCTAAATAGTCCAAACAACGAGTAGATCTGGTTTTCTAGAGACTATTCTTGCGTCTGTGGTCTCTGCAGCCAACCCTAAGCCTCCGCCTCTTCTTTTTTCACAGCTTCAACCCATTTCACAGATGGTCAAGCGCTGTCATACCGTTCATTTATCGCTTCATTGATCCAGGAGGGGAGTAGACTTAAGCGCGAGGCTATCCCTCATACATAAAACTGCTTACCTTATTTCAGCCATGAATGTCATGAACGGCATGCCAGTGCCTCCTGTGCTCTGGCAGGAAGCTAGAAATTCTGATGGCAGAGTCTACTACTACAATGTCCAGACGAAGGCCACACAGTGGACAAAGCCGTTGGAGCTTATGACTCCTGCAGAGGTGAGCAGAGCTGGATACCTCAGTTTTACCGCTTCCATCCAGTTTACTGACACATATTCAAACTTGACAGCGTGCTTTGTCAAACCAACCATGGAAAGAATACACCGCGGAGGGCGGGCGGAAGTACTGGTACAATACAGAGACCAAGCAGAGCTCATGGGAGATGCCTGAGGTTTACAAGACTGCTCTTGCCCAGCAACCTCCTCAACGACCCATTCCTGCGTAGGTCGTCATCTTGTCCCCCCTCTTTCCTTGCGCTTCCTCTAACTATCTCAACCCCAATTCTAGTGCTCCAACTTTCGTTGCAGGAGGCATCTCCACATTTCCCACCTACCCCCAACAACGGGAGCGTGAACGTGAACGCGAACGTGATGAGCACGACCGGAGTGCAGCAGACCGACGTGGTGATTACGGGCCTACTGATACGAACGGCGTTGTTGCAGGATCCGCCGTTGGCGCACAGCAAACTGAGCCGGAATACGCTAGCTTCGAGGAGGCCGAAGCTGCTTTCATGAAGCTGCTACGACGCAGCAATGTACAGCCAGAGTGGACGTGGGAACAGGCAATGCGTTCAATCATCAAGGACCCACAATATCGCGCGATAAGGGATCCAAGGGACCGCAAGGCCGCCTTTGAGAAATATGCCGTTGAGGTTCGCATGCAGGAAAAGGATCGCGCCAAAGAAAGACTGGCTAAACTCCGTGCAGATTTCGGTACGATGCTGAGAAGCCACCCGGAGATCAAGCACTACTCGCGATGGAAGACTATCCGCCCTATCATCGAGCGGGAGACGATTTTTAGGTCTACGAGTGATGAGAATGAAAGGCGACAGCTATTCGAGGAGTACATTATTGAGCTGAAGAAAGAGAATGCCGAACAAGAACTTGCTTCTCGAAAGGCGGCCAAGGAGGCCCTGGCGGATATTCTTAAAACTTTGGAGCTGGAGCCATATACCAGATGGGCCGAGGCGCAGGGGATTATCCAGTCAAACGAAAGGGTGATGAATGAGGATAAGTTCAAAGCCCTGACTAAATCGGATATTCTAACCGCATTTGAGAACCATATCAAATCCCTTGAGCGTACGTTCAATGATACCCGCCAGCAGCAGAAGGCTAATAAAGCCAGACGAGAGCGCAAGAACAGAGATCAATATATGGAGTTGTTGCAGGAACTGAGAAAGGGTGGAAAGATCAAGGCGGGCAGTAAGTGGATGAATATTCTGCCGATAATCGAGGATGACCCCCGGTATGTTGCCATGTTAGGCCAGGCTGGCTCCACTCCTCTAGATCTATTCTGGGACATTGTGGAAGAGGAGGAGAGAGCCCTGAGAGGCCCTAGAAACGATGTTTTGGATGTTCTAGATGTAAGTTATTCTTTAAGGAATCCCTTGCCTACTTTTTAATTTCTAACACCATGGTAGGATGTACGCTACGAAGTTACACCAAAAACCACCTTCGAAGAGTTCAACGAGATCATGGCTACCGACAGGCGCAGTGCAAGGATTGATCGCGACACTCTCCAGCTAATTTTCGACCGTATCAAAGAGAAAGTCCTCCGACGCACCGAAGACGAAAAGCACGCCGCAGACCGCCACCAACGTCGAGCCATCGATGCCCTCCGCTCGCGCATCAAACATCTCGAACCACCGGTCCGCGCCTCCGATACCTGGGACCAAGTGAAACCCCGCGTCGAGAAACTAGAGGAATACCGTGCACTGGACACGGACGATCTACGTCGCACTGCGTTTGATAAAGTTATCCGCCGCCTCAAAGAAAAAGAAGAGGACGCCGAGCGCGACCGTGATCGCGCCGGCAGCCGCCGTGACCATTACGACCGTTCTGACCGCGACCGTGATCGCGACCGTGATCGTGATCGCAACGGATACCGCAGCGAGCGACGCAGAGGGGCAACCCCTAGCCGCCTCAGCCGCACGCCCGAGCCGGACGCCTACGAAGCGGATCGGCGCAAAGCACAAGCCGACCGCGAGAGATCCTACCGGAAAGTCAGCGGGCTCTCCCCACCGCCGCCGGGACGCGAGCGTGACCGTGATCGTGATCGTGATCGCGACCGTGGCCGGGATAGAGATAGGGATCGTGACCGGGACCGCGAGCGGGATCGACCCAGCAGCCGCTCTATGCTTAGCCACTATGATCGGCGCGAGAAGGAGGATGAGCGGGAGCGCTTGTACCGCTCGCGCGCGGACCCGAGGAGCAGCCGCGATGAATTGGATTACGGTGGCGGCAACGGGGCGGCGGCCGATTCCACGGCGCGTAGTACCACGGGTACGGTTACTAGTGAGCGCAGGCGGCGCAGGGATAGTGAGACGGAGAGCGTTGGGAGTCGGAGTGCGAAGCGGTATAGGAGGGATGGGGGGTCGAGGAGGGATAAGGAGCGAGAGCGGGATAGGGATAGGGATCGGGAGCGGGGGAAGGAGCGGGAGAGGGAGCGGACACCGGAAGAGGTGAAGGAGGAGAGGGTAGTGCATTCGGGGAGTGAGGAGGGGGAGATTGAGGAGGAGTGATGGGTATGACGATGTGGGTGACGATTCGGGGAGTTATGAGGTGGTAGAGTTTACGTGAAGAGGGAAAGTTAGTTTATGGTAGATACGGTAGGGAATGTATTGATTACTATTTAATTCTCTTCTACTTCTCTTTGGGACCACACGGGAGCTGAGGCTGGCTAGGGTGAGCTTTGGCGGTTTGTTAGAAATCCCATGTTGTCTTCTCTATTTTTCTTTCCATATTAATGTTGGTAATTGAAGGGTTGAGCAAGATTTAAGTAATTCTAAGCGTCCCAGACAATCTTAGAATTCGCTGTGAATATAGAAAAAGTTTTTTACACCCTGCCAAGAATTTCCAACGGGGACTTGGACCAAAAGTTAGAAAACGTGAGACTTGCATTTTCCCTTTCTTACCCTTCATAGCTTCGCAACATGGACAGGTAAAACGAATGAATGATAAAGAAGGTTTGAGGTGAGATAGTTAACTCTTTTAAATTTCGCGTCCGCTAGGTAAAACGGACGCAAAGCAAACGAACGGACACAGGCTATTTACATATCTGACTATGTTTTAAATCTGCTTTACTATCCTCAAACCCCCCCTTCCCCAAAGTGCCAATTTTCTTGCCACCCCTCCTCCATCTCGCGAAACGGCGATTCCTTTTCGGTGGAATTGGCGTCTGGATGGTGCGAGTCGACCAGATAGGGAAGGGCGCAGGTCGACGACATCCGCATATCTCTTTTCGGTTTCTTTGACAGAAAGACGAGCACGTCTTGCATTTGAGCAGTCGCAAACGAAACTAGAAATTGTTGTTTTGAAACGGATGCGTGGGAAAGAGAGAAGGGTGGGGGGATAACGTCAGACAAAGACACGGCGAGAGTCGTTAAATAGCTTGAAACATGGGAATAAATGAAAAGACAAAAATAGGGTCAAGAATCAAGCAAACGCCCTTTATGCGCGACAGATAGAGGTAACAAGTGCGATTTAAATAGACACCCCTCACGTAAATGGTTATAAAGTAACAAAAAACACTATGGGGTGGGTATATATCCAGCAGTTTGTTAGGTAAACTTCGTCCGCTGTTTTTTATTGACTATTAGCCTTATTACCTCCTAGCATATAGCAAGTCCGGGTTATAAAGGAGAAAAGTTCATCAGCTCCCGCTCTCTCGTGTTTATAGATTCGTAAAAGCATCATTCTGCATCCCTAGTGCCGCAATATTGTATCGAAGCAAGGAGCAAACGCCCCCAACGTCCCCAACGACGATATGCCAAGGTACCAGGGTAAGATAGATTAGCCCAAGTAAATATTCACTCTGGCACTGAAGGGTTCCAAATGCATGTTCAACAGCAGGGGTATGGGAACGACGAGAACACGCCACTCGGGAAGGATTCGAACAACAACAACAACCGGCTAGAGAACCGAACGAAATACTGCTGTTCCCAGCATGCTCTATTGTCGTCTTTATCATCGTCCTCGTCAGCCGATGACTCCTCGTCAGGAAGACCCGTGACGTTGCGTCTCCCCTTTCGGCCACCAGCGCCTTTGCTAACGCCGGAAAATGCTAACACATCAACGCGGTTTTTACTAAAGCGTCGTTTACGTCGACGTCTGTGGTGACCATCCCGGTCATGATTTCGTGGGACGCCCTTTTCAACTCTCTTCTTCCAGGAAGAACTGTTTTTGTAATTGAGTGAGTAAAACATGAGGGAAATAGGGGGTGGTGATATTGGGGTGAATTGCAAACAAACTCAAAAAGCGGGACTTACATAATTTCCATTCAATTTCTGTTCCTGGTCAAGCTGGCTCTGGTGCTTGTTAATTCGTGGCCGGTAGCTGTTGGGATCACGACGGAAGGTCACGTCCAGGTTTTTCAAGAATTTGTTGCAACCCGTGAGGAGAGACTCTGGGGTATTGGCTTTGGCATCTACGGATGGTTGACCATCGAAGACGATAACGCGGTCAGCAAGGTAAGTCGCCATGATGAAATCGTGCTCGACGATAAAAGCCGTCTTCTTGGTATGCATGATAAAGCGCTTGATGACTCGCGCAGCAACGATACGTTGCTCGGAGTCCAAGTAGGCGCTCGGCTCGTCGATTACATAGATATCAGCTGGAATACCGAGTGCAAGAACAATAGCGACACGTTGCAATTCACCACCGGAAAGATTCTGGACTTCCTGGTCGATGAAGTCATCGAGCTTGAGTGGCTTGTAGACGTCAGTCTGGAACTGAGGCGACAAAAATGCCGCCTTAATACGCTTGAAAAACAGCTGTCGGACAGTACCCTGGAACTTGGGAGTGATTTTTTGTGGCTTCATGCTGATGTTCATGGGAGGCACAGATGTGCGGCCATCTGGCTTCTCCGCTCCAGCAAGCAGTTTACAGAATGTTGTCTTTCCAGTTCCGTTCTCTCCCATCATGACAATAATTTCGGAATCAGTGAATCTCCCGGGCTCGACGGAGAGGTGGAAGCCACCCAAGGTCTTTTCCATTTTTGGGTAACTGAACGCTCTTCCCTTGTCGGCTATGAAATCATCTCCAGCTTCTGCGATACGGAAGGTGAGGGATTCTTCGCGGAATCGCAAGTTCTCTGTGGGGATATGACCATCCAAGAAAATATTGATACCTTCACGAACCGAAGAAGGCAGAGTGACGACACCGTATACAGCAGGGCGACCATAGAGTACGCAAATGAAGTCGGAGAGGTAATCCAGGACAGACAAGTCGTGCTCAACTACAATGACATAATCATCAGGTCGAAGGAGTCCTCTGATAATACGTGCCGCGCTGAGACGCTGCTTGACATCAAGGTAGGATGATGGCTCGTCGAACATGTATCTAGTTGACGTTAGCTTCCTGTTGAAAATACGCCAATAAAAGAAGAGATGGGACATACACATCAGCCTGCTGAACGCAAACAAGCGCAATGGCAAAGCGCTGAAGTTCTCCTCCAGAGAGCAGCCCAATTTCTCTATCCTTAACTTGGTTGAGCTCTATAAAGTAACCTGTTAGTAGTGGTAACAGGTCACAAGGGTGAAAGAAAGGGGCTACAAACCAAGCTCTTTCATGATATGTTCCATATTGTCCATTTGGGAGCGTGCTTTGATAAGGGGCTCTACCTCCTTGACCGGGCCCTTGACCGCTCGGGGAATTTGGTCGACGTACTGCGGCTTCACAACGGCCTTCAAATCATCTTCGAGCACTTTGGTGAAGTAGTCTAGAGGCGGGTTAGAATTTGGTGTGCTTGAAGCCAAAAGGGGGAGGAAGGAAGCCTTTGGACGTATTTCTCACTTTGCAATTCAGAACCACGGAAATACTTCAAGATTTCCTCCCAGTCAGGCGGATTATCGTAACGGCCCAAATTTGGCTTCAATTTTCCACTGAGGATTTTGAGAGCAGTACTCTTGCCAATACCGTTGGTTCCCACCAGACCCAGGACCTGTCCAGGGCGAGGCATGGGCAGCCGGTGAAGTTTGAAGCTGTTCGCCGAATATCGGTGCGTAACCTGGGTCTCTAGGTTGGTGGGCAAGTTGATGATGTGGATGGCTCCAAAGGGGCATTTTTTCGGACAAATACCGCATCCTATACAGAGACGTTCCGAAATGAAAGCAATCTTCGATTCAGGGGTGACTTCGATACAAAGTTTGCCGGAGCGCACGACTGGGCAAGACTTCTTGCATTCTTGACGACATTTCTTGAAAGGATATTTATTAGCTTTGTCTCTGCGATCCGGGGAATGTACACATAAGCCTAGAAAAGGACAGGGGAGCATAGATCTACCTTGGGTTTGCACTATAGAGGTTACAGAAATAATTGATTAGCCCATTGTATCGTGATATGTAGCCCATTAGCTCACCAGGGCCAAAAAAAATAAAAATTTTTGAGGGGTATGTATGGAATGGCGGGGTATATCTGCACACCTTGTCCGCGTTGACAATGGCGATTCTGGAGAACAGTTAGTAACACCCAAACAGCAAAATAGTCAGTCAAATGCTCACCTGGTTAGTTTGTCCGACATGACGGCGGGAAGTGAATTCTTCAATGACTTGGGTTGAGGTCAAGGAATATATATTTAAACGTGGTGATTTCGTTGCCCGCTTGACGTCAGAAGAGAAGCCTCGCAAAAACTGTTCAAGATGGGCTAATTAAGCCTCACGAAGAAGAAAAACAAAATTGAGGATATATACGAGGAAATAAAAAGCAGTAGCAGTACACTGGAAAGCAAATAAGAAACTGAGAAAGGCCCTGAGGATCGGGCAGCGTGTGGTGTTGTTGGAAAGGAGAAGGGATTTTGGGAATCTTCAGATGTGCGAAGTTGGCGGAGGGCGCTGAAAAACTGAAAAATACGACAGGGACGGTACGGTACACCCCGCGATACGGGCCTGTTATCCGTGTGCAAGCTGTCTGGCATTAGTCAGATGGAAATGCAGTGGATTTCACTGGCTGCGCACCCGAAACATAGTGTATTTAGTCCGTATACTCCGTACAGTCCGTAGATACCTAGGTACCAGTTAGGTACAGCTCTTTCTCAGGTCGACAGCAACGAATTCCACAGAGCTTGGTTTCTTATGGCTCCGTTGATATCATTAACGACTGCGTTATGTCGGTACTTGAACAGCATCCCTCTTCCATTTCCTAAGGTTATATATACTCTGAGCAGCATGAGATCTATGAAATATAACCTTCTGTACTTCTGTATTCGTGCCGTAATTTATCAGCGGCTAACCCAGATGGGCGAAATATCACACGGCAATTCGCAATGTGCGGCAGTTGGCCAATCAGAACGCGTTCTACAGCCGCCGGTGTGATGAGTCGCTTAACTGCCCACGCTAAGTTCTATTCAGCTTAGACCCTTTACACACCCTGTCACACTAAACTCTCTTTGGACAAGGCGCTTGGCGGCGGCTCGCAATCTCCAACCATCCAACTTCCGACTCTTCGCTCGCTCTTCTTTCTCCCTTCCTCCAAAACTCTCCCTCCGCCAAACCCGTGCCTCTCATTCTCCCGCAGCACATCCCCTTCCCGCCCTCCCCCCACCACCACAAACACTCTTTTATGCCTTCATATTGTTGCTTGCTACGTGCTTCTGCCTCGGGGCCACCAAGCTATGGATCGTAAGTTTTTATCTGTCCCTTTACCCATCTGCAAAATACGTCTCCCGTGCCTCGCTTGTGTACCTCTCCATTGATCCTCGACCCACACCCTCCTACGCTTGGACACTCTTCGTTTTGATGATGAGTGTCTTCTGCCGCTTGCTACATTGATGGAATCGATGTGGTGATTGCCATAGCATCTGTTTATTGTCTCCATGTCTCGTTATTCTGCATCCACTGTTCTGTATCAACTTCTTCATCCTCTTTTCATCAAACTGTCAATAAAAACCATACATTCCATCAAATCTTCTTATACTACCTTATTATACCATCTATAGAGCTTCTGCAAGTCATATCTCGAGTCGCATACGTGCCCTGTAGCTCCTCCTATGCTTCGAACTGAGTTTTCGCCCATTATTGCTCTTCAATGCTGACCTGTTCTTTGATAGCTAGTAGCATGGTGCTCCCATCCGCCTCGATGACGTCTACCCTGGCAAACGGTCACCAGTCCCCCGTCGCAAATGATGTCCAGGTTATAGATGAGAATCCATCGATACCAACCTTCGATAATCTGTCCGACTTGTCTGAAACAAGTCCCGACGAGCAAGATGCTTCCGACGAAGATGTAGATCATGACCAGAGCGGGGATGCGGAGTCGGATGCCGCAGAGGAGTTTAATCCGGAGATGAGTTCGGACTCCTCAGACAATGAGGATGATCTCGATGGTCAAGCTTCTCCAGCTGCTCAACACCATATTGCTGAGGATGAAAGCGATTCCGCCACTGAAGACGTTTCCGACGCGCAAGCCGCCTCGTTCTCTGGCAACTCATCGACCCATAACCAAAAGAAGGGCACAAAACGAAAATCTCCCATAATCGACGATGACTTTATAAGAAACAATCCAAGCCTCTACGGCTTACGTCGAAGTGGCCGCTCAAGATCCATTCGTCAAAATGTCCAGACTACCTCCGATTCCGACTCTGAAGCCGTCGCACCTCCTTCAAAGCGGAGACGCCGTACACCAAATCGCCCATCCAAACAACTCTCTCGCTCTCAGTCCATTGATTCCGTGTCTGATTCTGATAGTGATGAATATCAGGGTTCGCGTAGTAGAACCTCAAAAGCAAAACGTCGACGGATGGCGCAATCCTCCGATAACCTAATACCTGCACATGCCGAAATTCGCTTTTCAACTAGACGTGCGAATAGAGTATCAAATTATAACGAAGATGATGACGATGATGACTTTGAAGATGAATCGGAAATGATGACACCGGGAGACTGGGTGACTGCGGTCGATGATACAACCCCAGCCATTGATGTAGTACTAAATCACAGGTTTAAGGAAGGCATTGATCTTTCCCGAGATGATCTTAGTCGAGATGACTTTGAGTTCTACATCAAATGGCAAGGGAAATCCCACTACCATGCAACATGGGAGACCGTGGCATCCCTTGCGAGCTGTAGGAGCGTGCGCCGATTAGACAATTACATTCGCAAGATCCTGACCCTAGAGATACAGTACGCAAGAGACCCCGAAATCATTCCTGAGGAGAAAGAAAAATGGAACCTTGACCGGGAACGTGATGTGGATGCTATAGAAGATTATAAAAAAGCAGAGCGTGTCATCGGCTCTCGTGAGATAGACGGTGAAACTGAATACTACGTCAAATGGAAACGACTCTTCTATGACTACTGTACTTGGGAACCCGCGTCCCTAGTCAGCGAGATCGCTCAGCGGGAGATCGACCGCTATCTCGACCGCACCTCTCACCCACCCATTTCTAGCAAATCGGAATCAAACCCCTTAACCCGAGCCCACTTTGAGCCTATTCACGGGACCCCGAGCTTTGTTCAGAACGGTGAGCTCAAGGAATTCCAAGTAAAAGGGGTTAACTTCATGGCATATAACTGGGTTCGTGGCCGGAATGTGGTTCTTGCGGATGAGATGGGTTTAGGAAAGACCGTTCAAACTGTGGCCTTTATCAATTGGCTGCGGCATGTCAGGAATCAACAAGGCCCCTTCATTGTTGTTGTGCCGCTCTCCACAATGCCCTCTTGGGCAGAAACTTTCGACAATTGGACTCCTGACTTGAATTATGTGGTTTACAACGGCAACGAAGCTGCCCGAAATATTATAAAGGAATATGAATTATTGATTGATGGAAATGTTAGACGACCTAAGTTCCATGTCCTCCTGACTACTTACGAATACGTTCTCGTGGACGCGACCTTTCTTAGCCAAATCAAATGGCAATTCATGGCCGTTGACGAAGCTCATCGGTTGAAAAATCGCGAATCGCAACTTTATGCTAAGCTCTTTGAATTCAAGTCGCCTAGTCGACTGCTGATTACTGGAACCCCGGTGCAGAATAACCTAGGCGAGCTCTCTGCTCTGATGGATTTCCTCAATCCTGGGCTGATCCAGATTGATGAGGATATGGATCTAGGTTGTGAAGCAGCCAGTGTTAAATTGGCGGAGCTAACTAAATCTATCCAGCCTTACATGCTTCGTCGGACTAAATCGAAGGTCGAGTCAGATTTACCTCCCAAGTCGGAGAAGATCATTCGAGTCGAATTGTCCGACATACAACTGGAGTACTACAAAAACATACTGACGAAAAACTATGCTGCCCTCAACCAAGGAAGTAAAGGACAGAAACAATCCCTTCTTAATATCATGATGGAGCTCAAAAAAGCTAGCAACCACCCCTTCATGTTTCCCAACGCAGAATCTCGCATTCTAGAGGGCAAAACTGGCCGTGAAGAAATGATGCGTGCCCTCATCACGAGCAGCGGAAAGATGATGTTACTGGATCAACTCTTGGCCAAACTGAAAAAGGACGGTCACCGTGTCTTGATTTTCAGCCAAATGGTCCGCATGCTTGACATCTTGGCTGACTATATGGATGTTCGTGGCTACGCCTATCAACGGCTAGATGGAACAATCGCCGCCGGTCCTCGACGCCTTTCTATCGAGCATTTTAATGCCCCAGAGAGCAATGATTTTGCGTTTCTTCTCTCCACTCGTGCAGGAGGCTTGGGGATTAACCTCATGACTGCTGATACCGTCGTCCTCTTCGATTCTGACTGGAACCCTCAGGCTGACCTTCAAGCAATGGCACGTGCACATCGAATTGGCCAGACTCGCCCTGTGAGCGTTTATCGCCTCGTTTCTAAGGATACTGTTGAAGAAGAGGTTCTCGAAAGAGCAAGAAATAAATTGCTCCTCGAATTTATTACTATCCAGCGAGGAGTTACTGACAAGGAAGCAACTGAACTTAAAGACAAGATGACACGTGCTGGCCACCAAATCAGTGAACCGACCTCTTCTGACGATATATCCCGCATTCTCAAGCGACGCGGCCAGCGCATGTTCGAGCAATCTGGCAACCAGAAGAAGTTAGAGGAATTAGATATTGATTCTGTCCTGGCGAATGCTGAAGAGCATAGAACTGAACAACCCGAAGGCATGGAGGTAGACGGTGGAGAGGAGTTTCTAAAGGCCTTTGAGTTTGTCGACGTTAAAGTGGATGAACTCACATGGGACGACATCATTCCGAGGGAGGAACTCGAACAAATCAAAGCAGAAGAAGAACGTAGAGCGCACGAGCAATTCCTGGCGCAAGAGATTGAGCGAAGTCAGCCGCGCAAACGGAAAGAGCCATTCGATGGGCGACAGGAGCGTCAAGCGAAACGACGAGCCCGGCAACAAGTCAATATCGACGCTGATGACGTATCAGATGCACCACCGCCGCCTGATCCGAGCAGGCCTCTTAGTGAGAAGGAATATAGACATCTCATCCGCGCGTACCTTCGATATGGCGACATAAATGATCGGCAAGACGATTTAATCAGAGAAGCAAGGCTCAGTGACCGAGATATCGATGTTGTGAAAGCTGCATTGGCCGAGGTAATCGAGAAGGCCCATGCTCTATTAAAGGAGGAAAATAACCGCCTCGATGCCCTCGAGCGTGAAGGCAAAAGCTTCACTAAGAAGGAACGGAAAGCAATACTCTTTGACCATCAAGGTGTTAAGCGGCTTAATGCAGAGACAATCGTTGAGAGACCAAATGAGATGCGAATTCTGAGGAATGCTACGGCCGATGTAGCTGACCCTCAAAACTTTCGCGTTCCTGAAGCTACGAAAGGTGCTGACTATACCTGCGCTTGGGGCGCACGTGAAGATGGCATGCTCTGCGTTGGAATAGCTCGCCATGGCTATGGCGCCTGGACACAGATCCGCGACGACCCTGATCTTGCTCTTGCCGACAAGCTCTTCCTTGAGGAACATCGGGTTGACCGGAAAGCGGAGCGTATGAATGGCGGCGGAAAGGGCACGACAAAGTCCCCTGGAGCTGTCCATCTGGTCCGTCGCGCAGACTATCTTTTGTCGGTTCTGAAGGACAAGATAAGCAATGGTGCTAGTGTCATTGCGAAGAGGGCTGTGGATAACCATCATCGCAATAACAAGAAAAATGCTATACATTCTAGAGGCAATGCAAGCGGTAGTGTCTCAGCCTCCCCTTCACCTTCCCTCTCTCGCAAAGCCCGAGACTCAGACAAATCCCGATCTCGTGTCCACAAGTCTCGAGATAGCGCCGATCTTTCGAACACCCCCACAGGTGACAACAGGCCTGGCCACGGCTCTAGCAAGCATCGACGTTTGAAGGACCACCGGCGAGACGAGAACGATCGCGATCGTTCCGGCAAAGCCCGCATGAAGGCTCGTGGGGAAGAGAAGGATCGTTATCGCCATAGCAATGACAGCGGTGGAACCGGTGTCGACAACAACAGTAACGACGCAATACTCAAAGTTATCTTCAAGCCCGTCCAAGAACATCTTAGGAAGGTATCTCAAGTCACCAAGGAGAACATCCCAAGCAAGCAAGATCGAGCGGGAGAGTTGCGCCGGTTACTTCTCCTGATTGGCCGGTTTATTCGAAGCACTTTGGACGGGAACGAAGCACGAGCTTCGCTAGAGGACCGGTTGTGGTAAGTGCTTCCCTTACATACAGAGCTTCGCCATCCGTGTTTTCTAAAATGAAAATAATTCTTTTGATTTCATTTACTAACTCCGCTCTTATCAGGGGATACGCTGCGACATATTGGCCCAACAAAGCCACGCCAGCAGCTGCGCTGCATAACATGTTCGATCGCCTTATGGAGGTTGAGAAGGCCGAATCGACCCAACAACGATAATACACAAGGACCCTTTTCATATCTTTGTGCTGGCTACCGTTGTCTTACGAGACCCTTTCAGATTTGGCCTTTAATTTTTTTTTATATTTTTTTTATCTCAGTTCATGTTTTTTACCTCTTGTTAACGCGCCATCTCGCCGAGCGTCGGGAGGCGTAGGCTTCCTTTCTTTCCTCCCTCCGCATTTTGGGTGCATTTGCCCAGCATATATTTGAGCTTTTTGAGCTTGGAGTTTTTATGGAGGGGGTGTTATATTTACTTAAAACTACATGACATTGCCCATCTGCATTACTTTCTCACCTGTCGCTTTTAACATTCTAGACTTCCCCAGCATGATGGGTGGCGGATCGTTATCTTATCTTTATATTCACTATCTATCATCATGTTTTCTCTGTTCTTTCTTTCTCTCTTCATGTCGATGTTTAGCTCTCTCTTATTTGCTGCATAGCGACGGTGTTTTTATTCTACGCTATTCGCCAACCTTCAGAGCGGTGGGACTTTTGTGTATCAGATCTCTTTTTTTAAGTGGGTGTATGAGTGAGTGAGACGACGAGTTCAATCTTTGTTGATTTAACGCAGTTTCCTAAAAAACCCTCTACTTTTTACAGGGCAGATTATCTTGCTAGATATTCTTTCTATTATAACATGGTGCTCTTCACCTGTTTTCTGTGCTCATATGTGTCTTCTTTTCCGATATATAATCTTTTCTTTTTCTCTCCAAATACATTATCATGTCATTCCTGGCTGGCTGGCTGGCTGGCTCGTGCGTTGGAGGTTGCGGAGTTTGTTCTCTTTTCTCCTTGAGGCTGGAACGGATTAACAAAAGAAATGTCCCACGGGGGGAGTTCTACCAAGTCATTCTTGAATTTTGGTCTTGCGTATATCTTATTTCTTGACAAAAGTGAAAAATAATAATACGTCTACAGGAGGATGCTATTTCTTGTATTCAATATTCTTTGTGAAACAATCTTCTCCCCATCTTATATTCGACGTATCCGAATACTGGTAGGGTGGGATCTAAGTAACTATGAATAATGTTTCTTGGTATGGTTGAGTTTTCAGGCTATCAGGATAAGCTGCATACATATATATCAAGACAGCCTACGGTAACCTGCCTCTATTGAGCTCATTCTTCCGTCATAACCTCTTAACTGCACCGTTTTGGCATCCCTCTATCACTCGAAAATAAACTATCCTGAGGGCCATGGAGGTCAATAGACGACACGATCACTGTTGAAAGATTAATTACCCAACGGCTCCCAACCAAATCGACAGCGCCTCGACTAAAATGCTATCCTCCATTTGGCAATCTCGGTCAATCAGTTTCCAACAAACAGTACAGGGAAACGTATTCAAGGCAATCAATCATTGGTCGATACCGGCGTTAGTCTGCCAAGGACAACAGAAAGAGGATTGTCGTTGTTGAAACCCGCGGGTTTTGTCAGGGATATCAGACATCTATTTGGTTTCAACTTTCTGGTCAAGGAGCAAGAACTGCAAATTATGCCCAACTATTTTTGTAAGAGGGTCGTGGCATTTTTTTGCAGTATGGTAAATTATCCCCTGTTCGTTTCCCAGCACAGTAACTAAAGGGATCTTCCGCCTGTTGATTAATATCAATTTTTTGGTTGCCTAGTGTTCGTGCTATTCGGGGTGAGCTCTCTAGGCGAAGTCAATGGCCGTTCCGGTTATTTCAGTCGACGCGTTGTCAAGTGGGTAGGGATAGAGGAAATATACATGACGTATTCTGAGATATGGCAATTGATTGTTAAGTTATCAAAGTTTACAAGAAAGAAACAAGCCCAACCTGGGGATATTTGACGCTGTAAATCGGTGCTAGATGCTAAAATAATACAGTAATAATAATGAAAGGAAAAGCCGCCGCCCTTCCCATGAAATATCAAAATCAAAATAGTCTGTTCGCCCAAAGTCTCTTAACATGAATGCTCGTTAACGAAATATTCCACTATCATGAAAAGCAAGGAGTGGGAAACCGAAAAAAAAAGGAATTAGGCATGTGAATTCGCTACTAAATGATCAAAACGTCGACTGGTCCCCTCCCTCTCCAGGGGATGTCATGTATCGAGCCTAGGTGACTCAGGACGCTCATTCGATCTTGATACCTCGGGCCGTTTGCTCGCAATAACTGACAACGACGCTTCGTTTAAGGGCATGGCTCCATTCGTCCCTGGAGCAATAGCTATGTCCTCTGCTGATATAGCAGATTTGAACACTCGAAGTTCAGCATGTATAACGTCCTCGAAAATTAACTCCTTGTCTCTCCATGACTCTTTTCGCATTGGCTCGATTATTTCCCAGTCCTGCTTCAGCTGGGCGGCTTCTTGATCAGCCCAGTGGAGCTGGCGACGTAGAAGATAGCATAGTTGCTCTGGGGGGAGGGAAAGTTCATGTTCGTCAAAACCCAATTCCGGGCTCAGATACGGTATTGTTGCCTGGTCGGAATCCTTCGTTACATCGCTTTTATCTCCATCGTTGCTACCTTCCTTAGCGGGCTGTGAGAGCTTTAATTTGATTCTGGGTGTTCTAGTTGTGCCCGTAGCAGTTCCGCTGGCTCCTTTTGCAGTCGCATCTGTAGGGCGAAGTGCATCCGTTTCATGAACCGTTCGCATGTGTTTTGTAAGTGCATCCGAGCGTGTGAAGCTACGATCGCATTCTGTCATTGGGAGAGATGTCAGCCATGTTTAAACTTGAAAAACCGCGACAAATGTATATATTCTCTAAGGTCACAGGAGATGGGCTCACCTGGTAAAGTACAATAGAAGGGCTTCTCCTTCGTATGGCTCCTTACGTGCGCTCGCAATGCGTATCCGCTGGCATGAGTCTGGCCTTTCCGGCCGCAATCGCTCCATTCGCATAGGTATTTCTTTTGTCGAGACCCGATGTGATCTTCGTGTATGTGTTTGACAAGCGCATCCATGTTTCCTAGATCATTCGCATCGCATCCTTCCCATTGGCAAACGGTAACTTGATCCCGCCCTTGTCCGCTATAGTCGTCCTCAATGCCGCCACCGATGAGCGCAAGCGTTAGGGGAGAGTTTGGTAGCTCCCCCGAGCTATCGGAAGAGATCGAGGCAGAAGGGGATGCCGGAGGTATATCTTCGTGAACCGATGAGATAGGAGTATGACGATCCCAGGATGAGATCCCAGTCCGACGGCGCTTTGAAGGTGGCATCTGGGGGGTTGAAACGGTGGGAGAGTGAGGGTGGTCCTCAAACTTCATGTCCTCCGCGAACTCCTCAGAAGCAAGAGAAGAGAGAGGGGAGCCGGGGGAGTCAGCCATTGTGAGAGCGGGGGCTGTGATGTGTTAATCAACCTGTCAAAGGAAGTGAATAGAAATTATCTGGATGGAAGCACCACTGCAATCTGTTTTCTCAACCGGTGTTGAACAATGAACATTCGAGCTGGATGCGGCTCCCTGAACTTTGGGAATCACGTGGCTGCACGCTGAAAGATAAAATCGCGAACATCAACAAAATGTTCAACCTCAACTTTCCTTGCTTCAATAAGGATTCTTCACTTGGTGAAACTGCATCTTTCCATACATGTTATGTTACATTCTATTATGCTACTTAAGCAAGGAATACTCGCCATTGTCATGAGCAATAGCTGCTGTTTGAGTTTACCTGATTACCTGACACTTCCGACTTTGGGTTCGATGGCTCAAAAAAAAAAAAAAAAAAAGAAAAAAAAGAAAAAAAAGAAAAAAAATCGTGGATTCTAGGAACATTACTGCATTCCATGAACTTTCATTCAGGTAAGAAATTCCGTTTATTCGTTCTACATGTCATGATTATCAAAGGATGAATAAGAGAATTCTGCAATACCGACAATTTCCATCTTGTTATGTGAAATTGGCTGTTGACACAAATTCCTACACTTGATCTGACCCCCCCAAAATAATCGTATTGTGCCGTATATCATTTCCAACTGAAGAGAGCCAAAGACTGATTAACTTCTCTAGAACAATGCCTTCAACTGAAACTCATTTTCATAGTAGACCACGTTCTCTAGCAACACGTTCTGTATGATCCTACTCCCATACTCACAATGAAGCTTCCTAAGACCGGGAACTCGCTTCTGCTCCCTCTTAAAACGACGGATATCTTGCCCCAATGATATTGCTTGCTTTGATCGTCTCATCGATCCCCTTCATTTCTTCAGCAGAAAATAGGGGTAGGGTTGCAAGCCCTGACACCCGTTCTTTCGATTTGGCTCATAGTATCGGAGTAATCGTGGGCTTTGCTGATGGCCCTATCCAAATCAATACGACCTGAGCAGGGGTTGTTTTCTTTCTCCGGGCAAACGATATAACCCTATCAACAAATTCATGGTTTGCGCTTGAAGCATCGTCCTGGAATCTCGTTAGGTATTTGCGGATATCTCCTGCGGGAATATCGGAGGGTTTGGCTATCCTGCCCTTTGGCCCCTTACGGACTCTGAAGGGCGAGTGTAGCATCAGCTACGTACTCCTATAACCGGGTGGATGGTCGATACACTTGCGAAAACGATGTAAATATGTATTGTTTGATGAAAGAGGAGCTGAACTTCGGGGTATGTATTGATTATCGTGTCAAAAATGCTAACATCATTGACTATGCCAGAGGTATATATAAGTGCCTGTGGGGCTCAGCACTTCACCGAAAAGAGCGCAAATGCCGGATTGGACAGGGCTATGCCGGGCGATGGTATGGGAGACGGCTATTTCCTGTGGGGCCAGACCCTATTATTAAAAGTAGGGAATAACCAAGTTTACGAAAACCGCTGCTTGAATAGTCATATAGCCTTGTTTATGTTAGCATTCTGTCTAGTGGTTGTGTACATACCCCAGGATAAGTTGAATGGTGATATGGTTATGCCTGCCAGCCTAACAGCCATCGGTTCAGATGCGTTCCCTAACCCGCAGGGCTCAAACACTTGCGTTGCGTTGACCGTGGCTTCAACATCGGAACATTGGCCATGGTAAGCTTTACTGTTGAGCGTTACACCTATGATTACGCGAAAAATATGCTATCCGCCTTCTTTCAGCCGTTATGTTGGAGCTTCTTCACGGGATATCAGTCTAGCTAGAACAATGATGTGATCTATCATCAGCCTCGAGATGTAGGGCTACCAGAATAGAAAGATGGCCTCGGGCTTCAGAACTAATTGGCAGCTATATGTAGGCTCCTTAGTAAATTTAATGGACGTTTTTACAGTGCTTAAGTAACAATGTAAGATATACTCAAAAGAGTGTTTCTCCGAATGCTATAGCAGAGCCACCTCTCAATGTCTCTCATATTTAAATTAGAGTGATTGGCTGTTGTCCGAGATATCACCATTTCTGAAATTGACAATAGTTACATCATTAACAGGTGTAGATAGATCTAAACGAACCACGAGCTCCCAAATCTATGCCTTCACCATATGCATGGACATCTTCGATCTAACAGAAATTTGGAGAATACTTCAATGTTATTCCCAATCCATCATGACGAACCAGAAACCGCCCGACGTGGAATACACTTGTTCATCCATGCGACTTCAAATTCTCTATATGCCCCCCAGTACCCCTCGGGAAATATCCTCGTGCGAATAGTCTCATACCCGCGCCTGTGCCAATACGACCCATTGACTATCGCCGCTGTCTTTACCCAGAACGTCAACGGCTTCTGTTGATCCACCGGAGTGATCGCGCCGTTAGCATCCTCCTTCTCGGCCCGTTCTAACCGCTCCAGGAGATCTTGTTCCAGCAGCGCGGCACATCGGACAGCGAGACCAAGCTTGCTCAATTGGGGATCTTGACGGACGACCACAACCCCGAGTTCCCAGTCTGTGACGGACCTGAAATCCATATCAGGGTCCTCATTTTTTGCATTTAGGGCGGCAAGTGTCAAGTTTGTTTCGGAGCCTGGAGGTTCGCGTGGCTCGCTTGTCCCGTTCACCCCATTCTGAGTGGAAATATCTCGAGCATCTTCTTTCTTCAACGCTGGGTCCGAGGCAGGGTCCCATTCGAAATATGCCTTTAATATGCTACAGGCAACTATCCTCGGGGCCTGATTTTTTTGTGTTTGCGTGATGATGCAACATCTTCCCACGGCGTCTAAGCTTGCGACTAACTCTTCTAAACTTTCAAATCTCCCCTGTTCATGCGTCGCAAACGATTCCCTATGGCGAACGTCGAACGCCTCGTTCACCATGGATAGGAGAGCTTCGAGATGCGGGTATGCGGCGAATTGCTTCGCGTCAAGGAGCATGGCTTCAAATTCGGAAGGGAGGTCCATGGTAGAAACCAAAAGGTAGTTATAATGGGTCCTCCTTTGTTGGATCTTTGAGGTATATACCAACAAAAAATAAAATAAAAAATGGCTGGTTGCTGGAGATAGAAAGTGATTTGGCTGTCCACAGATGAGTACACCGTACTATTGTTGGAGGGGTAATGAGGTCGTAGAAAACCAGAGATGACCGTGTCAATTTTGATACCATCCCGGAGAACGGGTCAAGGTTTCATCGTCGCGAGTCAGCTTAACTTCTCAGATGCCTGGATTCCGTACTAAATCTGGTACCCTTGCAACGCCCTGCCGTTGACAGCTTGGCCGTTCAGCGTAGCATAGTTATCAAACTAGCCAGGATGAGCGTCCCTTTTCTTTGGCCCAGAAACACTGTACACGCTTCGCACATTCATGAATAGAGCGGAAAAGAAACCTAGCAATAAACATTGAAAGTGAGCAGGGTTGACCGTTTTCGGGTTAAAAATGGTATTGATTCATGCCCATTTACAGGAAAAAACGAAGTCGAAAAACCCAGAAGAAGGTTGAGTTTTAAACCCCAATGCAAACAGAATGGCCCGGGCTTTTTACGAGCTCAAACGAAATAAATAACCACACAAATATCAGTTGCTTTTCACGATTTCCCTTGTTCTGGCCGCGTCCTAATTATCTGTTTATTTTCAATTTCTTGAATGACTCTGCATTCTGCCTAATCGCAATCTCAACGGGTAAACGTTCCATGCTGCTTGCACCGTAGAAACCGTGAACACCCTTGGTGCGCGTCAGAACGTATTTGGCGTCTTGCGGTTCAGCAATTGGACCGCCATGGCAGAGCACAATAATGTCCGGGTTAACTTTAACAGCAGCATCACGAATCTTCTGGATGATATTCACAGATTCATCTAAGGATAGTGCGGTGGTCGCCCCGATGGCTCCAGAAGTAGTCAGCCCGACATGGCATACAATAACATCCGCACCTGCTCGTGCCATCTTTTCTCCATCTTCTGGGGTAAACACATAAGGAGTGGTAACCAAATCGAGCTCATGGGCCAATTTGATCATCTCGACTTCCTTGTCGTAGCCCATACCGGTCTCCTCAAGATTTTGACGGAATTTGCCATCGATGAGTCCGACAGTCGGGAAGTTTTGAACCCCGCAGAATCCGATCTCTTTAAGCCGGGCAAGGAACTGTGGCATGGACCTAAACGGGTCTGTGCCGCACACGCCCGCTAGCACGGGGGTATGTTCCACAACTGGGAGGACTTCATCTGCCTGGATTCATTCAATATCACCAGCTGTCTCCCATTTGTTTGTTGGGATATAGTTTCTATTACGACTCACCATTTCGACAACAATCTGATTCGCATCTCCGTATGGCATGAGTCCAGCTAATGAGCCACGCCCGGCCATGCGAAAACGCCCGGAATTGTACACGAGGATAAGATCACAGCCTCCTTTTTCAACACTTTTGGCGGAGAGCCCAATGCCTGAAAGTTCATTAGACATGTTGGAAGGGGTATATGTATTGTACATACCAACACTCGCTGTTTACAAGTAAGATAGACACAGACATAGTACTCACCGGCTCCAGCGCCAACAATTATTTCATCCCTAGAAATTGTATCCCTGAGTCTTTGAAGGACCTCCGCTCGTGTTGTTGGGCGAGGCATAGCTAGCTAGCTGCTGCGACAGGATCTTCTAAATAATGCTAGGGCGGGGCCGTGAAATCTCAACGCAAACAGAGACCGCTGTCTAGTTGATTAGCGAACAAACGGACACAGAACGGCTGACAATAGATTGATGAGATGTTTTCCAGGGAGACTGCAGCGGATAATTGCAAGTGCCATGGAGAATAGAACTTTATGCTCAACCAACATACATACAATCATGTTGCACAATTATTATTAAGCAGATTTCTTCCCCTCAACCCCGCAAGTCAAGTCACTCAAGTCATTTTCCATCGACGACGAACTTTGTAACTCGCGTCGCTCTGCGGGTTGAAGCATAGTACAAACTGTGCAACAACAGCGTTTATATTTCGGAAGAACACCTTTACGTGGGTAAGACAGATTTACTTGTATCTATCTATGCTTGCTTTGTCTGCACGGCGTATGATGCTTTCCTATATGGAGTAGGGCAGTTCGTGGTAAGTATACATATACAGCAAACGGATGCCGTGCAACACTCGCTGACGATAATTCCAGATTTAATGAAAGGAGAGGTCTAGTGGCCTACTGCTTAAATTATAAATTGAGCACCTTTCGAATTCTTCCATTAAAATTTCAAAACCCCTGCTACTCCTGGACGCCCAACTGCATCCTGAGGAGCGCCAGCCTATCTTATCTCGCGAGGTGCACATCCGTGAAAATGGCAGACCGCCAGCCCCTTGCTAGTACTATCGCCATAATTGGGACCTGCGATTCGAAGCTTGATGAACTGCTATTCCTTCGTGATCGGATATTGGAACGCAATCAGTGCAAAACATTACTGATTGACGTGGGACGAAACCCGTGTCAGCATGAATCAATCGATGTGAAGAATACCGACCTTATTAATGCTACCACACCATCTTCACAGGGAGGTAGAGGGACAGACATTCTACCGCTCTCCAGAACGGAGTATATCAAGTACATGATAAAATGTGCCAGCTCCTATATCCAAGGCCTGTATTCTCGCGGGACGATTCACGGAGCCGTCTCAATTGGCGGTTCTTGCGGAACTTCTCTTGCATCTGGTGCGATGCGAAATGCGTTACCAGTTGGGTTCCCCAAGTTGATAGTTTCAACGATGGCGAGCGGAGATGTGAAGCCTTTCATAGAGGAGACGGATATCACGATGATGTATAGCGTCGTTGATATAGCAGGCACCAACTCGATATTGAACCATATACTTGCAAATGCTGCCGGAGCCATCGACGGCATGGTCACATCCCACAGGGCGTACATAGACAAACCGGTTGCAGCTAGCACGAAACGGATTGGCGTGACAATGTTCGGAGTTACAACTCCATGCGTCGACCTAATCCGGCTTCACCTGGAGAGTAAATATAACTACGAGGTCTATGTCTTCCATGCTACAGGCGCCGGTGGCAGGGCCATGGAGCGGCTCATTCGAGAAGGGAAAATCGATGCCGTTGTCGATGCGACTACGACGGAAATCGCAGACGAGTTATTTGGCGGCATTCTTTCCGCTGGCCGTGACCGTCTGCGCGCAGCCGCCGAGGCTGGAATCCCGCAGGTGGTCAGCGTAGGCGCCTGCGATGTCATCAATTTTGGGCCGAGAAACACAGTTCCCGAAAAGTTCGCTACTCGCAAACTCCACGAGCACAACCCTACAGTCACCTTAGCCAGGACTAGCGAAACCGAATGCGCTCAGATTGGAGAATTTATTGCGACACAACTTCGCAACCACGTTGTCAATCCAAAACTCGTCGAGGTCATTCTGCCCACTGGGGGCCTTAGCCTCCTGTCGACCCCTCACGGTCCGTTCGATGATCCCAGCGCTGATAAAGCTCTTTTGGACGCGTTGGAGTCCGGGCTAGAATCAAGCGGTATCAAAGTGTTAAAGAATGAAAGAGACATCAACAATGGAGAATTTGCTGTGTTGCTAGCTGAGTCCTTGGTCTCACTGATTCGGGCGCAATCCTAATATTAGTCTGAAGTAAATGAGGGATGTTGTAATGCCTTCACGGTGCTAGTGTTTCCTTCCAATTTCAGCTCTAATACTTTTTTTTTTTTTTTTTTTTTTTTTTTTTTTTTTTTCTTCCCTATAATTCTCTTTTCCGGGAGGGCATTTTCGGTTTAGTTAATATATTCACCATCTTAGGCGGCTCATACCTTGTTTCCCAATGAATCCAGGCCTGAGAACAGACCATAACTTGACATTTTCATGGCGCATAAGGGAGAGATACGGGGGGAAATATAGCATTCCCTCGTAGATATTTGCAGTTCTGTAATGAAATTGCGTTGAAAACCGAATGCTCAACCAAACACACGTGGTCTAGCCCGGAACATCGACGGCCCGAATGCTTGGCAGCAAAGCGGGATAATTCAGGTAAAAAAATTGGCATCAACCTCAACAACCTCATCCCTAACGTCTCCTTTCTCGATATACCTCCTCTTTCTCCGATATCCTTAGTTTATTATCTCCTCAGGTACGTCTCCCACTCCCGTTACTACCTACCTCTAACTTGGCTACATATATAAATTCTTCAATTGGGTTTCAAGCTTCCCCAACTGACTGATCGCTTTACAGAAAACTACCCCGCTTCCCCTTCCGTTACCAAACACAGCCATCATGACCGCCCCAGCCCACAAGTTCAAGGTCGCTGACATCGTAAGTAATCTGCTCTACTAATGACATGGGCAATTGATCGATTGGACTCACCACTTTATTTTTTAGTCATTGGCCGCCTTCGGCCGCCGGGAGATTGAACTCGCCGAAGGGGAGATGCCTGGCCTCATGGCCATTCGTGCCAAATACGCCGAATCCCAGCCATTGGCGGGTGCTCGCATTGCCGGATGTCTTCATATGAGTACGTCCACTTCTCTTGCATCTATTAATTTGACCACCTGTTAACTGATGTTTGGCCGTTAGCCATCCAAACCGCCGTTTTGATCGAGACGCTCAAGGCCCTTGGTGCTGAAGTCACTTGGACCAGCTGCAACATTTTCTCCACTCAAGATCACGCTGCGGCTGCCATTGCTGCCTCAGGAACCCCTGTGTAAGTTTATTACTTTCCCAGCTTCCCCGTTTTTATCTGTTTTATTCCATGGGATGGGCTCTTACATGTTATGCGTGCAGATTCGCCTGGAAGGGTGAGACCGAGGAGGAGTACGACTGGTGTCTTGAACAACAGCTGGTTGCATTCAAAGATGGAAAGCACCTCAACCTCATTCTTGACGACGGTGGTGACTTGACTGGTCTTGTGCACAAGAAGTACCCTGAGATGCTTAAGGACTGCTACGGACTATCAGAGGAGACTACCACTGGTGTTCACCATCTGTACAGAATGTTGAAGAACAAAGAGCTTCTTGTTCCCGCTGTCAATGTTAACGACTCGGTCACCAAGTCCAAGTTCGACAACCTTTATGGGTGCAGAGAATCTCTCATTGACGGAATCAAACGTGCCACTGATGTCATGATTGCTGGGAAGGTTGCTGTTGTTGCTGGGTTCGGCGACGTTGGAAAGGGATGTGCCCAGGCCCTGCACAGCATGGGTGCCCGTGTCATTGTGACCGAGATCGACCCTATCAATGCCCTTCAGGCTGCTGTGTCTGGTTTCCAGGTCACCACCATGGAGGAGGCTGCCCCAGTTGGTCAAATCTTCGTTACCACCACTGGGTGCCGTGATATTTTGACTGGCGAGCACTTCTCCGTCATGAAGAATGACGCTATTGTTTGCAGTAAGTAATCCTTGGGCAAGGCTATTATTTTGGTCAGCTCTGCTAACACGAACATAGACATTGGTCACTTCGACATTGAGATTGATGTTGCTTGGCTCAAGGCCAACGCCAAATCTGTCCAGAACATCAAGCCCCAGGTCGACCGCTTCCTCATGCCAAACGGCCGCCACATCATCCTCCTTGCCGAGGGCCGATTGGTCAACCTTGGCTGTGCCACTGGCCACTCCTCCTTTGTCATGTCTTGCTCCTTCTCCAATCAAGTCCTTGCCCAGATCTTGCTCTACAAGTCTCAAGATGAAGAATTTGGCAAGAAGTACGTCGAGTTCGGCATCACCAGCGGCAAGCGAGATATCGGTGTCTACGTCCTCCCCAAGGTTCTTGATGAGCAGGTTGCTCTTCTGCACCTTGAGCACGTCAATGCCAAGCTGTCCAAGCTCACGCCCAAGCAAGCAGAATATCTGGGCTTGGAGATCGATGGTCCTTTCAAGGCTGAGATGTGAGCTAACCCCCCCAAAAGAACTTTGCCTTGCTTTTATACTACTGAAGAAACATATGCTGACTGACTCCTTTCCTCGACAGCTACCGTTACTAAATCTATTCTCTTTTATTTTTCGGTGCATATACAACTGCGCAATATGCTGGGGTGTGCATGCATGACACATAGACATTTCAACATGAGGCTACGATGTTATGAATAAATCGCAGGGCTACTATTAGTCCATCATTTAGACCCGGGACCCAGGAAATATTAAAAGCACTTGTCCTTCAACGGCAAAACTTGTCAAATTCGCATAATATGGGGTTACTGTTTTCTTTTTTCTTTTCACTTCCTTCAGTTTGGTTCATATTTTTGCGCGTCGGGTAAATAATACTCTTTTTAACTTATTCTATTTTTCGTTGGTGTTTTTGACTTGTGTTGTTTATTTTGTCCCCTTCTTATTTGTGTCAGTTGATGGTTTTCAACAAGGGCAACTCAGACGTTCTAGAAAGCATCAACGCTATTCTATATTCTCGGAGCCACGTTTCCTTCTAAAACCCCCCGGGGCTCCAAGGAAATCCTGGAGGGTCATTAATAAGATTCCCCCTCTAAAAATAAATTTCAAGATTTCAACATAGCAACTTGTATCTTGTAACCCGTAACTTTTGCGTTTGTCGATTGAAAACAAGTAGGGACTTTGGTTGTCAAATATCACGGGAAAAGCCCCATGAATGCTCAAGAAGTTCATAATCTTTCGTTCAGCCTCCTAAATGAAAAGTATGAATCGAAAATACTCGAAATCTCCATCATCAAGTACATACAACACATCTCTCTCGCGGATATCTGCAGCTACTTGTATGCTGCATTCTGTTTGCCTTCTGCAGCCGAGAAGTATATAGGACGAGAAATTCCAACAATACAGACAGATCCAGTCCTGACACATTCTTCACACAATCTTCATACAATCTTCATGCCATCAGCAACCAGTACTAAATGCTCAGGCTGTCGTAATTGGCGGGCATGGATGGCAAAAAAATAATATCTGGATATTCTTGTTCGTGTTCAGCTCCCAAACTGTGTAACATTTTAATAACAGACGCTCAGCCAGGGATTGAATCATTTTTGCGACGCCACAACACGAGAATCTGATAAGCCTTCCTCTACTCGAGCTCGAGAATTTCATCCGGGCCTAAGTTAACTACGGATCTTTGCCTGCCGATTCTTGTTTCACAAAACTTCTCTTGTGAAGCGAGAAAATAATTGGCTGGTTTACCCGCTGAGTACGTACTGCGTACATTTCCAGCCAATATTGCTTTTTTCATGCCTGCAGAGCTAAAGAAGAACCAAAATTGAGTAGCATGCAGCGATATTTCGAGCCTAGCTCACTATTGGTGTTTTAGTGGACGACCGCGGTGGCCCTGGTCGTGTTGGTGCACACCATTGGTGGACTGCAAATCGGACTGTGGCCGATCGATCTTTGTATATAGCGTATATACGCAGCTGTACGGAGTACTTTTGTTCGCTCTGCAATAGATCTACTCCGTACGCAGCGTAGGAAAGATGCCGCTCAATGTTGCTCCCGTTATAAGCAACATCCTCGGCCTCGCTGAGGGCAATGCTCCAATGAAAATCATTCTTCATGACAGGATTCCAGCGCCACACAAGCTGAAGCTCAATGTGTGAGATACGTAACCAGATTGGGAGTGCAGCTACACAAGAAAGGGAGCAAGGCAGAGCGGGGTGAAATCCGTCCGTTTGCGAATTCATTCTCTTTTTCTTTCTTGATAAACAGTTCTCGCCTCAGACATCTTGACATTTCAGTCTACCCCATCGAGTTATGAGAGTGTGAGAAATTCTTTGATATGTTAGATTGATATCGTTATGCCTTTTTAAGTGAAGCTGTTTAGTTCTTAATGCTGTCATTCCTTCGATAAACTTCTATCACCAGCGTACACCAGGACCCAGGTAGCTAGCTATACAGGAATTGGCCGGTACGGAGGACGATCATGGCACACGGAAGTAAATTGCCCTGGGGCCTTTCGTTTCGATCTTCGGAAGGGTTTATTTTGCTCGTTGTCTCTGCGGCATTATTCACTGTAAGTTTTCCGCACCCCTAATCCTCAATAGCCTTTTTTTGATGTACGGAAACTGTGTGACTAACGCAGATGGACAGGATACTCTTGTATATGGAGTGGTTAGTATTCCAGTATTTTATTCTCTCTCCATAACGGACGGCACTCCTGACTCTGCTACCCCAGATTGTCCCAATTGTGCCGCTGGCACTTACAGACCGCGCAGGTGTTCCGCATGAAGAAGGTTGGTAGAAATCGAGCCAAAATTGTGATTTTACGCTCGTCAAGACCCAAGTGGAAAATATCTTGCTAACAGACAATGACCTACAGTGCAGAAATGGGTCTCGATTCTTTTAGCAACATATGGCGCAACGTTCCTTGTCGGATCTCGTGAGTGGATGATAACTTCATTTGCAACTGACTATGATTGACTGTAGCATAAATTGGAAGTTTACAAATATGCTAACAGTGTGATGCTCTCTGTCTTTTGATCAGCGCTCTTCGGCTACTTCGCGGATCGTAGTAGGAGTCGGCAGCTACCATTCGTTATTGGATTGGTTGCCATGATATTGGCTACCTCGCTATTCCTCGTCGGACGGTCTCTAGGTTTGTTCATAGTTGCAAGAGCTATGCAGGGGCTTTCGGGTGGTGCAGTTGGTGCGGTCGGCATGGCGTTGGCCGTTGATAGCGTCCCCAAGGAAAGAATTGGGCAAGCAATGGGATATGTCTCTCTCGCATTGACTTGGGGCGTGCTGTTCGGGCCGATTGTAGGAGGGGTTATGTATGTGCCTTAATCCTAGATTCGCTTTGTCCTTGTCCTTGTCCCCTCTTGGCCCCTAGCGGAAAACACATCTAACCAAAGTCTTGCGGTAGGTTTACCAAGGCAGGCTATTATGCAGCATTTGCGGTACCGATAGCGTTATTATGCATCGATATCGTGTTACGGCTTCTTATGATCGAGAAAAAGGGTATGCTTAGCCTCTACATGATCACCCGCGTACAATATCGGAAGCTAAATCTGGAGGACTGTAGTTGCAAGCAGGTTGTTGCGGGAAAGGTTAGGAGCTAGAAATCACACAGAGACATGCGATCACCCATCCCCGCCGGGCTCGTCGAGTCGAACTCAATCTCTAGGTTCTGATTCAGAAGATACCATTGACGAACAATCCCCACTCATCCAACGAGCAACCAACGGCAATTCGCAGCCTAATACCACGAAAACACTCATAATATACCACCTGCTCAAGGATTCCCGGATATTGGTTAATTTGTTTGCAACTGTGATTCAGTCAATTGTATGGACCTCATTCGAAACGGTAAGTTTTGCGACATCTACCCTCTGTTGAGTACCCTCAGTTGAAGTAGAATATAATACCCAAGTCATGATGCTTTTTTTTTTTTTTTGGCTAAAGATATCTGGCCATATATAGACACTTCCCTTATTCGTGATGGATAAATTCAACTGGACTCCAAGCGGGACCGGAATTCTATTTCTCATTTTCTCCCTTCCTTGCCTTTTTGGCGTCGTTATCGGGAAGGGTGCGGACCGTTGGGGATCGCGCATATTCGGGACGTCTGGCTTCACTCTTGCAGGTGGCCCACTCATCCTTCTCCGGCTCGTGCAGCACAACACAACGGGACAACAGGTACTTCTCGGCGCATTGCTCGTCCTCGTTGGTCTCGCAATTACGGTCGTTCAGGTAATCACGATGACAGAAATTTCGCACGCGGTCGATGAGCTAGAGGAAAGAGATCCCGTCTTGTTTTCAGGGCCCAGTGCCATGGGCCAGGGCTATGCACTATATAATATGGCTTTTGCTGCTGGGCAGCTTCTTGGTCCGATAATTGGGGGCTTTGTCATCACCAGCGTCGGGTGGGCGGGCATGAACTTGGCGCTTGGTTTGATCTGCTTCGCCTCCGCGATCCCGATGGCACTGTTCTGCGGAGGCACCATCGCGTCGCAGAAAGGGAAAATGAAAGTCCGCGATCTGTCCGGGGGAGCTGAGGCATATGAATCCTAAGGATGAAAGGCATGATAATAATAAGGGTATTCGGTGAAGGTCAGCACTTATGCTTCAATTTGACTTTAATCCCGGGCATTTGAATTTAAGCAAAAATGAGATGTTTATAGTGGGAGCCGCGTCAACGAAGGAAGGGCATCCTTGTCCAAACCACCTTTTTCTCAAGTTGGAATTCTTGCTTGCACAATGGGAACGGAAAAAAATTTGGTTTGATGTTCAAGATTTCTGGTTATTTATTTAGTCTTATCTAGTTTTAATCATCTCACATTGTATATTTTTCAGCAAGACTTACACACGATGATCTCGCAGGCTTTATTTATTATCCCACCAGCGGGCCACCACCACAGGAAGCTAACATACCTTGTTTTGTTTGAATTGTCTGGGATTGAAATAAACTCTGAGACTAAATTGGCGCAGTGGGACGGAGCGACCGAATCTGCCACGAAAATACATCAGCTCGGACATATCTATGAGACTCACCAGGTTCCAGCCACCAACAATTCATGACACTAGACGCAATGAGGTTGGAGGGCCAAAACCTCAGGTTACCTTTCTCAATCCAAGGGGGGTTTCCTGCCCTATCGTTATGACCAACGTGGGATTGAGATGAGAAGCTGTTGGGGGTCCCGGGTTGATCGGCTCTTCTACCAGCAGTGCGCTGGTGGTGACTGAGCTCTTTTGCCCCAGTAGCCTACAGAAGCCTTGTGTTTCATTACTTCACGAACCGTTTTTTAACATTGTTGCATCTTCTTCCCCTCCATGGGTTCCAATGGAGCCCCGCATCCTCGCCCCAATATTCTTTGGTGACCAAATGCCAGACCCATATCTGTGTCATCAGAAGGGAATTTCAAACCCGCGTATTCACAGGGAGCAGAGCATTCATTGGATCACAAGGAATACACGCCCTCAAGTACGGCATACTAGCACAGAGAGCCAACAGCCTCCAGGAGAATCGGCTCCCCTGTTCTGGGATCCCGTTTTGCGGACCTCACTCCATAGACCGCCCAGGGGAAATTTGCGCATAAACTGAACCGGGCTGGATACAGTATTCTAGCTCACGGACAATTGGCCTGGTCTGCGAAACTCCTGATAGTTATCTTTGGGCATTCGCGGCTAAGTTAGTTATACTGGTCGTCTCACTCTTTGCGATGTCATCTTTCTCATGACACTAGTCATGGACACCCCGCGATTTAAACTATTTCGCATTTCAAACTAAGTCGTCGATGTGTGGCTGCGAAAAATTCATTCCGACATCAACATGGGCGAGTTTGCAGTAAGCACCATCCACACTGGTATGCAAACTCGCCGGCCAGCAGGGAGCGTCCGAATCTCACCACGCACGCCTTGCGGGATGTCTTGATTTCTGGATTCCCAATAGTTGGTAGATGCTCATAAATAAAAGATTCCGGCGTCGTGGTGGGGGCTGAACGGTTCTATTTCTAAGCATACCAAATAGGCTCGCTCATCCTTCGCGCGATCCCACTGCAGCATTGGAAATACATATATTTAAGACCAATTCCGTTCCAGATATTAACCCCTTCAGATTCCTTGTCTTCTTTTTTACTTTATCGTTTATATTTTGATTTGATTTGATTTATAAATTTTCGACTCGAGATTTGAAGGTTGACTGAGGAAAAATTCTGAACAGGAAACTAGACAAGGATTAGTTTAAATATGGAAGCTTTCAACAGAATCGCCCGGTGTTTGACTGCAAACGGACCGGATCGTGTTCTGCCTGGGGTTGCTTTGGTCGCAGCTGATAAAAACGGTGAGCTTCTCTCTACTTTCCCATAACCGTTCAATATAGGAAGATCAAGTACTGACCGCTACCAAAAAAGGGGACACTTTGTACTCCGAAAGCTTTGGCTTTACCGATAAAGGACCGTTCACTGTCGATACTCCAATTTGGTTTGCATCATGCACAAAGCTCGTGACTTCAATCGCACTTTTGCAATGCGTTGAAAAGGGGCTCATCGATTTAGATGAAAATGTCGGGCGTATCCTTCCTGAACTAGCGGATCCAGATATTTTGTGCGGCTTCGATGAAGGGACACGAGAGCCTCTTATAAAGAAGGCAGAGAAGAAGATAACTTATCGCCATCTCCTTTCCCATACATCCGGGCTTGGCTATGACTCCTGGCATCCACCATTGGTAAAGTGGAGGGAGGCAACGAAGACAAAGCCAGTAACGGGGCTGGCTCCAGTTGTGAGTTGAGTTCCAGAACTCCCAAGACTATCATCCTCTGTTAAACATACGTCTGGGACGATTGATATCAAGAAAAGACTAACTGAGTAGGAAAAACTTGTCTACCCGTTGCTGTTTGAACCTGGAGAGGGGTGGATCTATGGCGCAGGCATCGATTGGGCGGGAAAAGCTGTCGAACGCTTGCATGGAGGGATTAGATTAGAAAACTACTTCAGAGCGCATATATTCGAGCCACTTGGAATGGAACACACCACACTCAGACCTTCCCAGAGCAGTCATATTCCTGCGACTAAGGCTGAGTCAACAGCCCGAGCTCCGACAGGCGAACTTATACCTACACCGGTAGAAACCCAGCCGATTTTCAAACCTGCTGATGAATTTGGTGGCCATGGACTCTGGTCCACTGCAGCAGAGTACATCAAACTCCTAACCTCCGTCCTAAAAGACGATGGCAAACTGCTATCGTCTGCAACACTTTCGATCCTTTTTGAGCCCCAGCTCCACGACAATAGTCATCTCATCCAATACATGCACTCGAGCAGGACTGAGGTGGCTATGACAAATGGTGTGCCAGGGAATAGAACTTGGAACCATTCGCTAGGTGGTGTCCTGGCGACAGAAGACATACCAAATAGGCGTTTGAAGGGGGCAATTAACTGGCATGGACTTGATAATACTTATTGGGTAAGTCTTGCTTTCGGGGGGGGGGGGGGGAATCCTAGAATGCAAACAAACGAATCCATCCCATAACACAATTATTCCAATGCTAACGTTGGATCATCACTTCCCTTCTAGTGGATTGATCGCGAACGTGGAACGTGCGGACTCTCCGCAACCCAGCTCGCTGGCTATTATGATGCTGAAGCGGTCTCGCTGTTCAGTAAATTCGAAGCTATGATCTTCCAACATTCTGGCGCTTGATTACCTCAAGCGACATCGGTCAACTGAGTAGTCTCTTTCTGATGTTAACTGTTTCAATATTTCAAGCCCCTGGAGGGCGCGGGCGCGGGAGGCTTGGTGATGCTCGGGCCCTTAAACCTCTTTTCCTCAGGTCAGCTATGAAGCACCAGCTGTATATAGCATTGATGTCGGAACCTCACTTCGGCTAATGGGATCAATCTTTCAGGCGCTCCGGACCGTATCTTCTAACGGCTGAATGGTAAATAGCAATACGAAGATAATTTGCTTTTGATGACATGAATCGGCAGTATCTCGCTTAATTGAGTCGCAGAGGACAATAGGCAGACGGCGCTCATTGATCTATGGGACGAACTGATAACTAAATGCACCCGCCCCGCATCCAGTCCTTCCTACCTTCGGTCTTAACATCTAAACATTTTACAGCAAGCTCCCGTCGTGAACCAGGAATAGAACTACGTACATGAACCATAGTAAAGAGCTCTCTACCTGACAGCTCTTCTTTGAATGCTGGCTATGCAGAATCCTCCAGCATACAATGGAATATGACTTTGAACGAAGCCATCCGTCAGCCCGCCTCTCCACAAGCGGGATTTTGAATCCTAATGTAAATCCTTCGAGATGGAGATCACAATCAGCTACCAAAAATAGATCCAAAATTCGCCGACTAAGTCGAGATAGGTTTAGAGCGCATTTCCTCCTCCATTTGTCCAAGAGGTCAGATGGCAAGGCTGAGCGTCCGGCGATGCGCTAGAGATTAGGTGGAGATTAGAAATTGTTTAGCTACAATTATCAGAGGACAAATGACATCAACTCCAGAAAGTCGAGGGTTAGTAGATAAGTTAATGGAGTAATAGAAGGCGTCCAATGAATTGAAGCAGGGACTTCGCAGCAGCACATGAATGGAGTGAAATCCTTCTAAAAATAAATATCAAGTAGTTAAACAAAACCATACTTTACATTCATAGATAGTTTAGCATGAATAATTAAATTATTAAAGCATTACAATGAGGAACCCTGACCACAATAACATCACTAACAGCAGCATGGAAGGTTCTATCTGTTTGATCGGGTACGCTGTAATCTAGCTCCATATCGGCTCCCTCCTCGGGTTGTAGGAGATTATGAGCTCGAACGGTCCCTATCTCAATTTTGTACAGCTGGATGTTCAAAATAGATATTTCATTACGAATTCCTCAGATCTTCGCTGATATAGAAGTTAGTAAATCGATCCGTTGCATTGCTGGCCAATAATTGTATATCTTAGTGTCCTGATAACTTACATCCAATACGGCTAAGCTGGATTGTTGATGATGATATGTTTGCGAGCCAAGTCCCGAATCTCTATCATAGTAAGCTGCACGGAATGAGAAAATAGAACAGTAATGGAACTGGCCTGACTCCAGCAAAACTACCCCGTAGTTACCAAAAGTTTGGCTTCTGGTTCAGAGTGCTGATGACCGTCCAATTCCACTTTCAGCGTAGGTCCGACTTAGAGAGGATAAATCTCCTCCAGTGGGGAGCGTGGCTATGACATCGCAGAACCAATTGAAATCACCGTGAGCTGAGTTCCGCGGCTTTTCGACGAGGCGCGGACTGGCTGCACGGCTGAATTAACGAACCTCCTAAAGGGATACGCCAAGGTTGAATGGGAATCGCAAATCCCCGTTTGCACTTCTTGTCACATCGCACCCATGTTTGAGCTGAACGATCAGATTACCAGCCGCTGTATTTCTCTTAGGGAGCGTTGATCTAGCGTAGATTCAGCCCCCAATGCCACTAAAGGGGGGGAAGGTCTTGCACACCCCGCTTGACAGCGAGTCTGTCAATTAGGAGCGAAGGCTGTACAATGGGCTAAATCTTGGGTAAAGATCGCCAAAAATACGTGGGCGCATTATTGATGAGAATCCTACCTCACTGGAATCTGACCGGCTGCGCAAAGTATGGATCCTTTAATAACATGGAGCTGCCGAAGAGAAAGATATAAAGGACATCGTGCATCTGCTTTAGAATCAGAAATAATCATCACAGAACCAGAACTCCAATCGCAGCAGCATCAAAGAAATCCAAAAAAAAAAAAAAAAAATCCTCTTCCAGCAAAATTATAAGCTTCTCTGCTCCTAGAATTCTCAACCGTCCACGCCTCCTTCCAAACACTACATATTCATCAGACAAGAAACACATATACCTCAATCTTCAAAATGCAGATCTCCTTCGCCGTTGTCCTTGGCCTCCTTGCCACTTCCATCTCTGCCACTCCCACACGTCGCAGCACCCAGAGAAGCCACAGTGTCAGAGTCCAGCTCACAAACGACCTAACCGGCCGCTCGGGCTCAAAGATGATCCCGCTTGATAACAAACCCAGAGACGTTGTCGAGCTCTTCGGGGACACCCACGTCGTCTCTCATGGCCATCTTCTCGCCTCCAGCGTCCAGCTGACAAAGATTGCTCGAGGCGGTTACTGCACGATTAAAGATCAACATGACGCTCTTATTGCGGATATTAACTATCGCGACACTTTTGAAGACTTGGACGACGACAGAGACGAGGCCAAACCCCGTGACATGCGCGGCACTGTCATTACATGCGGAAAGGAGTAAGGGAATGGCCGGTTGAGGAGGATTCTTTTCATGTTTTTATTTCTTTTGGAAGGAAGTGGGAAAGTAGGGATGCGATTCATTTTCGTTTGCGTTTTGTTTAAAATTTGATATTTGCGAATCATGGAAGTTCTCGGATTGCTTTGGTTAAGATGTGTTACTCGAATTGTTTGGACATTGTCCATTGAAACCATCGGTAGCGAGAGGGAGTTAGCATATTCTCTTTTCGGAATCATTTTCCTATTCTGTCCTTTCCTTACTTGATGTATATTTAGAGAGTTCATCCATATTTTGAACCATATTTTCTCCTCGCCAACCCTCTTTCCACCTTCAAAGTAAGAAAAGCTGCTGTGAACCAGTAGCTCTGAAGACCAACGGAAAACATCACCATTAGATTCGCGGAATTCATAGGATCCAAGTCATGAAGTATCATTCGATCGGGATCCTAGCATGTCTGCGGTTCCATTCCAGTAATCCCGGAAAAGCCCCTAACCCAGACACGTAAGGCTGCATATGGGGCAGCGCAGATACAAATCTTAGACATATCAGATAACATCTGTCAGGGCTGGCTCTCGATGTGTGGGAGAGGGACTGCCTCAGGGTTAGCCATTCATCTGCAACAGTCCCCTTTATCCGAGAGAAATATGGGACGCACTGATTGCTAATTTTAGCACCTATCAAATCATTTCCCACCTCTCCGACACTCGAGCTAGAAAAAGGACCTTGAATCTCTAGTGGTATGGTATGGTACAGTGTGGTCCACCCAGTAGTAGCCCTAGGATGAAGCTATGGAGGTTGAGTTGCTTGGCGGCGGGGCGCGCTAAGTAGCAGTGCAGGAAGCTAAATGCCATATGGATAATGGACCAGGACTGAGAATTTATAGGATTAGTGCTACACAACATGTTCAACAGAGCCCACCTTGGAAGAGTATCAGAAGAGTGAACTGGTGATCTGATTTTGCCTTGTAACTATCTATCTCCACAAAAATCTAATTGGGTAATTTGACTGTAGGCAGCCTCAAGGCAAAGGCCACCTCATACAGGCCCATGGAGTCTTAGGTATGTACGAGAGAGATCATGAAGGTGGCTGGACTTACTTCATTGAATTTATGTCCTAGATCCAGAAAAATAACGATCTAACCGCTGAGTTTTTTCCAAAAATATCTGTTGGTCATCGAATATCCTGCGGATAGTGAAGGCTCAGTGAGATAGGGTTCAGAAACACACTACAGACAGATATGGGTTACATTAGAAACAATAATGGGTTAGGGTAGGTAGCACGTTTGAATTAAAACTTGAATCCAACATAATTCATATCAAAAGGACGGGAACCTCACTGCGAAATCTGCCAGTGTGGCGAATCCTATGACACCACACATCTTTTTAGACCAGCGTTTGGTCCTGATATAACAGGATATTCCATGCTCGACAAAATTATTATAAATCATAATTGAAATACCTGCCCTTCCCGGCACCGCATCCTCGGCGAAACAAATAATCCCGTTCAGCATAGATTTGCTCCTCAAGCTTTAAAAAACCAGACAAGCGGTTCGTCGGCTTGAGGCCGACGTCATCGGAGCGCGAAAGCGATAGTGAAGCCCCGTTTTTACGGATCTCCTGAAGGAATTTTTGTTTATTGTTACTCGGGATCTTCCCTCACCAATAAATCCACAAGCTAACTCTGTTAATGGGTTTCGTTTCACCCCCGAACATCTCAAGACCCCGTTGACGTCACGGGGAAGCGATGCCAGGCTCCTAGCAACACTGGGGTAGCTGCCAAAGAAGGCATGTGCACGAACATCGTTACCACTCCGGACGCCGTGACCAAGTGAGACGCAGACATGCCCTTCTACCATGATCGCGTGGGCATCCGAGTCGGGGCTAGAGTCAAGCAATATGGAGTAGACTTTGCCCGAGAATGGGATGTTCCGTTCTGATACATCTGAGGGGAACATCCAGTCTCCTGCTACCTGGATTGGGTGCCATGGAGTAATGATTAAAGAGCCGATATTGCAGACGACAGTGTCCTTGACAGCTGTAGCCAAAATGGCCCTAACGCGACGCGGGCCGCACGGAGTCCACACCTTGGTCCCTGCGCGAAGATTCTCGATCGGTACGCTATCGTTCCCTTCGGAAAGGCGGATGTTGCAATGGCCGGCAAAGCAAGGATTGTTCCTGCAGTTGTATCGAGACATTGCGTAAGACGCGCGGGGTACAACTGTCCCATCACGCGTCTTCTGGATGATCGATGGTTTCGGTGGGGGAAGATTATCAAAACAGGTATCAAGCTCCTCACGGCACCGGCAGAAGAAGGGGGAGTTCTTGCCATATTCAAGAGGTCCGGGATCCTTGAAACTATTGCATATCTGATGGATGTGCGCATTGAGAAGAGAAAGCACTGGTTGAAGATACAGTCAATACAGCCCATAAACGGATTGGTATAGCAAAAACAAGGAGGAGGTACTCACGGTAGTGTTTGCCCCATTTCTCATAGTTGGCTTGAGTCGAGATGGAAAGGCTAATTTGGCCTTCCGGTTCTTCACCGGCGAGATCCCTTACTAGGCTACCATTCCCTTCGTCGGTATATCCAAGCTGTTTTATTTCTTTGATTATGGAATCCAGCTCTTGCTTTGCATTCTCAAGCTGGTCTTTAGTAAGACTGGCATACTGTTTATCTGGCCGGAGAGGGAAGAGAGTCCTCAAAAAGCCACAGATACGCGCACGAGACAAATGATAGCCGGAAACATGAGCTGGAAGAGATGTGCGCTGAGAGAGTATCTGCTCGCTAGAAGCGACTGATTTAGCATTCCCCTGGAAATTATATGTTAATGTTGCTTGGGCCGTCGACGGTTTACTTGTTGCATTTTTCATCCGGATAATTACGTCGCGAGACTGGCCGTATTGCAAGCTGCCAACGGTCACTGCGAGAGCGCCGTCCTCTGTTGACTCCTCATACAGTCCGAGACCCGTTTTGCTACCTTCGTCTTGCGCTATCTCTACCGAACCCGAGGTCCGAATCGATATCATTGCTTGAGTCGCGAAAGTCGTGTAAAGATTCGCAATAGCATGGACAAAGACGGTACCTGTTCGAATATAAGAAGGTGCATGCTAACGACAGGTGTGGAGAGACCGTACCTATCATTCCTGCATCCGGGATGAAGGAATAAGTTCCGCCGCCGACCTCTGAAATCGCCTGCAACAAACCTGAGCGAATGTAGTAGCCAAACCCGAATGTATGTATCATTGGCAGGCGATCCTTCTGCTGCAGAATGGAACGTAATTTCGGTACATACCCCTGCCTTGGACACATATGATTTGGCATGCCTGAATTTAGATGCATTAGCGTGAGGTACCCTACTCCGCACAATCCTGTACATACCATCGGTTAAGATATAAAGAGCTTGAACATTCTGCGGTATGGGCGTTACCTCCTCAAGCGCCTCCAGGCTCAATTTTAATCCATGCCATAAGTTCGTTGAAGATAATGGCCACAGAGCTTCCACCGCTTTCAACGCTGCTTTCTTGTTGTCTTCGTTCATATTGGATATCTTGTAGACGACCTACACCAAACTATTAATAACGCTTGTTAAAGGCTAAACCGGCCATGACCAACTCGAAATTACCTCAGCATCAGTTGAAAAAGCCACAACGCCGAGGCGGTCGTTGTCGTTGAGTGTTTCAATTATTGTCCTGGCAGCATGCTTGGTTAAGTCCAAGACACTCAACCCGGTGTCTTCGGGTTTTCCTGAGTCGTCAGTCGTAGGCAGGGGAGCGCTCGACGACATGCTGTAGGAGATATCAATGCAAAGGACAATGTCACACGGAACATGACGGAGTTCCTTTTCAGGATGCAGTGGAGGGTGAACGGAGAGTATCATAGAGTTGGTGTCTGGCAGGGGATGCAGTTGAACCGCCACTTCATTGGGATTCCGTTCTCCGGCAATATTGGTACCTGTGCTCGGGCGGGAGCGGATTGGAATTTGGTCATCAATGATTTCGAAATCATCTTCAGTAGATGCCACTGACTGAGCAGGATCCATGTTACCGTAGTTGAATGTCTCTTTTCAAGGGTTAAGGGAAAAAAGGTTCAGAACGGTATAGACAAGTCCAAAATGCTTCTATTACGGAAAAGGGTTTTTGGTAAACCAGCAAAAGAATACTTGCCCCAAGCAGCAACATGCTGATTGATTTAAGAGAAGGAGACGGGCATTTAAGAAGTCCTTCCAGGCCATCAGGCAACAGGCTATACATGCGATGCCCCCCATGATCAAAGCAGCCTGATTATTCGCGCGAAGGAACCCCCGCAATTCTGGCTGTGCTGGGACTGTACGGAGTACGGAGTACAGTAAGGATGCAATGATCCAAGCTAAAGCACCTACATGTCAACGCCGTTGTGCCATTCGTGCGATGCTGTAGAGGGTCCTTGGATTACTGGCCATATGCTGGTGACGCTGTCTGGATTGAGTGTAGTCTGTAGGCTCTACGCTGTTGGGCCTCTGGGATCCCGTTGTTGCGATTGGTTGGATGTTGATGGTGAGGCTCAATTAAGGTTAAGTTAAATGGGCTGTGCTGTGCTTGTCAACCATTATTATTGTGGCAAGCGCGCCTATAAAACTCTCTTCCTCTTGTTTGCCCAACTGCTGAGGAATTTGTAGCACACTGGCTGGCGCGCCGAAACCCAGGATAACTCCACTCTTTTCCAATTGTTAGAGTTAAAAAAAACTGATTGTGAGCCTATAAGGACTGATGAGATTGAAGCATTAGAGCTTGATGTTGGCTTCAAATCTTCCTGGCAAATATACAGATGGAGAGCTTTGGGCTCTTTCCCAGCGCCAGACTTAACTACTGCAAAAATGTGTGAGCAGCACATGCAACCTGTCTGTGCTTCTAACACTAAGGGATGATGTAGCTAGGAAGAGCTACGATCAAAGTTACGATCAAAGCTACGATCAGAGCTACGATCAGAGCTACGATCTTACACAACCTACAAAACTAAACGCGTACTATTAAGTTCCTATAATTTCGTAGTGAGCATGGTTTACTGTAACCGCAATGATTATTAACCTTCCCAGAGCTAACCTATGGGGGATGAAAAGAGTAGAGAGCATTCAGTTGGGAAGCATAAACGAGAAAGCTTAAATTCTACAAGTATACTCCATGATCCAATTCCAACATGCAATGAATGTGGACTGCTAAAGGGGAATAATACCGACAATGAGAGACACAAAAGTCGCTGACAGAAACAGGCAGGTTAGCCTAATGAAGATTTTAACTTACCCTCCTCATAGCCAAGCATTTACTCAAGCTGCATTCTTCTCATCCACAATATCCCACCGCTCAACCCCGTCGGCAATAACCAACTTCAAAGTTTTAAATTCAATCTTTTGGTACAATTCTCGCGCGGCTGCTATCGCCTTTCCGTGCCAGGGTCCTAATCCGCCACGTCTCGCGTCCTCTCTGCTTCGCCAAATACCTAACGTGGGAGAATGAGTGGATGCCCAAACCCAAATAAACGGAATAGAATACTCCATTGACACAATGTCCTTCGCAGAGATATATAAGAAAGACCCGAAAGGACGGAAATATAAAAATCAACTTCCACTTACAAGTCGCCAAATTCCTCAATTTCTCATCCTTAATCCCAAACCAATATTTCAACAGTCCACCGCTGGCAGTGGCTTCCTCGTGTGAATGTGAATCGAGCTCGGTGAGCTTGCCCGGATCTGCCGTTGGAAGAAGAACGGATCGAAACGTCACGACGTGGAACGACTGTTCCTTCCACTCATACCCTTCTGCAGTGGCCAGATCCCTCAGCACATCCATCACAAGCTGCCAGTTGAAGGACTCGACATATTCCGCTGTTGCATAATCAGATCGAATGGGTTTGAGAACCGTCAGCGCCTTAGCGAGAAGTTGACTGGAAGGCTCAAGCGTATGGAGATCAAGATGGTGGCCCTCCTGGTTATAAGGGGAAGTGATGAGATACGAGTTTGAGGAAGCGGCTTCTTGATACTTGATCCCCTGCTGCAGTTGGAGGAACGAGGCGGCTTTGAATTTGAGCGCGTCAGAGTCATCTGTTACAAGACTGTGGTGAAAGACAGGGACTTTTAGGGGGTAGATAGGTTTCGCGCCATAGTGAAACGATCCCATAGCTGCGTTTGCAATGACGACGACAACAAGAGGAGCACAGAATAATGATGCTTGGAATAGATATTTGGTCTCCGAATCCACCAATACTCAGCACTGACCGCTAAGGCAAGAAACTTCCACCGAAATTGCAGCTTGAAAATACCAGCGAGAAGCAAAACGATGAAGAAAAGAAAGAAGAGAAAAAAAAAAAAAAGAAAAGAAAGAAAGAAAGAAAGAAAAAGGAAAAGAAAAAAAGACAAAGAAAGCAAAGAAAGCACACACGGAGCTTAGCCTGGGAGTGGAGTTGAAAACAAACCCGAGGAAGTCTTGACAAGACGCACGGCATCAGGACTCACATCGCACTTCTCAATTTGATGGCCGGAAGATGAAAATCTCCCTCGACCCAACAGCAATGCATTTGTTGTTGTTGTTGTTCCCTTGGCGCGGACAAAAAGAAAAATTGGCTCATAATTAAGATATATGGTGCAACAGTAACTACTCCGTGCATTCACTAATTTGGCCTCTCAGGGCTTTTCTATCACTTAAAGGGAGGGCTCATGTTCCCGCAGACAAAGTCGCAATTTTGCATAAAACTTGCACATGGCACGCTGGTAGCGGCAAAGTCAGGCCTTCAAACAGTCGCACAATGGACGCCACATGCATTGGGATCCCAGTTTTTGACCTCCGAAGGGGGGGCGGAGGGTCTGTAAATCAAGTCAGTCGACATTCGAACCTGGGAAATGATACCTATCTAGGAATGGAAGAGAGGGACAGTGACGGGATGTGTCGCTCGCTGTGCTTGACCTCGTCATCCTTGCTACACATATAAACACCCATGTATTGGAGTAGAGCAGCACCTGGATGCGCCATCTTAAAACCTCCAGGCTTTTTCATTGCTTTTGGGCTTTTTTTTCTGGCGACTTCAAGCGCACACATCCAATTTCAGATTGAAAAAAATTATGTTTTTTTTTCCCTCTCAGGAAGTTTCGTATACAGTACATCAAACTCTTTCTGTATAAACTAATATTTTTTTTTGACAAGAATAACGCCTGGTATCACACTGTGCATCCCAAACAGTGACATGAATAATGCGCCATCCCCACCATATATTCCCAGAGCAACCGTGAAGGAAGAACAAGCAACTAAGTAATGATACACAAAAGTCAGGACAGAGGTCATAATGAGCTAAGGTTATTTGTTTGTCGGAGGGGGCGGCGGCGGCATCTTAGTATCACCAGTATCAAGCCGTTTCCGCGGCAATTCCGGAACTTTAAATCCTCCACTAGAGTTACCTCCATTGTTTTGGTTCCCAACTTGTGTAAATGTCCCGCTCTTAAACCATCTATCCTCCTCCGCCTTCCGCTTCCTATTAAGCTCAGCTTGAGCCTTAGGATCGACCAGCTCTAAACCTTGGACTGGGGTAAAGGCGATCGAGCTGGCTATTCCGGCACCGGCACCAAGAGACGGCCCAACGCCAGCAGTACGGAGTCCCTGTGCTCGTAATACTGTTGCATTTCCGGCGCCTTGTCCAAAGCCTCGCAGTGAAGAAGCAGTTCCCCCGATAGGAGTGGCAGCCCCCCATCCCTTATTGGATTTACTGAGCTTAGCCTTGGTTCGTTGGTCGATTTGGCTTGCACGTATCCGGCCATGATCCTCCTGACCAAGCATACCCAAGCCTTTCGTACCCTCTCCAGTACCATATCCGATTTCCTTTTCTTCTTTCCCAAACGCCATACGATTCTGTGCTTTGCGGATCTCTGTCATCGCAGTCGCTTCCTTCGCCTTTCGTGCTCTTCGTCCGCCACGTTTTCTAGACGGTTTATCATCAGGTGCAGGTAGGGCACGTGGACCCTTGTTTGGAGGGGGCTCGGTTAATTTCTCAAGCCGATCCAAACACGCTTGCTTCAGTTCTTCTCCTGTGGATCCATCGGGGCTACTATGCACTCGGTCGACTCTAGCGGCCAAAACCACTTTGGCGGATACGATACGCATCGCTTGCCGCTTCAGGTCGTTCGGGATTTCCTGGATGATCGGTGAGTGGTACAGAAACCCTTGGTGTCTCACCCCAACATTAGTTGCAAAGCCAGTCCCTGTTTGTTTTTTTGATCCCAAAGGCGGAATATTACAGGAAGGCGTCTTCGCAAGCCCTGTAAGACCTCCAGCATAATTTAGAAGCTGTGCAGCAGTGAGGGATCCAATGAGGACCGTTAGATTCGGAGCAAAGACATTCATTCGCGATTGAACATAGTCGGTTAGGATCCCCTTAGCTCTATCAAGCGATAGCATCATTTTGCATGCGTCTAAAACAGTCTCGAGTTCCGTTTGGGACAACTCTCGGCCACGGGTTGTAGTTCCCTCCACTGCGACGATCATCAAGGAAGGTCCATCGAGAACGGATCTCAGAGTCGCGCCAACTAGATTATCCGTTGAGGTTGACAAGGATTTGATATCGTCGAGCGGACCATTTTGTAAAATTGCCACGGTCTTCGCGTAGTCTAACGGGTTTGTGATGAGAGTTTCTAGCTCTGGAAATCTAGTAGAGTAGTGATCCCGAATGAACTTGTGGACTAGAATCATCTCATTATCGATCGAAGTTGAAAGGGAGTTGGCCTCAGTAAGTAGATGATACTCTGGATTATCCTCGATCGAACCGATAGCCGTCGTTCTTTTGTCGGGTGGAAGCGATTGGTAATAGGATACTTTCTGTCGAGGGGCAAAGCGAAAGGTCAGGTCTATTTGTCCAGAACATCCAATGTAAACACAGATATCGCAGAAGACAGAACATATATGGTTTGTGAGAAGTTGAACTTACATCTAGAATCGGTTGGAGTGTCTTCATTAAACTTGCCACGCTTCGTACATCGCTCACGGCTCCGAGTCGCATTTTCTCGACCTTCGCCTTGGTCGCCTCAGCTTCCCCCATTTCTTTGGCTAATTTCCCAGTTGGGTCTATGGCAACATCCACATCCGCCTCATCATCATTACCTTCCTCTTCGTCTCCGTCCAGCTCCATCCCTTCGCCTCGAGCTTTCGCAGAAGTATCCAAATCGGGTTCCCCAACACTATCGGGGAACAGAGTGTTGGCCACCTTGCCCTCATCCTCAGAGCCAGACTCCTCAAAATCGTTCAATAGTTCGTCTGCTAGAGTCGCCATGGTGACTTTGAGCTAGATCGAGTATAGAAATTCAACAAAACAACCTGAACTGAGAGTAGGTGTGGTGCCTCTTCAAAAAGTGTCGAGAGTTGAGCTTGCTGGTTGTTTAAAAGTAGCTTGGGAGCAATAAAGTCCGGTGACCTTTTCATACCAATAGCGCAAATGTTTCTTTCCAACCTCGCTCGGCTTGCTCGCTTTTCGCCGCGACATCCAAATTCGACAACGACACCGAGCTGTCCACCCTCTGGATTCTCCTTCTCCTTGTATTGGAGCAGCTCGTAGGGAGATAGATATTTTTATTGCCATCGTGATTTTTACGACCCTTTCCTCTCTCCTCAAAAAGCTCAACCCGCGTGGCCCCGGTACGGTACCATCCGCTACCTTCAATCTCCTCTACCCAAAATGGAGGCATCAAGAGGCCCTCCGAGGGTCAAAAACAAGGCCCCGGCGCCACAGCAGATATCTGCTGAACAGCTCCTTCGAGAAGCTGTCGACCGACAAGAACCCGCCCTCCAAGCTCCTACGCAGCGGTTCGCCGATCTAGAAGAGCTCCATGAATACCAAGGTCGGAAACGCAAAGAGTTCGAGGACTATGTGCGGCGGAATCGCATTAGCATGAACAACTGGATGCGATATGCACAATGGGAATTGGAACAGAAAGAATTCCGCCGTGCGAGGTCGGTGTTCGAGCGGGCCTTGGACGTTGACCCGACAGCTGTGGTATTATGGATTCGTTACATTGAAGCTGAGATGAAGACGAGGAATATCAATCATGCACGGAACCTGCTTGACCGCGCTGTGACTATTCTTCCCCGGGTGGATAAACTTTGGTATAAATATGTTTATATGGAAGAGATGTTGGGTAACATCGCGGGAACACGTCAAGTGTTTGAGCGCTGGATGTCATGGGAGCCCGATGAAGGCGCCTGGGGCGCTTATATTAAGCTTGAAAAACGATATAACGAATTCGATCGGGTGCGCGCGATTTTCGAGCGCTTTACTGTTGTTCACCCGGAGCCGAAAAATTGGATTAAATGGGCACGGTTTGAGGAAGAGTATGGAACAAGTGACTTGGTGAGGGAGGTTTACGGCCTGGCTATCGAGACTCTGGGTGAAGACTTCATGGATGAGAAGCTTTTTATCGCCTATGCTCGATATGAAGCTAAACTGAAGGAGTTTGAGCGGGCCAGGGCGATCTATAAATATGCTCTGGACAGATTACCACGGTCGAAATCCATGGCTTTACATAAAGCCTACACCACCTTCGAGAAACAGTTTGGTGATCGAGATGGAGTTGAAGATGTCATTCTTGCGAAACGGAGAGTCCAATACGAAGAACAGATCAAAGAAAATCCGAAAAACTACGATATATGGTTTGACTTTGTTAGATTGGAGGAGACATCTGGTGATGTGGACCGCGTGCGGGATGTCTATGAGCGCGCGATTGCACAGATTCCCCCATCACAAGAGAAGCGACACTGGCGTCGGTACATTTACTTGTGGATATTTTACGCTCTCTGGGAAGAACTTGAAACCAAGGACATGGAACGCGCTCGTCAAATTTACCAAGAATGCATAAAACTGATCCCCCACAAAAAATTCACATTCGCGAAGATCTGGCTGATGAAGGCCCAATTCGAAATCCGGCAGATGGACCTTCAGGCGGCGAGAAAGACCCTGGGCCATGCGATTGGTGCCTGCCCAAAGGACAAGCTATTCAAGGGCTATATCGATCTAGAACGACAGCTTTTCGAGTTTGTTCGATGTAGGAAACTATTCGAGAAGCAAATCGAATGGAATCCTGCAAATTGTCAAGCATGGATAAAATTTGCAGAACTGGAGCGGGGGCTAGATGATATTGACCGAGCACGCGCTATATATGAGTTAGGCATTTCCCAACCAGTCCTAGACATGCCTGAGCTTCTATGGAAGTCGTATATCGATTTCGAAGAGTACGAGGGAGAGTACGATAGAACTAGGATGTTGTACGAACGCCTCCTTGAGAAGACAGACCACGTCAAGGTCTGGATAAATTACGCGCGATTCGAAATCAATATACCTGAAGGAGAAGAAGAGGAGGAAGAGGAAGAGGAAGAGAAACCGGTTAGCGAAGAGGCTAAGCGCCGTGCTCGGAAGGTCTTTGAGCGGGCGCATAACGTATTTAAGGAGAAGGAGATGAAAGAAGAGGTATGTCTATGCGTGTTTTCATTTTTATTTTTTTTGTCCCCGCCATTTTTTCAAAATCACGGGTCAAATTATGACGAAAGCTAACCATACGTTCCCCAACATTATAGCGAGTCGCTCTGCTTAATGCATGGAAGTCCTTCGAGCAGACGCACGGGTCACCGGATGACATCACCAAGATCGAGCGACAGATGCCCAGCAAGGTTAAGAAGCGACGCAAGCTGGATGATGATCGCTATGAAGAATACATGGATTACATGTTCCCCGCAGACGACGAGTCGTCGGCCAAGTTGTCGCAGATTCTGCAGAGAGCACACCAATGGAAGAAACAGCAGGCGAGCAGTATGGGCAAAGGAGAGGCATGAAGGCACATTTGGCGGGAAGAGTTTTAGTTGGATGGACGTGTTTTGTTTCTATTATTCAAAATTGTTTAGCGGGCCGTTCTTTATGGGTAACCTCTCAAGGCGTATGTAGCCTGTGTTGTTGAGTTCTTTTTATTCCGAAAAGTAAAGGACAATATGTCAATGTTATGTTCCTCCATCACATCACTTTTTACTCACATCAGTCTAATCATCATCCATCGGCCACCCATCATCTCAGACCTTTCGAAAATTCATCAATTCCGTCCATCTATAAAAACTCCTTTTCTCAACATATGTACAGTACAACCAACTACAAACTCACACTATGATCAAAATGCCCCATCCCATTCCAACCAACGTTTCTTGAAGCTCATCCTTCACTGCAACATTTGTCGTAAAAGAAATTACCCCGTCCCCCGCAATCCTGCCAATGACGCCAGTAATCCGTCGCTTCATCAAACACCGGTTGGAGGTTGAGTGCTCAGGAGGAGGAGGCGCCCGGCTATTCTATGGACGTGTGACTTAAAACCACTCACTAGCATTTAACACACTCACACCACCCACCCCACCCCACCCAGCTTTAACCAACCAACCAACCCAACGAAACGAAACGAAACGAAACGAAACGACTAGTCCCAAAGAACGAAATCACGAACTTGAGCCTAAGTGGTTGGGTTGGGGGGGGGGGGGGGAGACATTCAGGCACAGATGTTAGTTGTCTGGCTGGTTTGACGAGGTTTTCAAAAAGAGATATTTTGCATGCTGTATGTAGTTAACTAATGCGCGGTGACGATGCCGCAGGTACGGTAGTTACACTTGTATGCTCTTTTCGCCCCTCTTGATCAACGCACTGGGCCTGTGCTGTGCATTTGCCGATACTTTCTCTTAGATATTATGCACTCGGCAACAGAGAAGTAAGTATAGGCAAGGCAAGGCAAGGCAAGGCAAGGCAAGGCAAGGGCATAGTCCATGTACGTACAGTCCTCCACGCGAAGTCGCGAGGTATTTTGAATGCACTGTACTGTACATATATAATATATATGTACTACTACTGTACCAATGATGGGTGAAAAGGTTACGTTCGCATAAATACGGGTATGTGTGTCCGGCCTTCGAGTCTTTTTTCAGCTTCCTTTATCAAAAATCAGTCGCTGAAAGGTGAACAAGCAGGCAGGCTGGTTTTGCCCCAATTATTTACTCTCGGAGTTAGCCCGGGGGGGGGGGCAAAAGAAACACGCAAAAACAATTAAACCTGGAGTTTTCTGAACGCTTCAACGTCCTTTCTTTCAGCTCTCAATAATAATAATAATCAAGGAGCTGTGCAACGGGAAGGGAGAAGGAGAAGCAGAGTTTAAGCATTGGTTGGTTGGCTCTTTGGTGATAAATGGCGGTGGCAATGGTCTGCCTCACTGCGCGAATAATAAATGCGGGATGGGATTGCAGGATTGCATTATTATTATTATTGTTGAGATTCTTTAACGACCACACAACACACAAGCGAATTATCTATGTTGTTGGTTTGGCTGAACTGGGCACTTTTTTTCTTTTACCAAAGTTTTTCCCTGTCGCCCGTCAAGCGGTCACTACTGCTTGGGCGGCCCTGGCAGGTATTCGATTTTCCGGGCTCAGCTCAGAGAGTTAGTTAGGGGGGTGTGCGTTTTCCTTTTGCCTCCTCCTGGTTGGGACTTGCGAAGATGATCAGCCGGATCAGAGGTTCCCTTTGTTTGTTCTGTCCAGCAGTGACGAATGAGAGGGAGCGAGAGCAAGGAAGCAGAGGGGTTTTTTTTATTATTCTCTTCTCTTTCTTGGATATCCGATTTCTTGCCCTTGTTTTCATCTCTCTTGCTTCCTCTCTTTGCTCCCTTGCTTGTAAGGGCGTCCATTCCTCAGGCCTACTTACTCCGTACATACATACGGATGGGCTCCTTTGATGGCAGGCATGTAATACATACATACTCATGGGGAGGGAATATGCTTGCCTGCCTTCTATCTCTCTTTGTTTTTCCGAAATTTGTTTACGGATATAACTACATGGCAACTTTATCGAAATTGTGAGTTAACTACCTGATGGAATGTGTGAGAAGAAATAAGAAAACACCAATATTGCCAATAATAATGCATGTCTTACCCGTTTCTCTTTACGCTTGTGTTTGCTAGGGCTGCCATGGTTTGCGGCTTTCCATTCACAATTTGGTTGTCTTCTCCTGTATTTAAGCAGTTAACAAGAAATGATCTGAATAAACCCAGCTGATAAGAGAGTCAACTGATCATCAAGCATAAAGAATCAAAAGCAAGAAAGGACTATCAAAGAATCTTTTGTACGTTTTGATCTGGGCTTTATTATTATTATCCTTCTTCTTCTTATTATTTTTTTCCTGACTTGCATTATTTTCCTTCCTGATTACGCAGTAAAGTTTCTGGATAGATGACTCGGGCCAACCCGTGCTCCAACCACACAGCGGCGGTTGCGTTTCGATGTTGATGTCGTCATTCATCCAACAGGTTTCTTTGGTTAGGCGCTCACACAAAACATGCTAATGTCTCTTTTATTATTATATTATTGTTACTTACATCCTCCCTCTGATGAGAAGGAAAAGTATAGAGGAGGAGCGGTCTCTCCCATCATTATTTCCATGGAGCCAATGGTTGCGCCAAACAGGAATGGCAAATGCGTACGAGCGATCCAGTTGCAACAAACAGCATTGCATTTCCGCCGAGTGAAATTATCTTATCCCTTTATTATTTCTTTATTCCTTTACTTTTTTTTTTTTTTTTTTTTTTTTTTTTTCAAGCTATGATTTTTCTTCTCAGCGGCGGGCAGGGAGGGAGCAGAGAAGAAGGGGGGAAGGACGAGGCGTGATTTTGTGATTGTGTAACCCGTTTGCAGCTGGTGGATACAGAACCAGGTCGATGCATTAACATTGACGGGGACTTTTTTTTTTTTTTTTTTTTTTTTTTTTTTTTTTTTTTTTTTTTTTTTTTGCGTCCTGGATTTCGGTGTCTCTAATTTTTCTCTTTTGTGGGAGGGGATGATCAATCGCAGGTCTTCAAGATTTGGTGGGCATATCTACTGCGTATGCAAGGCGTTCCCTACGCAAAGCAATCGTACCCCTGGAATTCTTGACCTTTGCTTCCATAGTTTGGGGATGCCAATGCGAGCTCTTGAGGGTATTTTTGCGCATGCACATAAATCACATCCGGATATACATTCATATATACAGAGTAGCAGAACTCGAGTTTTGCTTGACCATGCGTGCGGAGTGTAATAATAATGATGATGATAATAATAAAAGTTGTCGTGATACTGCGTAGATAGAACAAGAATAAATAACCCAGGGGAAGGGAGAAAGAATGTTTTGTTTCAATAAATACCACGCCACAATGCTCTGGTGACAGCGTTCAGCCGCCAATTTCTGTGACGGTACTCCGTAAGTTACCTGCTAACAAAACAGTACGGGGGTGCCTGGTAATGAACCTGTATTGCGGTGGTCCTTGTCTCCGCCAAGCCCTGCGGGGCAATGTATCAGATACATCCGCCGTCAGCAAAAGTACCCCACATTCTCTTGTCACAGGTACTGTACCTGGGCACCGCCCTGCGCTAAACGGAGTCCGTTATGCTTGGATCGTACTGTAACTTCTTGGCGCTCCCCTCTCGCTGCGATTGAGTTCAGACAAGGATTCGATTTCGTGCTAGCAGTGTTTGGTGTCTAGAATTATTTATTGATGAATTGTTGGGAGGAGTATTAATGAAGGGAACATAATGGAATATCCGGGATATATTCAACTGGGCATTTTATGTCTTGAACTGCAATGGATAATGGATATTATATGGATGGATGGGGGTTGTCCCGAGTAAGATTGACGGTTCCCAGCGTGGGGCCGCCGTCAGCCAACTCGAGAATTACATCGTACACTACTCCGTACACATCGTACGCAGCGTAATACCAACTTACCAAGGTTAAGCCCCTGGCCAAAGATACAGCCAGCCTTCTCTTGGCTCTTGGGCCGTTTGGGAGAACCAAAATTACCTCTAAAATACCGCAGAAATACCAGCCCGGCTGTTTCAAGACGCTCGTACAACTAATAAACTGCCTTATGCTTGCTGTATGCTGTAACGTACGTAACGCTGTAAACATTCATTCATTCTTCTTCCTCCTTTTCTTTTCTTCTTCACCCCATCCCTCACCATCCCTCACCATCCCTCTCCCTCTCTCCCTCTCTCTCACACACACATCACCTCTCCTCTCCTCACATCACCTCACCTCTCCTCTCCTCTCCTCTCCTCTGTTTCTGGCGCCTTGTTTGCCCTTCTTTACGGCTCTTCCATTCCTTATACACACACACACACTCTCTCTCTCTCTCTCTCTCTCTCTCTCTCTCTCCTTGCGCTTTTGCTTGCTTCCATTCACTCTCTCCATTGTTGTGCTTGCTGTGCTTCTCCTCTCGCTGGTTTGAGATACACCCAGTCTGGATACTTGCTATACCTGTTCTTCAACTGTCTTCCCTCCCCCCTCTCCCCCTTTCTCCCCCCTGACCTCACCTCTACCAGCAGCGACAACAACAACAACAACACTCAACGCGCTTGTCCCACTTCTACCTCCCTTTAGCGCATTCTCAATTCATATCCTCTCCTTTGGTCGAGAGTTAGATTTCCTATTCAACCCCCCGTATTTTCGACAAAAACGGACCATTGACACCGTGGATCGATCGTCGTTGGTGGTATTATTGGTTGGTTGGTTTAAAGAAATCGAATAAATCTGAAAAAAAGAAAAAAAGAAAAAAAAAAAAAGTAATTTCGCTCGCATTGGGTTAGATTCCACTCGACTGATACATATATATCATTGTTTCTTTGTGGTTGGGAATGAAGGACTACCACTGTTGACCTAGAAGGTATCGACTCAGCCTCATCTCACTGCGTCTTCGGATCGGATCGTGGTTATTTCTTTCATCGGAATCACGGTTATCTGGTGCATGAGATAAGGCGTTTTTTTTCTTCTTCCTCTGGTTCTGTGTGGCCTCGGCTTGGGAATCCATCGTCCCGCAAAACTTCCATCAACGACTTACGACCCCCTTTTTTAGTGAATCGGAACATTGCACCATGAGATAGGTATTGCGGCGTCATATTTTCTTAGGCTACCTCACCTCTCCAAAGCCGTTGAATAATCCCCCCCCCCCCCCCCCGGGGACGAACGCTCACTTTACATATCCTCCTTTTCACAGTCGAGAGGCGTTTATAGCCCCTCACTCTCTCTTCCACGAAGATGTCTCTCCCTAAACCCCCAGTTGAACTCAGGGGTCATTGTTCTGTGGTCCATGACAACGTTCTTTATATCTATACCCGCAATGCTTTTATATCGCTGCCATTGAAGCTCGACGGAGAATGGTCAAAGCTTCCCATGGGAGTGCCGGTTTCAAATGCAGCCTGCACATTGGGAGGAGTGGACGGTAACCCGAATGACCCAGGTATTTACGTGGTTGGAGGAAAGTCTGATTCTCCTGACTACAGTGGCATTCAGCTTTATTCGTTGAAGGCAAAGAAATGGAGAACCTTGGAGCTGCGAGATAACAACAAGGACATCAAAAACCGCATCCATCATGACGCTATCTACCTGACTGCTTCCTCGTCACTCTTGGTCTTTGCAGGCAGCCAGGGTGGAAACATCCACCCGTCCACACAAACGTTTTTGATCCCCGCCGCTCCTCCACATGCAGTTGAGTCCTTTATGGCTCCAGTTGACTCTGCCGTGGATCCATTCCTGTTACCGTGGCGTGAAGACTCTGCTTTTATGGTCGGAGGTGGCCCTACTAATACAAAAACATATACTTTCAGTAAAGCTGAAGGATGGCGGGACACCGGAGTTCCCCTGGTTCAGCCCTTGCCAGAAAAATCCAAAGTTCAGTGCGCGATGCTAAGCGGTGCAGACGGTAGTAGAGTTCTCGAACTCTTTGATGTGAGTAAATCGCCTAATTCAGTATCGCGATATGTGATGTTGCGTGCCGGTGGTGTTCCCGCCCGCCCTGGTGAGCAAATTGGTGGCAGTGCCTCCCGACCAACGAAGAGACAAAGGCGCGATGTGACTTTGGCGGATTTCCCCAAATACGATAATGAAAACGCCCCGAGCACGACTCTCAATGATTTCTCGCTTGCTCAAGATGGGAATGGATTGGTGGTCATTTCCGGACGGGATGATGACTACCCAGTGAGGATTTTCGACCAGTCTAAAAATAGTTGGGTTGATACAAAACAATTGCTCCTCGGAGACAACGCAAAAATTACCTCGAGCACCAGCACCAGTATCCCCACCACGTCTTCGTCGACTTCTTTCCCATCTTCAAGTGCATCTATTGAGCCCACGCCTTCTTCTACCAGTGTCGCTGGATTGGTGCCTGGCGCCAGCAACAAGCGGACGTTGACTATCGTAGGCGCCACCCTGGGAGCAATCTTGGGCGTTGCCGCACTGCTGATCCTTATCCTTCTCTTCATCGGCTGGAGAAAACGACGAAATCGGTACATGAACAGGGGCAAAGATGGCTACCAGGAGGATAAAGATCGACTCAGCTTCCAGGACCAAGGAATGGAACCTCTAACCCGCTCTATAGAGCCAATGGCAAGAGGGCCTGTACCCTCGACAAATTCTTGGGCTATAGTATCGGGTCAAGTTGATGATAGACCGCCGAAATCTAGTATTCCCATGCGCCCCAGCCCCGCTCTGGGAGCGGTAGAAAAGGAGATGGGCGGCAAGAGCCCTCTTCGTCAAATCCAAACAACTGACCTTCCAGGCGAGAATACGATATCCCTTCCGGGCGATGAAGATGCTACTCGAGGCGATCGACGTACCGATGAGGGATGGAGCAAATATTTCCAGGGCGACAATGAGAGAAAGCTGGCTGGGGACACATCTGCCAGGTCGTCGGCGGCTTCTTCCCAGATGACAAAGTCAGACTACAGGAATAGTGATTGGCCTACGATTTCGACTAACGTCGCACCTCTAAAAATTAACCAATTGAACAACGCCCAACCTATCGGCCGGGTCCTTTCTGGCAGCCCCAGCACGGAACATCCACCAAGGCTAGGCGATTCCATTGTCATGCAACAGGGATTAACGGCGAAAATTTCCAGCGCGGATTCCATTAGCATAGCGTCTGACGACTATGAGGATGATAGATATTCATCTGCAGAGCCAGCAACTATTCACGAAAACACAGGCTGGTCTGCCATAGGAGGACATCATTTCCCGGGCGAGCGTGTCGCAAGTAGCAATTATTCTGGCAGCTTGTTTCAGTTGCCCTTTATCAATCAAGCAAAATCAGAACGCCCGGTCACCCTATGGCCTTCGAACGCACCGGAGTCGTCGAGCACCCAGGACCTCTCTAAACCAGATAAGAGCGCGAACTCTGATATGAGCTGGTTGAATCTGAAGGGCACGCGTTAATCAGAATTTAAACTCGTACCAACACGCAAAATCCATCCCGCTTGCCTTGAATGTCACTTTTCCTATTTCCGCCTTCCTTAATACCTCTAAACCTTCTCCCTTTTGTCCTGTTCTAACCTTACACCTGGCTGGTACACCTGTTGGTCCGATCTCTCATAAACCTATCCCGATACCGATAATTCTCCCATCCATCCGTATGCTTGATGCAACATTTGATGTATTTAACCGTCCCATTTCTCCGATAGCATCCCATCGACCATGTGTATGGATCTGACATACCCATCTGGTACCCTTACTACTGGCACCTCCCTGACTTTATTCGTTGTATGCCCTCATTTCGTTCCTATCATTTACCCCCCTTTTTCGTATATTTTATCGTGTTGTACTTTTCATTTACCCTAAACCACCACCCGTCACCCGGCAGAGACAAATTCATTTTTGAAGCTTGATTTTCTTCTTTTCTCAGCTCATTTAGTTTTCACTTCTTTGTATCATTAATACCCATCCATTTACTTGACCCGTTTTTTCCTTTTTTTCCTTTTCTACTATTCTTCTTTCCCCCCTACCTTTTTTCCTTCTTCTTTTCTTTCCTTCTTTCTTTTTTTTTTATATCTTAAATCACTATTTTTTTGGTCCCCTTTCTCGTGCTACTTTTACACTTCTACCCGTCAGGGCCCTAGCAGCCAGCCAGCCAGCATCAGTCAGTATTCTACAAATATATAGAGTTATCACTCAGGCATTTCACTATTACTACTACTACTCCTACTCGCGATTCAACAAAGTATCTTTTCGTCTTCTCTTTTTTGCTTCCCCACACTTGAACAAAAAAAAATAAAACAGAAAAGAAACGCCGCCAAGAAGAATCAAGCAGGACTGTTGCTGTTCTTTCATGTACATGTACAATGATGATAAAAAGTGGGCACCCCCTCAAAATAACAAAAATAAAGTTTCTCCTTCCTCCTTATACCACCTTTCATTATACACCTCTCCATAAATCCCTTTTTCTGTTATTTGTCCCTCTTGTTCTCAAAGTTTTTTTCCCTTCCCCCCCCCCCTTTTTTTTTTCACTTCTTCATCAAACTACCCTCCGTTAATTTCCTTGCGGAACTCCATATTTATTTTTGACCTTCAGCCTAGCGGGATAGATAGTTCTCGTCACGGGAGCTACCTATGTACCTAGCCCCTCTTTCTCCCCCCTCTCCCTCCCCGTGTGCGGCCTGTTTTGGCTAATCGAACTAAGTCTTTTATGTGGTTGTGTGGAGGGGAAGGGGAATTTTCTTTTGCGGGAGGGGAGAGAAAGAGAGGAGGAACGAAGAAGGGGGGTTGAACAAGGGTTTTTTTTTTCTTTTTTTTTTCTTTTTTTTTTCCCTTACACAGGAAAGGATTCATTTCGGTACGGTACAATGATTGAATCTATTGTCTGATATGGGAGCTTGCCCTCTTCTATATGGTTGTTTACCCTCCGAGTTGAATGGTTTCTTTTTTAATTCTTTCTATCTTCCTGCAAGCCTTCTGAGATATACACATTACAATCAGATGTAGATGGTGGTTTAAATGCTTGAGCAGGATTGTATGAGCTCTTTTATTTATCTCTAGAGCAATGTTCTTTGGTCGTCTTGAAGGGATGTAATAAGATATGTATACCTTTTTTTTTTTTTTAGTATGACTGGCAATTTCTTTCAATAAAGAAAGCAACATTCAGTGATAGGAAGGAGTATGTGGTGCATATGAAGAAGCTTTCTGAAGTTGTCATACATACACATATATATTATATATATGTCTACAAATTTCATGAGAGATAAATCATATCAATCAATTAACTATACTGTTTGTAGCCAATGAAGTATTCTAGAAGCCACTTCACCTCATTTTACTCCACATCACATCTGTTTGGCTGATGAACTGATATCTTGAGATCTCATAATATTTGCAGAATTACATCCTATGGGCCTAGCAGTTTTTTTTAGTTTTCCTCTGAGCATTCATTCTTCTTCACCACAGGCCTGCTAATGTGTCATACATATTCTTGATATATATATCCACTGTGAAAATTTCCCAAGCTCTGTCCTTTTTCGACCGATGGCTCTGGCTGGGGCTTAGCAGCACCACCTGCTTGCTCGTCTAAACGGAGACTGTAGTATCAACGTCGTTTCGCAGCCTCTCTCATTCTACCTTCATCTAAATTAGACGACCTGGGAAGGGGAAGTTGTGGAATCATGAAGGTTGTGTGGGTGTGGGTGGGTTGCATGTTTCGCTTCTCCCTTCTGTAAATGCATATCAGCCACCAGGGAAGTAGTTAAGTAGTTATGCATATGCATTCGTCAAGATAGATCCACTATTCGTAAGAATCTACAAGTCGAAACTTAAGTCTCCTTTTCCCACTCGGGTCCCCGAAACGTGCCGCAGGTCACAGGAATCAATGTCTCCGAGTCTGCCAAGTCCGGATTCTTTACCTCTGTGCACATAGGCAATAGGTGTTGGCCCTTTTCTTTTTCTTTTTTTTTCTTTTTTTTTCCCCGCCTCCCGCTCTAGACATCCAGAGGTATTCTTGATTTGTATTCTGAAGCCGTATTAAGAATTGATCGCGGGGCCAAGCACAGGATCAGTTGTATCAGCTGCCACGATGACTGCATCTGACTTCCATAGGACTTTCCGGGTTATCTCGGTATGGGTTAGGGTTTCATAAAATAGAGCGTGTTTTGCTGGGCCTCCCGGCTTAATTATCTCTGATATTGTACGGAGTACTCCGTATACTGCTCGGAGACACCCTTCTGGGAGGACTATGAAAGGCAAGGACCGCCGTCTGGATCGGGGTGGAGGCGTTAACGTTTTTTGAGGGTCCAGAGACAGGGGTCAACAGTCTGGGCTGGGGCCATCTTATTGGAAAAGCCTTCTGATGATGACAGCAGAGCCGTCTCCACGTAGACAGTAGGTAGGTAGGGTAGGGTAGTAGGTCAACAAGGGAGCCTTATGGACTACAAACAGGGAAGAAAGGTTGGAAAGCCTGTCTATAATAAGACCAAGATTATGGATTATGGACCAATCCAAGATGGCAGACGAATTACGGAATTGGGAAAGGGAATAAAGCGCGAACGTCAATGGTCAGCAATTCAATAATAATCATTTAGCGTTGAGGTAATTCGAAGTGATTTCATGCGCGCCTGATAGGCGACGGCAGTAAATGTAACGGTGCTGGGTTAGTTAGTGCATGTAGGGCATGGATGACCCTGCCATACTCCCCTAGCACTAACGTCTCCCCATCCCATCACCAAAATCGAGAAGGGAGGGGAATGGGAAAACGTGGATTGGGCGCCGCTGCGTTTCAGAGACTTTCTTAATTCCCAACTCGGTGGAAATCATACGATTGGTCGGTCTGGCTGGGGGAGGGGGTAGGTAGGATCTTGGCTTTGTAATTCAACAGTTCACTGTACTTTGAAGCTCTGAACTTTTTCTCTTGGCCGGAACTTCATTCGTCGAGTCAATCTAAGTACAGCCGTTGCAAGGCGGGTGGGGGGATGTGTGATTTAGTTCAGGGATTCATCAATGGAACGAAAGACGGTCCAGCACGCAGCACTTGGGGACGTTCCTTCATACGCGATCAACCTAGATATCATCCATTCATTTTAATATTAAAACATTCGCGAAACAAGAATGGTATGATGGGTCGCCGCCGGCATGTATCTGGCGAGCAGAGTTCACAGAGCATCGTGCCGAGTTTCTTTCTTTGCGCCTCCAGCCGCTATTTCTTGAGCGATGGCGCAATCGTTGGCGACGTCGGGGGATAAAGAGCAAGAAAATTGCTATTTATTATTAGGTAGCTTCCACTCTCGCTTCGTGAACTAAGTCTCGTTTTAGCTCTGCAGGAGTGGCTGGCAAAGCAGCTCGCCAGATCAACCGACATATCCTGTCGGCAGAACTGCCGCGCCCATCCATCCTCCGCAGCCGTCCAATGGCAAGCCTATGCGAGTACCTATCTCTCCAGGTTAGATTTCGCGCCGATCATTAAGCGAACTTCAACTTCGCCCTACAGGCTACAGGCGACGTGGTATCTTGCTACAAACCCTTCCCCATATCCCGCCGCCGAACGGCATACTTGTGCAGATCTTTGATAACCGGCCATTCGGTGAGAAAATGCAGAAACGGGTTATCCCCATTCCTTACGCCAGTTAGAAATGAAATCCACTGCATAGTAGTTTCTCCATGCAAGTTTGGTGTGGCCGCAAGCGACTTGAACTTTCTTCCGAACGAATCGTCGCAGCCAACTTTTCAGCCATCTTCGCAAATCGCCATGGGTATGTGCTGTACGGAGTACATATACTTCTAAGTGAGGCAGTATATTGTGCCAGTTTCTTATTAGTGCATTCATGAATGCGAGGCGAAATGTAGCCGACTAGACATCTAAGAGTTTGGCTAGAGGTGAGAACCTGCGGCCGTTGTTATGCCGATTCGTTCCTACACATGGTTGGAGGCAAGCTGGTAACGTTAACCGTCATGTTTGAGGTACCACAAACCGATCCGCTGAATGGCCACGCGCTGTTCCTTTCTCACGGGTCAGAGTGGATTGTCAAGCTGTAAGAATTTAGCTGCGCTAGTGCAGGGTCTGGAAGCATTTCTGGTCTAGAGAAATGATAAGCAAATGAACTGAAAATAAAACCACAGCAGATAGATCAAGACACAACGGCTCTATCGACGAGCCCGACAGTTAGCCAGGACGCAAAGTGCGGTGAGATGGGTTTTGGAGGAGAGCTGAAAGGAGCAGGGCTCCGAGCTTCGAGCCTTTGTAATGTTAAAGCTGTCTCACGCCGTTTCACTTCTGGCTGCATATGAAAAAATGGGTTGTTGCTTCCTTGGCGATCGTCCCTCTGTCGATACAGATGATACCCTTGTCGCTTCTTTGTAGCTTACAAGTGGCTTGACTAGGCGATGCAGCTAGTGTCCTTGGAATGTTTCCCGGCTTGAACCTTATCCTGCTTTACGAAGACATCATCTGATAAACTCGCAAGCGTGTCAGATTACTCGTGATTGGAAGCCAAGGGTGCTCCCAGTGACGTAAGAGAAATTACGCTTGCGCCACAGAAGTACATTTCAGGTAAAACCAAGAGGAGACTCTGATAGTACTACTCCATTACTCCATAGAACAAAGGAGAGTTGTCAGAATTCCTCACTCAACAAAGTCTGCGCGAGTCCTTCATCGACTCCTTGGGTATCACCTCCCTAGTTCTGTCGAGAGAAGGCCCGGCATATTAGGATATGAGTTAGGGCAGAAAAAAGGCAACATTGTATGTAGTTCGAATCATCTTTGGGCCCTTGTAGGGGATCCGTCGTCAAGAAGAACCAATACAAGGCAACAGCAGCAAAGTTCTGGCAGACCAGACCTAGCAAGCCGCGAGGGTCGAAAACCCATCCCTGTCGTATCCGCCGATGACGCTAGTCTGCTAATGAAACGGCGGTCATACATATCAGCTCCTGAACGCCAAAGACAATAATAATAGTTCGAATAAGGAATGCCTGGGCCAGAATTGAATGTATGTGCCATTCTTCCATCAAGCTAATTTCCCAAAGCTGCGCCACGAGTTCTCTCTTTTCGGCTATGCATGGAGAGTGTTAGCAGTGGGAATGCATAGAAAAGGTGTAACTTTATTGACTTCCTCAAGTTGCTAGCTTATCAAGACACCCCCCCCCCGGTTCTTCATATTCATTTGGGTATTTTACCAGACCCGGGCAGGAAGCACAAGCTAGTAAGTTGCCAGTGTTCTTCTGGAAATTTTGCCATGTCCGGACTGAAATTATGAACATAACATCATTCTGCACCCCTTCAGCCTCTCCAACCTAGAGATGCAACCGCCAAGTGTTTGAAACACTACCCTACCTTGGCTTTGTGTTGATATCTCAAGGGTTATGCTGATCCCCACGTGATTTCGAGTTGCAAAATGCGCTGTCACTATGGCAACACAACCAAGATTAGGCTATTCATCAGTAAGGGATGTAGCCGCCAGCGGTCCAGAAAACCCCAAACTCAAGCAACGAACTCATTTTGATGCGTGAAGAGGACTTGCCTGCAGCCTGCAGGTTGAGGCTGGGTGGAGCTTGCGACAGAAATTGGTTAAACAGGTTTCTTCTAGAAGGTGCAGAACCTTAGAAGAAGGTTCAACATTAACAAATTTAGCGTTAAAGTTAAATTAGACTTCCGCCTGAAGAGCCCCACATGTAACTGGCACATCATAGGGTGGTCATTCGAAGCGCATCATTGGTCAAAATGACTTCAACCCTTGCTCGACCCTGGAATTTAGAGTCGCGCTGGCAATTGAAAGTATCGGCCTATGTTTGTTGATCTACGGACCTTCACGCACTGGAGGGCCAATAATGGAGTACATTTACGCCTGCATATTTTTTTTTTTGAATGGCAAGCGTTGGAACACCCAAGGGAGTCGTAGAGATCCACTCCGCTGCGTTCAGACTTGTCCAGGATCAATTTTGGGCCCTGCAAAGTGGATTCTAAAGCTGTGGAAAGGAAGATAGTAGACATTTAGTCTGAGGGAAGAGGCACGAGATGCGTAAGCTCCCATGTTCATAACATTATCGGCAAGCTTGGGAGTAGTGAACATCATCTCCAGTTGCAAAAATTCAAGTTGTCCACACAGAAATGGGGGGGAAAGAAAGAAGGAAAGAAAGAAAGAAAACAGACCATCTTTGGCTCACCACGGATGAGTCTCCCACCAATTGACAACTTATGAGGTTTTGTTGGCAAGCAATAATTTATTACAACAATGAGTTTCCCCACAAGCTCAGATCTTAGCCATTCGTAGCTCGCTGTGTTAAAGTTTGGAGAACTAATATAGTCAGCGATTGCTCGAAGGCGCCAGAAGACATAGCGTCACATAGATGCATCATCATCACTGCCAAATTGGCGTCTTGTTCTTCTTAGTTTCCGGCCGTACGGACCGCCGTCCAATCAGGCCAATCGCGCAGTCTTCATTATTATCTGGCCTCGACGCTCAAGAAAGCGCCAGACACCCGCCAACTTCCACACTTACCGGGAACTTGATGGGGGGGTTGTGGAGGGACGAACGAGAGCAAAAATACCAAGTGATGAGTGGGGCCCTTCCCTGAGACTTATTACTGCGTATAGCTGCTGAGGCGGGGCAAGCTGTGGACCTTACACCGTACAAACACTACGGAGTACTGCCCAAAACAAAGGCAGTAGCGTAGCACCCTACTTCCCGTCTCGGAACAGTCTCCTTTGCTGCGGGTTCAGGGAGGTTGAAGAAAAATTATTAGGATTACCAGGCATCTACTACAGGGCTGAGAGACAATTTCTGGAGGCAATTGACTCAAATAATGGTTGGCCGTGGAAAATCAGTCTTAATGTGAGGCGGGTTGATATGCTAGGAAAAAAAAAAAAAAAAAAAAAATCCCTTGGTAGCCAGAGCCGAGTTTCCGGGCTGTCCCTCGCATTTGACAAACAATTCCGCTTTGTCAAAAGAGACAGAGAGCGCAAGACAAAGCCATAGGATTCTGGAAGATTTGCCGTGGATCTGGCGTAATAATGAACAACAAGGATGTTGTTGTTATTATTATTTCGCTGGGGGCCGATCGTATCTGGCCGAATTCCGTCCTTCGTTTCTCCTTAGGCGGCGTGCTTCCGCCCCACCCTGCCGCGCCAATTTTCCAAACCTTATAGGTACACTTGCGTGAAAGAGATGGAACGTCAGGAGAGAGACGGATGGAGTCATAGCTACATCGGCAGCTGGTGGTTGAATGTTTGTGTACATTAATCACCCTAGCACGTTTGAGGAAATACGAGACAAACCGCTGTTTATTCAGTAAGTTTACGGAAAAGGAATGAACGGAGAGTGCATATTAATCCCAGTACTTCCAAGATCCTGAAACCCCATGTGGCTGGATATGTTGTCGTGGACCTAGATCAGTCGCTAATAAGATAAAGAAATTGGTGTGTGCGCAATGAATGAATATCGACCTAATAATTGGGAGCCTGTTCTTTTTTTTCCCCTTGTTTTGTGAAAGAAAAGGAATATGTCTGTTATTGCTCTGATGTGGTTGCATTGAGATCCCTGGCAATATTAATGGAATAAGAGTCATATACCGCAAGGCTTTTCAATTTTGCTTGAGGACTCAAAGAGGATCCAGCATCTACGGAGGAGGATGGACTTTGATGTATCTCGTTGCAAAGGCTGTCTCTAGGGTGTTAGCTTGAAACCGCTCCGTGCGTGTGAAGGATCATATCGACGCGAACACTTGAAGAATCAATAAGAAGAGAAAAGAATAGAGTATCCATGATCTTAATTGGTGGATGTAGACAATCAGCCCAGCTATAGAACGGCGGCACGTTTTTCATCAATGAGGCCCTATGAGGCGATTATGCGTGGCCAAGCACTCAATCAAAAAAAAAAAAAAAAAAAAAAAAAACGGAGACCTGCTCCGGTTTCCGGGCTCTTTCTTCTTCATCTCCTTCTTCCTTAATAATAAGGGTTGCTGTCTGGGGTTTGCCCCGGAAAATCAAGTGCGGGATGGATGGGGCGGGGAGACCTTCATGGGGCTCATATCAAATCCCGATGGGCTAAAAACCCGCCGGACACCAAGAGATGCAAGGTGGTCTCAGCGTTTCAGAGGTACAGCTGTCGTGGATTCTGGCTGCAGCCTGATGCCCTTTTAGCTTGTTTCACTCCTCCTTTGTACACAAGCTAGGCCTTGAAGCGAAGGAAACGGTGACACTGTGAGGGGAGAGAATTGGAGAGGCAGAGCCATCGCCGCGCAACATATGATATGGGGAGAACTGGAGTTCCTTGGCGGAGTTGCTTCTTGGAACTGGCAATCACCCCTGAAGCAAATGTGCCTATGCACCACAGTGGGGATTGTCTCCTTTGCCCGCGGGGCTTTTAATTGGGAATTTAGTTGGGGACGGATTCAGGGCCGCGATGGGATTCTGGCCATGTTGATGCTCTTAATTTGAGCTAGCTATTTATGACGCCCTTGTGCCTTTCAAATCTCTGGTGGCATAAATATTAAGAAGACGGCGGTGTTATGGGAATCCATATTACCCCGAAAATGACGCTGGGATGCGTTGTGAATGTTAGTAACTATTCTGTACATACGAGGATAGAGAAATGATGGAGGTTCTTCAGGGTCATGGATCGCAATCTGTGACGGGTTTTTGATCGTGATGGCATGGCGTCCTTGCTGGCGAATGTTGGCGTGGGGTCTCCTGCTGTACACAACAGGAACTACGGAGTAGTACAGAGTACAGGTCGGTCAGTGACAGGAACTCGTGGCTGGGGATAGATATCAGCCTCCGTGATTAGCGCTTCCAAGCGCTGGAGAGTGGAGCTCAACGGAAGCCAGAGGCACATCTCATGGGAAAGTTCGGTGTGTGTTGCTCATAATCTCGTGCAGGCCGCGCTAGTTTTCATATTGACAGGAATAATAAGAATTACTGGGTGTTTGTGATCGGTGTGGAGAAAAGAAACGTTGCGTTGTTGCTCCTACATCTTCAGGGTTATATCATCAAAAAAAGCGACTTCACCATCGTATTTTACCAACCACGTTCATGAACCACACAGCTCTTTACTCCGTACAAGGATTATATCCGTCCGTTTTTCATTTTTGCTTTTTTTATTTCCATTTTGTTTGCTACACCAGCCCCATGTCGAGGACCCTTGCTCTTAACCGAGCATTTGGGGCTACTATCAGCGCGCTAACTACAGCAGAGAGCGGGCTACCAAGACAGTGGATTAGCCGATTTGGGAATTTGCTTTGGCCTTGTCTGTTTTTTTTTCTTTTTTTTTCTTTTTTTCTTTTTTTTCTTTTTTCTTTTTTCTTTTTTCTTTTTCTTCTCGTTCGTGTTGTGGAGTGTTTTTCTTTTTAGCTCCCACGTGTAACGTGTCAAGTGTCAAATGTCAAGAAACATGGAGAGGAACATAATAATAATGCGGAGTTGCAGAATCACTTGGTACCTTTGTGTTACATTCGGCCAAACGACTTGTGGTGGTTCTATCTTCCCGCGCGATCGGTTGTATGAAGGGGCCCGCGCATAGCCAGCCCTTCGTTTGTGGAGTCTAGTCTAGCGGGACCCTGGAAGATCCGAGTAGTTTTTCAACGGGTGGATTTTGAAGCTCGATTAATGGTCATTATTATTATTATTGTGATAACCGGTGTGGTGTGGTGTATGAATGAAACATCAAAGTAATAATGTAATGGAATTTTGAACAAATATAGCCTCAGGAACCGAGACATTCGAGTTCTTTTTTCTTTTTCTCGGTTGGCCACCAGTTGAATTCGTGAATAATAGATAACAACTACAGCTTTGGGACTCGTGGGCTTTAAGCTTGGTATGCGGAGTGAGTGATAGAAATGACCTTGGGATGTATTACGAATGATGAATGGATGAGATCGGCATTTCTCGACTCAACAACAGCCAGCCAAGCCATGAAAATTTGTATTGTTGATTTCTGATTTCTGATTTCTGATTTCTATGAGTGTTATTATTGATGAAAGTAATAGTATTAAATAATAAAGGGTAACTACATGCATACCATACCATACATCAGATCTTCTTTGCCCTCCTCCGAGCGCCCAGGGTGGGGTGGCTGGGCGTGGCGCACCAAACAACGAAAAACATGAAAACGAATTTTTGCTTGAGGCAATCATCTCACTCACCTCATTATTGGTCCGCACCTGTTGGGTAACTAACTTACTTCATAATAATTGATTAATATTATTGCCTAAGCTTCCTCGGGGTATGGATGAATGAAATGAGCGCGTGTTTTTCGGACCCTACCCTACCCTACCACCCAAACTACAGAATCTTGAAAACAAGGAAATGATAAAGGGAAAATAATAAACAAATAAAGAACCTTGGAAAGGAAGGCAAATACATCAGCGGGGAGACTCGAGCTTGGTGTCGAATCACACAAGTCGGATATTCCCACCAGGCCTTGGTATCTGAGGCTCATGCGTTCTGCAAACCACTGATCATGTCCTCCTCCTCCTCCTCCTCCTCCGAAGAAGAAGAAGAAGAAGAAGAAGAAAAAAACGTGGCAGCAGAACAACACAGTTAAACAGTGAGCTACCGCGTCAATCAATTGAAGTCAGCTATTCATGTGCGTGCAGCACACACAAAGGGATAATGGAATACATTATTGGGTGCAATCCCGAATCACAGAGGGATAGGATATCACGCGATCCAGCCAGCAACTCTGGATGGGGCTCGGATACCCTTATGGCACCTGCAGCCTGTGAGTCCACACCGCGACGAGAGATGAAGAAGATGATGAAGATGATGATGGTGATGATGATGAATGATGAATGATGAATGATGCAGGAGAAAAAGGCATGGTTAGTGGCACCAACAGAGATACAATACGGGGGAACTCTTTTGTCCTGCATTGTGATCCTAGTCACTATACTATCTATCGCAGATTCGAGGGTTTTGCTGCGCATGTCAGGCCCGATCCTTCAAATGCAGAGTGAGGAGAGAGAGAAAACTGTGTAACCACACATTGACTCCTTGGATCTATTTATATGTACGAATGCGTATCCAAGGAAGAATGAAAGACATTACGGAGTACAGTACAGGGCGCCGGCTCTTCTTTGACTTTGGAACACGAAAACTACTGTCGCTTTAACCGTGGTGGCTCGGGTGACGATAATTCGATGTAGTTCCTATTTTCGCTGGCCCGAAACCCATATATGTGCTTCCTGCTACAATAACGTATACGTAAACGTACCGGTCTGAGCCGAAATTTTTTCTTTTATTCATTGGAAAATGGAACATACGTTATAAAGGTCGATTGGTCGGAATTTTTTTTTTTTTTTTTTTTCAGGACAAAACCAAAACCAAAACCATGATTATTCTGCATGGTATGGTATGTATGGGAATGGAATGGGATCCAAGACTAGAGAAAGTCTCCAGATTCTCGGAGCTTAGAAAGCGACCTTTTTCCGAGAGGGTTATGGACCCTTGTCTTGTCGTCGACGGGTTCGACGGTCGAGGTTGTGCCGTCGAGGGTCCTCGGGATCGCCCAGTTGGAGGGTCCCAAGGGCAGAAGAACCTAATAAGCACGCGGGAGTGGGCCAAACCAACACTCTCTTTTTTCTTTCGAAAAGAAAAAAGAAGAAAATTAATTCAGAGGCGGAAGTACGGTCAGCTGTATAGCTCGTGGCGGGCGGCGTGCCGGATTTCAAACTCCTTACGTTGTTGCTGCAAGGGCAAAACATGTATGTGGGAGTGGGAATAACAAATGATAATAATGATAATAATGATGATAATACGAGTCGATATTTAATCACACAAAGAAGAGCAGCAACGTGGGCACTTTCCATACACGCACATCCACATCCACATCCACATCCACATCCACATCCACATCCACATCCACATCCACATCCACATCCACATCCAACATCCACATGTCCGGACTGTGGACTGTGGACTGCGGACTGCGGACTGCGGACTGCGGACTGCGGACTCTCCACCTTAGACCTGAGCTTTATTATTATTAACGGACCCTTGGCAGACAGATGAACATTGATGATTTGCTCATCCCGAACCTTTTCTTTTCGTAACCTCATCGTTCCCCTTTCAGGGACCAAGGCAGGAGGCGCGCCTAGGAAGTAGCCAAAAGTCACCTCCCTCGCCCCTAAATTCTAATCCCCCCCCCTCCTCCCCCCCACTCACTCACCCCCGAAACCCGCTTTAAGATTGCCAAACACGAAACCCTTTTTTCTTTCAAGGTTTTTTCCTTTCACGAAGTTTTTCCGTTAACCCCCCCATAGTGGATATTCCCAAATCCCGCTAAGCTAAGGGGGAGTAGCTGAGTTAAAGCAGAACCAACGTCGTCATCGCGGCGTCAAGTCAACAGTGACTTGACTGGAATTGTTCCCCAAATTTTTTTTTTTCTTTTTTTTCTCTCCCATTCCCTTCCAGTCCAGTCCGTAGCAGTGGCTGTCTGACCAGGCGCAACCCAGACCCAAAATTCTAGTCATGATGCCAATCATTCCGATGGCGGAAAGTATTCGAAGGGGTTTGAACGGGACCCTTGGGAAAAGAAAAAAAGGCGCCTTGGCCTGAGGTCATTGTGAGGATGGGAGCCATGAAATTGCCATGTGTCTGGCTGCTCACTAGTTAGCTGGCCATTTTTCCTTGAAGCTCCCTGTATCGAGCGGGTGAACGTTGCGGTGTGCTATAATAGTAATAATAATGATGATGGTAATAGTAATAATAATAATAATAATATAATAATAATAATATAATAATAATAATAATAATTACACATAATATTGCGCCTGTATTCATGCCTTCGCAATATTGAGACAGACAAGATGTTGGGCAAATGGGAATTGAATTCTTAAAATTACTACTAGGAGGAATCCGATCATCCTCTCTCTCTCTACCTTAATGCTATTTTTTGCCGCTGTTGATTAATTATTGGGTATGGCATGGCAAGTATCGAGATCTCGGTTCGACGGCGATGAATGATGACGATGCGGGGGACAGCTTTTGGAAGCCTTTCTTTTTTGCGCCTCACCAACGTTATATTGCTTTTCCTCCCTCGCATTCATCTCGGACTCTGGGATATGATATGGATTATGGATGGGGAGGAGGAGTAATAATAATAATAATAATAATAATAATAATAATAATAATAATAATAATAATAATAATAATAATAATTAGTGAGAAGGTTTGGAGCCTGCAAGCCCCCTCCGGTGGTCTTCTTCCCCTGGCGCGCTTCCAGCTGGCCAACTAAAAGTCTCTATCTAGAACGTTGCAGAGAGAGTTCTTTTGTTTTCTAGGTTAGGTTGCCAGTTGCGCTTTATTGCGCTTTTGCTCCAAGCACTAATAAACGCTAATCCGCTCGGTTCCCTGTTGCTCCTCTGCTATGGAGTCTGGCAACGGCCGCCGCCGCCGTGTTGTCGTAACTCTTGCTTGAAAGACGCCTCTTGGATCTTCGACCTTTCTTGTTTCATCCCTGGCAGCATCATCCCTGGCAGCATCATCCCCCGTCCAAAACAGAGTACGGAGTAAGTTATCGTATGTTGTAATGTACCCTCTTACTAACTCCGTACTCCTTCCCCCTTCCACGTCTCCGATAATTTCTGGTTCCTATATGAGTTCTTAGCCTCCCCGCCTTTCCCTCGGCTCTTCTTCTTTTTTTTTTTTTTTATTATTATTTATTGGTTATTTTTCAAAAAGTCAGAAAAGAACAGAAAAGGAAAGGAAAGGAAAGGGAAAAAAAAAAGGAATAAAACTTGTCATTTTTTTTTTTTTTTAATCTGGTTGGTGGGATTTATTTAGCATTGCCTTGCGCCTGCATACAATAACCATCCTTTTCTCAAACCGACTCGTTTTCCCGTCCTGTCACTTGCCTCTGCATGGCCTCCTATTGATCTATATTCTATTTTCTTGATGATTGAACGTTTGACCTCACTGTGCACGAACCCCTCTGCCACCCTGTGTTGCAGCTCCATCAGGCCTGGTTTTCAATTTTTGTGTCCAGCATTGTACCGCCCTCTGCCCCTTTCCCCATCCCTTTGATAGTCTCGGCCCTTGTTCAATTATCGTAACTGGCTGCTCTGGTGGTGTATCGTATCGTTCGGAAAGCGACGCCATTGTCAACTATCCTCCTCCCTCCTCCCTCCTCCCGTTTTCCTAGATTTCCCATATATCGGGAATCCAAAGTCCCTTGGCGCGGGATAGCTTTTTCATTACTTAGCCGTTTGCGCCACACGTTACGTTACCCCTTTCCCACGGGACATTTCGTCAATTATCGGAGGGAACATACTTCCCGCGGCCTCACTATCAAGCCAGAATTCGTGCCATACAACCTGGCGGACGAACAACAAGTTCTGTACATCGTCCCCCACGGGGACAAGTTACACAGGGCAAAGACACATACCGACTTTATATAGCTGGTACGTGGATTACTTTTGTTTTTATCTGGGGGGTTTTCTTCTCGTACTTTTTGTTCTTGTCTGGGTTTCTAATATGTCGATCTAGATACCGTTCCATTGAGTGAAGAGTATATATTGGTTGTATATAACCAAGAGACTGCGGCACGAAAGAAAGAAAGAAAGAAAGAAAGAAAGAAAGAAAGAAAGAAAGAAAGAAAGAAAGAAAGAAAGAAAGAAAGAAAAGAAATACCAAGATATGGACCCTGGCCGTTCCAGCATGATATCTATTCTAAATAACGACGACAACCCTTCTTTTGCGGTTCGACCCTCAAAAGCCTCAAAATACTGCCCACAAACGGCCTCATATACTCACCAGCAAGTTCGCCAATGGCCTTCGCAAGGTGGATATCATCACAATGTCCGGCCAGACGAGTCCATTCTACCCCCTGGATCTCCTGGTATCTATCGTCTAGATTCAAGCTCGCATCATCACCATCAACATAGCAACGGGTTTAGTCAAAATCCAGAGCATTCCATATATTACAGCCACCAGGCTCCCCCAAGCCATGTTGCTAGTCCGTATGGCCCCGCCAGCCGCCGTGGCTCGCAATACTCCCATCCTATTGAAAAACTGTCCATCGAGAGGATCACACACAGCGAAATCCCCCATGGAGACCCACCCTCGCCCCAAACCTCGATGAATGGATCAGGAGACTTGCGAGCAGCGAAAGTCAACAACAAGAAAAATAAGTACCCCTGTCCCTACGCCACCTCCCATTCCTGTACCGCAACCTTCACTACCTCCGGACACGCCGCACGACACGGCAAGAAGCACACGGGCGAGAAGGGCGTCCACTGCCCAATTTGCAATAAGGCATTTACTCGCAAAGACAACATGAAACAACATCGACGCACCCACCGCCTCTCGATATCGAGCGAAGTGTCGCTGAATCGGGGTGACGAGGACGCAACTGCTACTCCTCCAGCGGACTGGAATAGCAGCAGGAGCCGCCATTACGACCGGGACGAGTATCTCAGTCTTGCGTCGCCCATTTCCCCAACCGCAGATGACAGGTCGGACGAAACCTCGAGTCGATCGACGAGTCGCAGCTATGGGGGACGGTCATATACTTCGCTAAATGAGGCGGTGACGTCGTCCATGCGCCAGGGGGAACCTATGCGGAGGGCGTCGCGTTCTGACGGCATTACCCGGGGGTTAGATGCGCTTGCGGTTGCTGCTACGAAATCGAAGCTGGACCGTTACCCGCGATGATGTATGTATGTATGTATGTATGTATGTATGTATGTATGAAGGAGACGGACGAAAGGCGCTTGATGTTCATTATAGCGAATTCCCCTTTTGTTGATTTGATTTTTGAGTTTGAGTTTGATTTGTTTCTTTAAATAAATGATATGGATGACATGCATGTCTTGATTCCTTTTTTGATATCCTCATCTATAGAAGCAAAATACTCCGCATAGGAAAGCACCGCTGGTGTGGTGATGGCGAGGGCGAAGGGCGAAGGGCGAATTGGGCTTAGCTGGCGTGCTTTTCTGCTTTGAATCTCCATTCCTTTTCATTTTTTTTTTTCTTTTTTGCGTTCTCGTCGTTGTAAACCATCTAACTAATTCATCATCAATTTTTTTTTATTTTTTTATTTTTTTTTTTTTTTTTTTTTTTTTTTTTTTTTTTTTTTTTTTTTTTTTTTTTTTTTTTTTTTTTCCCTCCTCTCCACTAGTTACCACCCACACACACACATTCTCCCCTTGTCGATTTGTAGATTATCCGCGCCTTAATCCTTCCTCGGAATCAAATCCATGGATTGAAACGAAGTCAAAGACGAAGACGAAGACGAGAAGACGAAAAGTAAAAACTTACATAATGAGACTTACACGTCGAAACACGAAGTGCGAAAGATTCTCGGCGGGGGCCAAGGCTTCGCCGATACAATAATATAGAGAGCAATTCAACCAATTCAATGTCATGCTTGGAACTCTACAACTCAGTTTAAACTATGGTCTGGATTCAACTACGTACATGTACACATACATATACATGTACATTACATTAACATGCAACCTCTTGCGCGCATCATAGTTGCTTCAAAATTTCCCCAAGAGCCAGCGCCCTGGAGACACGTTTGCGTTGTTGTTGTTGTACTGCATGCGTCTCATTTTTATTTCCAATTCGGAATTTTGATCTAGAGTTTATATATAGTTAGTACTTTTATTATCTCTTACGGTTTATTTTTTTTTTTTTTTTGGGGGGGGGGGGGGATTTTCTTTTCTCCCCAATCTTTGGAATTACCTATCTAGTTATTAATGCCTGAGATTCTTTCGCATAGATATAAATGTTATCCATGACCACCCACCCCCTCTTAGCTCGCAGGTTGAAGCACGGCTTGGTGGCATTATATGGATGGACATGTTTTATTTTATTTTTTTTATCGCTCTTATCTCCTCTTAGTTGGTTTCTTCTTTCCTTGTTATTTATTACAAACCCTACAGGCTTAACAGAGATGGGGAATTGCAAGACGTAGATAGGGACGAGAGAGTATGTAGGGGTTAGAACTGTTTTCTTCTCGGATTTTATGAAGTAGTTAATATTTGAGGGAAAAGCTGACATTCGTATGCATTCTATGATGAAGAGCGTCTATGGACTTTGTTGTACCCACTGTCCTGTCACTGTCCACCTACCTTGCCTTCGACTTTGTCAGTACGTACTGATGCTGCTGTTCTGATCTGATGATTTGACCTCGTTGCCTGTGAATGTATAAGAAAGAGTATATGGGTCGTTGATCGTAAAACGCCATTTTGGAGCACTTGTATGTATATGGATTATTTCATATATTATTATATTATTATACTTTAGAGTTATACCCAAAGATGTCGATATACTCAGCCTGGTTACCACGGATCCATTTAGAGTCCGCTCCAAGCCGGGATCGGGAACGGGAGCACTAAATTTATGGAGAAAGGAACGTGAGGTTAACTTGAATGTGTTTGGATATTAGCCATGCATTCCTTTTCTTTGCTTCTCATCGTCGAGAGATCACAGTTGATGAACGTCGCCTGAGCAAGATGTCACCTTTTTTCTATATCCCTCGGATTAATTAGTTAGGGTTAGGGCAGACTAGGTAGACTGGGCATGCATGCTAGCATCACATGACGTCATGGTTGGATCAGGGAATTGTTTATATAGTTATATATATTTATATGTATATTTATCGGAATTTCCCCTTTAAAAAGACTATATATTCCTCCATCCGATTACCGTCTGCTTTTTGCATCCCACTATCTCTGGTCTATATCAAACACAACCAGGTGTTGCGCCCCGTCACAATCAGCCTCGCCCTGCATCCGACCTTGGGCTAGTTAACTACTTGTCTGTAGCCCGAACCACTTGACACACGCCTCCCCCTCCATCCTGCGGTTTCGTCCCGCACCGATTCAAAAAAAAAAAAAAAGATCCTTTCCTCCGCTGCATTATCCTCAAAATCCCTGTCATCATCACCACTTCTAGGCCATCTAATATCATCCCAGATCATCGTGGAGTTCTTTCTGCCTTGTATTCTGCGACTGCCATTGAGCTCACTTTTATCGCCCCCCTGTACGCTGCGTATAGACAGACACCCAACATCCCACCAGCCCCAGCCTTACCTCCTGTGTCGCCACAGCCCGCTATCGCCAAGCAAAAGACCAGCAAAAGTCGAGCAAAAGACGAGCAAAAAACGGGGCGCTTTGCGTCACAGTGCAGTCCTCTTAACTGGCCAGGCCAACAAGAGGAGCCACCAGACTATATCTATCAGAGGTTCCCCCCCCCACCATCGGCTTGCGACCTATTCCTCGTCCCGCTTTTTTATTTTTATTTTTATTTTTATTTTTATTTTACTATTCTCACTATCCGTCCACTTCATTTATTTTATATTTATATTTATTTTCATTGAGAAATATCTATTACTCTGCAGAGATCCCGCTTTTTGAAGTATATCGTGGTTTCGTCCAACCGTCATATCTGCTTTGACCTCGGAATCTCCAACTTCGGGACGGAAGCAAGGCTCCCAACAAAAGCCTACACCGGGTCCTTTCGGGGTGCAATAGTGATATCCTTGCGCCATGGCGTCGTCCTACTACGAAAACCACCCATACAACCCCCAGCACAGACGAGCTCAAACCGCTGACTATTACGAGCCATCCTACGCTACCTCCCGTCCCCCGAATAGCCGCTGGGGAGGCCCTGCCGACGTAGTCCGCCCTGACGAGACCGAGGACTCCCAGGTCGAAGAGATTCATAGAGAGTTTCCTCCGGGATCAGCGAATTATGGCTACTCCCGATCGGGTCACGGTGCAATCTACGCTAAGCGGAGAACAGATGACCCCAGTGTGAGACGTACTCATTCTGTTGGTGGGCATCGTCGGGATCGTCATGGGAATTATCATGGTCGCAACGAGGACTACCGGCGTTCTCGTGGCCATGGCCATGGAAATCGACGTAAGTCTTACAGCGGCAATGGACTGTTTATTCTTCTGGCTTGCCCGAATGCTCGATGTTACGATGTTACCGTTGGAGGTAACACCCACATCTGCTTGTTAGTGACGTGTAAGAAGGCTGATTGAGAAGATTAGGCGATCGTGATCGTGATCGTGATCGCAACTCCCGACGGTCATACTCCCGTTCGCCTTCTAGAACCCCATCTCCCAGACCCAGACGTCGCAAGTCTTTAAGCGAACAGGCTCTGGCTGCCTTTGGCCTGGGAGGAGCTACCGATTCGCACTCATCAAGGCGTCACGACGACGGCCGCCGTCATGGCGCTAATCGCGACTATTATAACTCTGACTATGATCACTCTCGAACTCACCGCCGTCGCCGACGACACTCCCGCTCCCGCTCCCGCTCCCGTTCCCGCAGCCGCGACCGTGACGATAAGCAAAAGGAGCTCACCCGGACTCTCAAAGCTGCGCTGACCGCTGGCGCAGCAGAAGCTTACCGCGCCCGCAAGGAACCTGGAGGCTGGACTGGGGAGAAGGGAAAGCGAGTATTGACTGCAGCCATTGGTGCAGGTGGAGCCAACAAGCTTATTAGCGGCCACTCAGACAAGCACAGCAAACGCCATCTCATCGAGTCCACGCTAGCAGGACTGGCTACCAACCGTATGGTAAACGGGCCTCGCTCCCGTTCTCGATCTCGTGGACGAGCCCGGTCAGAAGGCCCCGGGAAAAAGGAGCTGGCTTCTGCCGGACTTCTGGCAGCCGCCGGCAAAGCTGCTTATGACCATTACCGCTCAAAGTCTCGAGACCTCGATGCACGCTCCGGATATTCCTCCGATGTTGAAAGTAGCCCGGACCGATCGCGTCGTAGTCGGGGTAGCAAGAAGAGGAGCCAGAGCGTTTCAGAGTACCTAAACAAAGGCCTCGCTGCCCTCGGACTAGGGGACGAAAAGGAGTCTTCCGGCCATGGTAGCAGGCGTCATCGTGAAAGACGGCGATACGATGAGGACAGCGACTCAGACTTTGGGTACTCAGATAAATACCAGTCGCGGCGTCGACGAAGTGATTCCCGCGACAGTTACTCCAGAGATGTAGGTCGTCTCCGCCCCTCTTCTTCCTTCTCCTCCCTACGGGACAGGGGTGCTGTGATTCCTCTCACTGGCAGCAACACTGACGCCCCCTCCCTTCACGCCACCAAATACCGCAACTCCAGCGGCAACAATGAAATGGACAAACACAAGTACAAGTACAATGACAATGACAATGACAATGACACTAATTCTGACTCCCACTCCCTCAGCACCGACGAGGAAAGACGCACTCATAGGAAACTCCACCGACGCCAGCTCGTTACCACGGGCCTCGCAACGCTAGCCACCGTCCACGCCGGCCACAGCATCGTCAAGAGCATCAAGAAGCGCGAGGAACGCAACGCCCTGCTCCGCGAGGGTGACATCAGCCCGGACGAGGCGCGCAGGCAGCGCACGAAGAATAATCTAAAGGATGTGGCGAGCGTGGCTGTCGCGGCGATTGGGGTCAAGAGCGCGGTTGATGAGTGGAAGGATGCGGCTCAGCACCATGCGGAATGGAGATCGTTCAAGCACAAGTGTAAGGAGGGCAGGATGGAGAGGGAGAGGGCGATGATGGGCGAAAAGCTCAGGTCGAGGAGTTGGAGTCTGGATGATCATGATCGGGACCGTGATCGTGGGCGATCCTATGATTCACCGTCGTCGCTGGTGAGTGTGAAGGATGCTCCCAGGTATATTCATGATGGGAGGGGAAATTTGTTGCGGTATTAAGAATGATACGGGACGATTTCATGTCTAAACTTGCGTTTTTTCCGGGTTATGATCATGGTTTTATGACAACGATGGAATTTAAAACTAGGTTTTTTGTATATTTTGCTTTTTTTTCCCACCCACCCAAAATCCGTCTATCTATCATGGCTACAGAGCTGCCAGGGCGGGCCAGGCTCTTAGTTACCACCTAGGCCAAAATGACCATAAGACGGCTGGCTCCTTGCCAGCAGCGCCCAGCAAACCAATCTATTTGCTATGCTTTTGCCCAGATTTACTTTGGCCCCCTAGTTATTGATTTTAATTCTCTTCTGCTCTCTTCGACGAATTGACGAAATAATGAACTGCCTCATTCCCGGCCCTTCTTCGTTCCCATTTTGCTTGGTTATTCGATTTTCCACGGCTTCTCTCCGTGTGGCTTTTGCTTTGCCTAACTTATTGATTTTCCTTCCTGCTTCTTCTACATTGCACCGCTACTAGCCGAGTTTTTGCTCGCTCTCTTGAGATCCATTTACCCTCCCACAATTGCGATAGCTACCCTGAGAAATTTAACTGCATATATATATATATATATATATTGCTTATTGTTACAATATGTACTACGAACAATAGATAGTTCAATGTTGTGAAATATGTAAAAAGAAGAGCGAAGTCCCTCCGGCATTCGGCAATCGAGAGAAGCCATTCCAGCAGCTCGGACCGGACGCCGATCTGGCTGCGGAAAATTGTGCGGGGGTTTTGAGCGTGGTTAAGTGGGGACATACGCAGCGTACACACTTGCTATGTACCTATTCGCATTTAAAGGGGGAGGAGGGTATATCTCATTTTCATTTTCATTGTATAGATACATATATATATATATATTGCTGTGCACCTTTTTCTAGTTTACTTGCCGCATTCTGTGCGGGGAAGGAGGACACAGGACGATCTATTTGGGTTGCATGACACGAGAAATGAAAATGAAATAAGAGACTATTTTCCATATATATATATCTGAGGAAACAACAGCCCAGACAACCGCCAAACTGAAAGACAATGCCGCGATACTCCCCCTTCGCCCCTATCCCCATTCCCACCTCGAATCTGCTCACCTTCCTCTCCCCGCCAGAATCTCCTCTCCACACCTCCACGAAGCCCATATGGATCAACTCTGAAGACCCATCTATCAGCCTATCCACCGGTGCCGCGTTGCCATGGACAAAGCGGTTGGCGATGGGATTGGAGCGGTTCCAAGTTGCCAGTGGTGGCAGCAGGGTGAAAAGGGGGGAGGTTGTATTGGTGCTCTCGCCAAATCAGATATTCGTCGCTGTGGCTTATCTGGGGATTGTTGGGTCGGGAAGGGTGTTTAGCGGGATGAATCCGAATTATAGTGTGCAAGGTGTGTGAACGATAAATAAACTGCTTTTAAGAATGCCTCACGCCGAGTTCTTGATAAAAGTACAGCATTAAACCGGCCCCTGTGACCAAAAATAGAAATGGTATACCAGATGAAGAACACGGAAGCCAAAATCATCCTGGTCCACCCATCGTTGGTTGACAATGCACTTGCTGCTGCAAAGCAGGCCGACATCTCGCCGGACCGCTTATTCCAGTTTTCGGATACTGTGAACTCGAACAAAAATGATGTGAGAGACTGGAATAATGGTCTCCTGGCAACTACACAAGAGTCGCACTCGTACCAATGGCCTGAATTAACCGGTGGCGAGGGCGCAAAAACTATCGCGACCATCAACTACTCATCAGGCACCACCGGATTACCGAAGGGAGCATGTGTGAGTCATCGAAACGTGATAGCCAACGTCCTGCAGTCGACGGCCATTCGTGGTGTCTTGCAGAAATACTTTGCAGAGAGGGGACCTCCACAGCGATGGATTGGCCTCCTACCGCTGTATCACGTGTACGGATAGATGTATACTATCATCGTGGCCGCGAAGATGCAGGTGCCCGTATATGTGATGAAGAAGTTCGTATATGAGGATTTCCTGCGGGTTATTCAAGATCATAAGATAACGTAGTTGCATGTCGCGCCACCGATTATGGTCATGCTGAGCAAAAGGCCTGAGACGGCCAAGTATGACCTGAGTAGTGTTAAGCTCATTACATGCGGAGCTGCGCCGTTGTCACCCAAGCTCTAGAACGAGGTCTCTGAGAAGCTCGGGGTTATAGTACAACAAGGGTCGGGAATGACCGAGGTAACTTCGGCCGCCATGCATGTTCCTGGGGCATCACAGACGAGTAAGGAGGCATAGCCATTTCCCCGTGTTTCCGTTGCCTTACCTGGGGGCAATCTCGTACGTTCCAAACAGTTAACTAACGAGTGACAGTACGGGGAGTGTCGGCGTCCTCGATCCCAACTGTGAGTGCAAGCCCCTCGACGACGATGGAAACGAGGTTGCAGATGGCGAGCCTGGTGAGATATATATTCGATCACCGAACGTAGCAATGGGATAGTGGGAAAACGAAGAAGCTACGCGCGAAACAATGCTTCCGAACGGCTGGTTGCGAACTGGAGACATTGCCATTGCGCGAGGAGACTGGTTCTGGATCGTCGATCGCAAAAAGGTATCAACACCCGTTTCCGTTCCGAGTGAAATATTCCTGTATAAGTACTAAAAAAGCCTCGAGCAGGAACTTATTAAGGTCAACGCTTTGCAAGTCGCGCCGGCTGAGCCAGAGGCAGCATTGTTAGAGCATGATGGCATCGATGATGCGGCTGTCGTTGGTATGACACTGTAGTGCCCCTCAATCCTAAAGAATAAAATAACAAAGGAAAAGGTTCCATGGATAAATAATAATTGGATATAAAATCCATACAAGCATCTTCATGCTAACTTGGGTCATTTCACTTCGTGCAGTGACGACGAAGAATTTCCCCGGGCATACGTCGTCCCCAAGGAGAATGCAAAGCAAACGAATTCATCGACTACGCCGGCCCAAATCCAAGAATGGCTTAAGCCCCGTGTTTCCAAACATACATGGCTAACCGGCGGAGTGGTGTTCGTCGACGAAGTCCCCAAGTCTCCGAGCGGGAAGATATTACGCAAAGTGATGCGAGAATGGGCAAATAGAGATGCAGCAAAGCTTCGAGATAATAGAGCTAAGTTGTAGATAATGATGACGTGATAGAGAGGAGCAGCCAGTTTTGTAGTTCCTTCTTATGCCTATAGAGAGTTGTTGGGTAGTACTGTTGTAAGGGGATGGTCAGGGTCTTGAGATCTAGGTTTTCCGTAGCTGCGCTAACACAGCAATCGCCGAATCGGGTGTGATATATAGATTAGGCTTGATTCTTTACCATTTCATTATCGATAGACGCCTGGGAGAGTGGATAATTAGCAACAATAGAAACTATTTCAACAATCTACGCAGATTGACAATTGAGTTGAACGGCTGATGTTGATATCACATGACACCAATCTACGCCAAGGCTGGCTCGGCCTTATCTGATTGGATTGATAATCGACAGGGGGAGTATGACGTCATCCGCTCCTCAACGCCGGCTGCCCGAATTAAACCAACATCAACATCATCCACGGATTGTTTGAGTTTGAAACTCGCTCGTCTTCTCGTTGACACTCACTACCGTCTGTAAATGTTGATGCCCAGCGAGGATTTCGATGTGTTGACATTTTATGTTTCAGTTTAATAATTTGAATTTCATCCAATCCGTGTCATCTAGTTTCAGAAGTATGTATATACACTTAAATCCCCCTTACTCAATCAATATGCGAAGGAGCTGACATGGGGAGTTCAATAGGGTAAACATATCGAACAGCACGATGTCATTGTCAACAGTTTCCATCGCAAAAGGCATGGATGTCGGTAGGATAGGCGCGTTGAGACTCCTCCCCCATCCGATGCGACATACTACCTTGCCTTGCTTTCGAGGGACCCCTCGCTCCATATCCTCGACAAGAGCTCGTCACAGCTTATGCAAAAACTCCCAACAAATCTTATGTTTTTCTCGAAAAAATGCCTCGATAGCATCAATGGCTCTTCAACAACCCTGTCGCCACACGATGAGTTATTCTTCCATGCCACAAGCCCAGCGGCCAAAGGCAGATGATTACATTCAAGAACTCCAAGATTTGTGAGCTGATTTCCCCTCCCCTATCTCCCCAATTCTCCCGCCCCCACCCACCAACCCCCCCACCCCTCCTCTCCGAGACTCTTCCTTCTTCGGCTAAGAATTATTTTACCACAATGGAAGAGAATCAATGAGCTGACTAAACGATCCCCCCTGCGCCCTTCAAACCAAAAATACAGATACGAGATTGCAAAAGACGAGGCATGTCAACCATAAAAAAGCCCAACGTTTAGATCAATACATCAAAACCATACATACCCCCAAACCCCAAATTTCCCACCTTTAAAACTAACATCCTTTAACCTCCCCGCCTCCTCTATCCCTAGCTCGAAATCGCAGCTGAATCCACCGCCGCCTCCACCATGTACGCCGTCTCCGATCGCATCTCCCTCCGCGAAGCGTTCGATGACCTGGACCGTGCCTACGCCGCGTACACAGGAACGACACCGCACCCATCGCATCTCGAGCGGCCGCCGCCATCATCTTCAGCTAATGCGGTAAACGGAGCAGGAGGGGCAAATGAAGCTGGCGAAGCGGAGGGGGAAGAGGGGCAGACGAGGGGTAGTAGTAGTAGTAGTAGTAGTAGTAGTAGTATGAGGTTTAACCCCGTGGAGGTTCCGGATGAAGTTCGGGAGGAGATCAAAAGGCGGATTGGGCAGAGGATTCGGGAGTTGAGGAATGCGGTGGAGCAGTTGGAGGAGAGTGTTAGGGAGTGAGTGGGTGTTGCCATGCGCTGTATATGTACATACATGTACATTGGTACATTGTAGGAGGGAAAGCTGGATTTGGGCGTGGTTTATAAGGGTGACGGATAGGTTGAAATAGGATTTCGTGAGCCTTGCTTGATGCATTTCAGGGTGTTTGGTTCTAGATATTCTATGTACTGTATATCTACAAGGTGATGGATGGATAACCAGTAATTCCAAATACTTTTGTGTCCAGAAATCTCAACATAACGTATGTATATCATTTGTCATGTGATATTCTTTATTCTTCGCGCATATCTAGCTAAAAGAGCGCATATATATAATATCCGTGCATGACAAAAAGTAAATTTGCACACTTCTTTATATTGTGCCATTCATATATATGATCATAATATACCGACCGCCCCGTCATCGAGTCTGCCTTTCCCAAACCACTCGACTCTGCACAAGCGAGCAAGCAAACAAGCAAGAGAAATGGCGGGCTAAGCTTGTCTGTATGTTCGTTCGAGAATGCGAAGAATGAACCAATAATTAAGCCAAAACTTATATGTAGTAAATAGTAAAGAGATTTCAGAGGTTAAAAAACAATAGCCAATTGCCGTAAAATTGCCGTAAAATTGCCGTATTTCCCCTGTTCCTTTTTTATTCACCTTCCGCTGGAATGAAATAAGAGTTAAAACCCCCAAATATGGGCCCCCCAAACGCCGAGTCCAGTATCTGGGGAAAAAAATATGGGATGAGAGCGATGTAAATGTACTGTACAAGGGACCGTGTCTTTCGTAAAACTTTTATGTACGCCCAAAAGCTAGGACACTTGAAAACTAACGCTCCATTATTTATTTGGCTGGGGAAACCGATAGCGTTGCTTTGAAATGTCGATAAATTAGGCCGTGGTGGGATGGATGTAGAATGTGTTTCCTATTCAGCTACTAGGGCATGGTAACGGCAACAGTCTGGTAAGGAATGGCGACAGAAGGATGCGCGGAGGGAGGTTTGAATTGTGGTAGAGGGAATTGTTCAACTATAGGCGACGAAAGAGGGAGGGATGAGTTCGTGTCTTGTTTATGAGTCGTTTTTATGTGTCTCTTCAGTTGGTCTGGATTATATATCAACAACTTGGTTAGATTCCGTTTTGTTCGTCCCCACCACCAGCCGCTTTGGAATAGAGTAGTTATTGAGGGTATTAGAACGAACCTGGCCGGGTGAAACTTTTTGAACAACCGGGGAAATTGCACTTGTGCTTGCGTACGCCATGGGCTAGACAACGCCGTTAGTTTAACAGAAAAATACATTTCTAATGAACAAAGCTCATGGATATCGGGCAAGAAGAAACTTACTAAGTTTGTGGCTGGACATATTTGATGACTACGTTTCACCAATGTTAGCATACCGATCAAGATAACCTACCAAGTGAGATTACATACATCTCCAGTCTCAAACGTGCAACCTGGATAGTTGCATTTAAATGGTTTTTCGCCGGTGTGAATTCGCATATGCGTTTCTAGTCCGCGATTAGAACAAGTAAGGTAAACTGGAAGCAAAAGAATTTTGGCTAAGCTTACTTAGCTCGCTACTATCTGTAAACGCCTTTTGACACAATTTGCAAGCGTATGGTTTTTCTCCACGGTGGCTTCTCTCGTGGCGTTCCAGAGTTGCTTGCCTCGCAAAGAATTTCCCACAAGTGGAGCATTGGAAACCCTTGTCTAGATTCAAAAAGAAATAAATTGTTAGACGATACCCATGTTTTGTAAGGATAAAAAAGGTCAAAAGGAATTTGTAAAAAATATTGTAGAGAAGGAAGAAGGGTAAGCCTTACGGTTACTATGTGTCAGAAAGTGTCCTTGAAGTTTTGACTTTTGTGAAAACGGTTCATCGGGGCGATGACAACCCTCCCAGCAACAATAGAAGCCATGTCCCTGACTTCCCTCAACCATCCCAACATGGGCCTGAATTAGATGCTCCTGAAGTTTGCTAGCATCAGGAAAGGCTGCTCCACACAGCGTACTCTGTGGCTTATTCTTTATAATACACCTGCAAATATGCAGCTCAGGCATGGGTTCGACGTCGGGACTCGTGAGGGGCGAGGTGGCATTGCTACTTTTAGAGAGTGGCGTCATAGATGGGCTAGAATACAGTTGTACAGAATCCCGACTCGAGGACGTAAGACGATCGGTATGCTGTGCTGGGAGCGACGTATTCTTGTGCACATGCTCGGGTTGCATTTCGCATGGCAGCGTCAAACCGCCGTCAAACCTTGGATATAACTGCGGATATAGCGAGTGGAATTGCGACTGGAACTCCATTGGGATAAAACCCAGGAATTCATCTGGATTGCAATCTGAGAAAACGGGACCGAAGTGAGATTGATGGTTGCAGTTGTCGAGAGTTGGACACAGATCAATTGTCTGATTGATAATTGAACCCGACGAATTTGAAGATCCGGCTAAAGCAGGCTGGTGCAAGGAGGAAGATTGGTGGTCTTGGTGAAATTGAAATGCGTAGTTTTTGGAAATCAAGGATGGTTCCGATGGGGTAAAATGGTTGGTGGAATGCATATTGTGACCAACGCCGCCGGTTGCAGTGTTGTGCTGAGGATGGAAGGGGTTATTGAAGTGCGTTGCTGCGTTGGACGAATGAAGGAGGTTTTCGGTCGTATTCCAGTTGAAGGAGCTGCCTTGGTCAAGGATATCGCATATTCCTTCATCAATAGTAGTAGCAGTTGTTGTTGTTGTTGTTGTTGTTGTTGCTGTTGCTGCCGCTGTTGTTGTTGTTGTTGTTGTGCCGTCAGCTATACAGCTCTGGTCGAAACAGACTGGAGTGGTATTCTGGCAATCTTGGGATTCGCAAAGCATTTCCGAGCAGATGGTGGATGCATCACAGGCCACAAAGCCATCACAAACAGAAGAACACTCAACAGAACAGGTATCCTTGTCGCAGCACTGGTCAACGTTTTGACACGATGGGTATGCAGAACAATGCTCGGGTTGCGAATCACCCCAGCACATCGAGGGGTCAACGCAGTTATTAGCAAGAGAGGAGGGGTTCTCCTCTGCCATTTTGAACGATTCCCAGTGGCATTCCAGACAGAACCTACCGCCTGTCTTTTGCGTTCGGGTCATAGATAGGTACGGGTGGCCAATCGATGGCCGGTAGTCGGGGATAAGGAAAGGTGAGAGATACCTAGGTAGTCTCACAGAGGCTGGATCCCGGTAAGTCGACGCTTGGGTCCAAGGTACTGGAAAGGCAACGAACGAAGAATCGACGTATCACAAAACGCAGCCTTATTATTATGATCCCGCAAGCACAAACCCCATAACTATCCCACAGTCAGTTGGTATGTAGTAGATGCGCGGGGAAGACAGGGGAAAAAAAAAAAAAAAAAAGGCAATCCACAAGTGGTTGACGATGCCTCCGCAGAGCAAACTAGCGTCGAACCAGCCGCAGAGCAGCGCAACGGGGACCTTGGGGGCCATAGTTAAAGCAAGGCAAGTAGTAAGGAGGGAAAAACAACAGTAACAGCAAAACGACGATTGGCGGGCACAGAGCAACAAAAAAACTCACGAACAAGGCGGGGGGGGGGACTTGGCCATCACAGCAACAATAGCCCAACGAGAGCAAGGCGGGTAACCAAGGCCATGTCTGTGGCCCTATGGGATTCGGATTCTGATGCAAGCAGCAATATACAATAATAATATACTGATAATAGGATAATAGTAGTGATGTAATAATAATAATAATAGTAATAATAATGGGAAATAGGAATAGGAACCCAGATCAGACCGGAATAGGAAAAGTTCGAGACGTCTTTGGTCCCCTGACGAGAATAGACCACGTGACGCTACACCCGGTGGGTTAGCCCTAACTTCCACCCCGAATAGGCAATTCCCTCTGGGCGGGAGCTAGCCCTAATTAGCTCCAACTCCCCGCTGGATCCTCACCCCGGATTCCTGCTTATCGGGAAGAAGCATAAGACGCCTTAACCCTTTAACAACGTCACAATTTCCACAGCTTCATCTGATACCTACAATCCGGCAACGAGCTTCGATCGTTTGAATTATCTACGTACCTAGGTACATGTACATACATATACATACATACATACATTGTACTTCCCTGTCGCCTCGATTAACGTTTATCCAACAACCGGTTACACGGCGGCCCCATCCATAACAACCCCCCCATCTGTCACAATCCCGCTCCCTTCCCCCACCTTCTTCCGTTCCCGGCGCTAGATAGCACTTCTAAACCACCGGACGAGAAAAAAAAAAGAAGGATAGAAGAACGGAACCGAATTCCTGGAAACATAAAAACAGCCACGGCCCGAAACTCCTCCCGTCCACTATTCCCCAGCAGTCATGGGAAGCTTCTGCTCTAAGAGCGCCAACCCAACAGAACCCTTTGCGCAACCAGGTAGGGTCCTAGGAACAAATCCAAACCCTCCCCAGGCACCCCGCGCCTCACTACCGCGCAACGCCAGCGCAGGGAGGACTCTAGGCCCAGGAGGTGGCCCAGGCCCGGGTCAAAGGACGGAAGACCCGCGGAATGCTGCTGCCCGTGCCGCAGAGGTCAGTTCTCTATACCTACCTTTTTTTTTTTTTTTTTCTTTTTTTGGGATCCTTTTCACACAATCTTTCGATCTCATCTTTTGATCTCATCTTTTGATCTCATCCGCGAATATACCTCGGAATTTGAATATCCTTTTAACTAATACTTTGGTTTAATGCCTTGTATTCTACAGGAACGAGCCGCAAAACAGTCCTTGTCTGCAAAGAAGGGCAAGCTAAGCTCACAGCTCGCGGCCCAGAAGGCGCAGACGAGGAATGAGACGCTTGATGAGGCGAGTCGTCATAACCGTGCGACGAGGGAGGCGGATGCGACCGCTGCGGTGAGGAGGTGGGATTGAGTTTGTATTTTTTATTTTTTATTTTTTATTTTTATTTTTATTTTTGTTTTTATTTTTGTTTTTATTTTTATTTTTTTTAACTGCACATGTGATCTTCCTACCCTACCTCTCGGCCTTCATACTCCGTAGGGTTTATATATTTCCGTCTCCCAGATCAGTGCAATAGAGCTATGGGCGCCAGCAAGCCCGACATAGTCTTCATCTAATTTTCGTCTCTCTCTCTCTCTCTCTCTCTCTCTCTCTCTTTTTTTTTTTTTTTTTTTTTTTTTTTTTTTTTTTTTTTACGTGATACTCTCAGCGTTGGCCATAAACATGGCGTTTTGAATTTTTCTTTTCCTTCCATTATTCTTTTGGTTTGGGATCGTCTGCTTTCCATATTTTATTTAACCTTCCTTGTTTTTGCTTCGCTCCTCTTTGTAAACTCCCTAGGTATGAATGAATACCTCTCCTTTTTAACTTCTCACCGGGTTTACCTACCCTAGGTATTTACCCTCTACTATACGTCCATACGAACTTTACTGGCTCTGGGCCGCTCCGCCGCCCCGAACGAGGATCCTACTTGCGGGCGAAATCTAAGTATACCCGCCTCTTGTTATTCAACACCATGTACGAATTGTGTTAGTGATGATTCAATGATAGCTGTCAAAGAAAGTTACATGTCTGGAGGTAGTAAGTTCTGCTCTACTTTGGGCATGTATGTATCGCCGGGTTAAGAGATGAATCAAAATGAGGAGGCAAAAAAGTTATATATTCTTTTTTGGAATCAGACATGGGGTAAATAATAATATCGCTTCACCAAAATGGTGGAAAGCAACACCCAAGTTTCCCAGCTGATGATATGCTTTATGCTCTGTCGATTTATTGAAAAAAGGAAAAGAGAGAAAAAAAAAAAAAAAAAAAGAAAGACACGAGTTGCCAAATAGAATAGAAATGCCGCCCATTGTAACAACAAACACAGTAACAAGTGACATTAACGATAAGAATACCGATACGAAAAACGCGAAAAGAGCAAATTGTTCTATACAACGTTATATCTACCAGTCGTCGGAGCTCTAGCTTCACTGTCTACGGCAGCAATTGTTCCCTCCTTCAACAGACGCATGAGTTCCCGCATGGCATTAGTAACTACCAATTCCGTATCTCCTTCAACAAGGATGTAAAGTTTCGGATTTTCGCCCGGCTGTGGTTCCTTGCCTGCAGGATAGAAGCTGCCCTTGGTCGTGATGGATGTACCCGTGGCCTCGAGGATCTTGGCGACGTTGGTACGGTTGGTGACGGCCCATCTGGCTTTCTCTGTAGTTGATGATCTTTGTTAGTTCCTGTATATATGAACAAGGAGAAGGATGGGATGAAAAGAAGTTAAATGGTAATGGAAACTCAAAGAGTAACTTACGGGGAAAGTCGTTGATTTCTAGCGTAGCGTGGAATGCTCCGGCATCAGGTCCCTTATTGTCAATAGGAACACCGGACCTCATCACGCCAGCCTTGTTCAATCGGGCATGGATATCAGCCACCGCAGAGCCAACTCTGTCGAGAGGATTATTCGTCGAAGTCGGAACAGGCTTTTCGGTCTTGTGGACAGTAATCTTGCCATCCAGGTCGATACCTTTAGGCACGCCTGGTGTCGGTGCCGGCGTGGATGCAGCTTGCACAGCAGATGCTGCTTTGGCAAACAGGTCGTCTTTCTTGTCTTTCTTTTCGTCCCTTTCTTCCTCTTCACCCTCTTCGCCGGTCTTATACGTTTTCCGCTCGCGATTGCGAGCCGCATCACGCTCCTGGTCGAGACGCTCCAGGCCTTTCCCGCCAAAACCGGAACCACTAGCCTTCTCTTTACCTGCTTTGACTTTTTCAATAAACGAATTGACCAGCTTCTGCACGGGTTCTGGTACTGGTTGCCCGCTCTGTTTCAATGCCTTGGAGATATCTACTGAATATCTTTCTTGGTCTTCAGTTAAAAACGTCACGGCAGTTCCAGTGTTGCCCGCCCGTCCCGTACGACCAGCTCGGTGAACATAATCTTCAAGATGGTTGGGTGCATCGTAGTTAACGACAAGTTTTAACTGTTTCACATCCAGACCGCGAGCTGCAACGGAGGTGGCAATCAGGATAGGGAATACACCAGCTTTGAAGTCGTCGATTGTAGAGTCTCGATCAACTTGATCTTTACCTCCGTGAATGGACATGCAGGGGTAACCTTTATGCATTAAGTCTCGGAGAAGACCATCGGCAGCCTCCTGTCGATCGACAAATATCAAGGCGCGCGCATCCTCGTTTTTGTCATCTGCATAAAGGTCACCTAGCAGTGCTAGGAGTCGCACAAATTTAGTATCTTCGTTGCGGACTTCCACAACCTGTGTAATTTCTGGTGCAACAACACTTCTTCCACCAACAATGATTTCCACAGGCTTGGTTAAAGTTTTGCGCGCAAGGGCTTCCATGTTACGGGGGAAGGTGGCCGAAAATAAAACAGTTTGTCGTTGTGGTCGAACATTCCCTAGAATTCTCATTACTTGGGGTTCGAAGCCCATATCGAACATTCTGTCCGCCTCGTCTAGTACAACGTACGTAACTCGTCGTAAATTAGTTACTCGCCCAGCATTTGCGGCGAGGAGATCTATCATTCTACCAGGCGTGCAAACAACAATTTCTGCCCCGCGTTTTAGTTCGGCAATTTGGTCCTTGATAGGAGCTCCCCCATATGCACAAACCGCTCGAAGACTCAAGGCTTTTAGGAATGGTTTGCATTCTTTATGGATTTGAGTCGCCAGTTCTCGGGTCGGGGTCATAATCAATCCTATTGGTCCTTCCATGTTCTCTAAGGGCCGTTGATCCATGATATGTCTGAACATTGGGAGCAAAAATGCGATCGTCTTGCCAGATCCAGTTTTTGCTACTCCTATCACATCTCTTCCGGACATGATTGCTGGAATTGCTTGCGATTGGATTGACGTCGGATTTTCATAGTTAAGTTTCCGAATGACATCCAGTGTCTGCACTCCAAGTCCACATTGAGACCATTTCTGAACAGGTTTCGGGACATCGACGCCACGCACTTTTATACCATCAAGTTCTAATCTCAGTGCTGCAACTTCCTCGTCCGTAAGCTCTGATAGGTCAACCGGTTCGGTGTAGAAATCTTTACGGAAGGGTTCGTAGTTCATTTTCTCGTGGTTTATGGGAGGTAGATCTTTCTTCTTCCTTGCTTTGCTGGTAATGGCTAGGAAATCATCGGCCTCTGGGTCAATTGCTTTTAAATCTACATCATCTTCGTCTCCAAAAATTGCTTCAGGTTTGGGTAGTTTCAACTTTGAGAAGTTCGTCCCGTTCCGAGCGTCTTGAGCTGCGGCAGATTCGGCAAGACCAGACATGAATGCATCTAATGGGTCAGTCTCTTCCTCTTCCACGTCCATTGCGACGGGAAGAGTGGCAGTTTGAGCGTCACCTGTCATGGCAACATCGCCATTTGGAGTGGTAGAGGCCGCACCTTCGGGTTGAACATCGAACTGCGTTTGCCGGTTAATACCTTGGCTCTGTAGTCGTTCTTCTCGCTTTTCTGCCGCTGCTCTTGCAGCAGCTGCATTCTCCTCCTCTGTTCCGTCATCTTGAATATCAACATCGTCGTCTTCATCCTCGCCAGCACCATCGACTGTCTCGTTGGCATGCTCTTCAGCTGTATCTTCTAAGGAAGGGTCGGGAAGCTTTGCCAGCTTCCTCTGAGTAGATTCTTCATCGCCAAAATCTAAAGCTCGCTTGGACGAAGGTTTATCTAACTCTGCCGTTGCTTTAACGCCTATACCAAAGCCACCTATGTTTCCGCGGGCTTTAAAGGTAGTAGATACTGAAGGCGTTGAGGTTAGTGAGTTGGTTAAGCCAGGATTGAAATGTGAAGGAACTATAAGGGAATAGGGATTGGGAACTAGATGCCTACCAGGAGGAGCGCTTGCAGAAACTGAAGATTTGTTAGCCTTGTTCCCTGCAATCGAATAAGTGGATGTTGCAGAGGACGTAGCGATACTTGGAACGGCTATGTCCTTGCCCAGTAAAGACGGTTCTGGAGATGGCGCAGTAGCCTTTTTTGCAATGGCCTTGGGATCGAACTTCCCAGCATACGGGGTAGGTGTGGTTGTAGTTGTCGGAGGGGTAACAGGAGCTTCAGGGGTCGCCTTTTGGAACGATGCTGCTCTCTTATCAATCTCATCAAGTATGCTGCGTGCGCCACCTGATGCTGCAAGTTCTTTCTCTTTCCGCTCCCGTTCCGCGGCGACCTTTTCCTTCCAAGCTTGGAATTTTGCTCGTCTTTCAGCCTTCTTTTCCTCATCTGTTTGGGCGGGAGCAGGAGTTGGCGTAGAAGGCTTCGACGTCTATACATCAATGTTAGGATAATTTCATGCCCGTTAAAAGGATGCCTTGCTGGCACTCACCTCTTGAGGTCTCACGCCAGAACCCTTGGTAGCAGCTCGTTCTCTGCTATCGTCCCGTCTATAATCGCGCTTGGAGTCAGTAGAGTCACCCCGTCGTCTCCGTCCCCTATCACGTGATTCATCTCGCCTGCTTCGATGGTCCCTGTCGCGGCTTCTCCGACGGTAGTCCCTATCGTCATCAAGGTCCCGCGAGAGATATCTGGTTCTGGAGCGGTCTCTCTTACTGGGGCGATATGTGTCTTCATCCCGTCGGTCGTCTCGATAATCATCGCGCGAGCGATCTCGCCTGCGGTAGGAATTTCGGTCGCGGTCGCGATATCGCCTCTTCAAAGAAGAACATGTTAGCTGTTAACTTCCTGGACATGGCAATTGGATAGCAATGAAACTTACGTCGGGACTTCGGGACCTGCGATGTCCCTTCACATCATCTCGCCGGCTTCTCTCATTCCGGTCCTCATCCCTGCGACTCCGTTTTAACGAGTGGGTGCTGCCTACAGGCGATGGTGAGCGAGTGTCCCGAGCCATCTCGTAGGCCAAATTTGTGAGTGAGATATTACTGCTGGATAACTCCAAAGCAATGTGGAGAGTGCACGACTGCGGTTAGCTTTGCGCAAAGAGAAAGGACGCTTAGATGGCCCCCATAATCCTCGCAGTGAGCAAAGGAAAGTATTCGATAATGATACTGCCGGTATTTGCTGTCAATATGCGCTTTTTCAACAGCTACTTGAGGCAACACGACTGACTGGTTTGTACAGTTCAGGAGGAGTGGAAGAAGAAGTTTTGTTGCCATCAGCCTTGGAGGGTTGAGTCGGATCAAGAGCCGCATTTTAATATCTTGGCAACCCTATTCCTAAAGAGGCTAGACGAGGAGTACCGGCGCTTTCCTGTTTTCGGCTGACCCCAAACAAACCAACCTCCCTTGATGAATCCCAAGCGACAACATTTCATCACACCCTTAGTATTATCACGTTGATAAAGGAGAGAGTTCGAATACAATAACTTGACAGACGGCATTGCGCGACTTAGCCCATCCCATTGACTTGTTTCGTTTGTCAATGCCCACCTGATTTCTAGCTGCACCTTCTAATATACTCATCTCGACAATGGCTTTCGTCCTCGCCCGTCGTGGTCGTGTGCTCCTGAGATGCGTGAACTTAGTTGAAGCCAGTGCCACTAAGGCTCGTGTGGCTGTTAACAATGCCCCGACGTACTCCTCCACTATCGTTTTTGCTCGAAATCTCTCAGCTTCATCGAACGCCCGCCTCTTCCGTCGCACTCTCCCAATACTCTCGAAGCAAACATTTGCGACAGCTGCCCGGGGAGCCAAATCCGGTGATGCTGCAACTTCGAAAAAATCAACTGCCACTGGAACAAGAAAAAAGTCTACGACCACGAAAAAGACGGCTACGAGCGCTGCTAAAAAGTCCACCAAGGCCAAGGTCAAAGCAGCCCCGAAGCGAAAGCAACTGACCGAAAAGCAAAAGGAAGCTTTGGAGAAGAAGAAGGCTAGAGAGGAGATTGCAAATCTGAAGGCCACAGCACTTGATCCCCCGAAGGGTCTACCAGAGACAGCGTACATCCTCCTGCAACAACAGCACAAGCAGTTTGCAGGCATTTCTGAAGCCTACAGGAATCTGGACCCAGCGGAGCGCCAGGTACGATGAAATCCCCGTCTTACTTACTATTGAAGTCCCTTGCCCAAGGCTCGATGAGTGCTAATGGATCCATTAGCGCCTTGATGAAATCGCGGAATCGAACCGGGCTGCAAACAAAGCCGGGTTCCGCGACTGGGTGAATAGGCACACCCCGCTTCAGATCAAGGAGGCCAACGCTGCCCGCCGGAAGCTTCGCCGATTGTTGAATAAGAAGAGAGGTTTCATGGAGATTGCGGATGAGAGACAGCCAAAACGACCTGCCAATGCATACATGCATTTCGTGAAGGAAGTATCTGCAAGTGGAGATGTGTCCACCACTGACCGGATGAAGAAATCTGCAGAGTTATGGCGAGCCTTGTCAGAGAGTGAGAAGGAGGTATGCAATCTTTCTTCAATTTTGTGGCGTTCCTATTTCCCTTTTTGGCCACCTGGCGTCCACGCCGTCCCTACATTCTAGCAAATCTCCAGAATTTGTACGTGAAGCTGACAGTAAGATTCCACAGAAATACCAACGAATGGCACTTGAAGAAAAGGATCAATACATGCATCAGTATAAGGCCCTATATGGTGTGGAACATCCAAGTGCATCTAGATCGGCAAGCCCGGCGTAAACGACGCTTTCCTCCTAGACAGAGTCCTGTAATTTTAGGTTACCAATATCGTATTGACAAAGATATTTTACTGTCTCGGTTGTTGCCTACGGTCTTCCCCTTGATTCTGAATTCTTGTCTTTGCCGATTCGCTTCCTTTTTTTGCCTAACTGGATATCCATGTGAGATCAGTTCGGTGGTTAGCGGGAGTGTCCCTTTTATGGGCCCATCTTTTTTTATTTTTATTTTTATTTTCCTTTACGTTTTTATTTTATTCTACGGCGCGTTGTAGCTGTTTTAATTGCTGTTTACCGCGCGTGCTGGCATTTTGTGTTATTCATGATCGACTGTATTGTAGTGTACTAAAGGGACCAAATGGAGAGAGATAAGGTGTATATGTCTATGTACTTGGTTTCTTTCTATTTTCTTTCTCTTACCAGGTAATAATATGCAATATATCCCCCTTCAATTATATATATACATATATACATATTGGTGAAATATTCGGAGAAACGCTGTAGTAAAGACTTTTATTTTTATGGGAAACAAGATGTCAACGCTCCAGTTTTATTTTATGTAAGGGGTTTAGTAACTTTTTGCTCGAAGTTTCTAGGGTCAACGATATATAAAGGAGGGGAGGCGGGAAAGGGGAAAGGGGAAAGGGGGGAGGGGGGCCTAATGTGCTTCAAGGTTGTAGCGCCAGTCCGGGCGAGTCAAATCGATGTAGTACTTATAAGTAGACTTGATTCATCGAGGAGGAGGAGGAGGAGGAGGAGGAAGAGCGAGATGGAGGTGAAGGCTCACGAGCCCGTAGCCGGATAGGTAGGCGCTGTCCGTGAGGCCGTTTGTTCAGGTTCCCTTGACAGACAGGAGCTATATTTTCCTCCTCCTCCTTCTTCTTCTTCTTCCTCTTCTTTGCCGACGTGTGTAACAAGCAGCGTCATGGTCAAACTGCAGAGCGATCGCCGCTCTTCGAACCGACGGGAAGAGCTTGCTACGCTGGCTGGGGCTGGCTAGAAGACTTCCGCTCCTGCGTTTCGTATCCTGACTGAGTGTGTGTGTTGTGTGGTGTTTGCGCTTAACTCGAGTTCGAGCGAGGATAATCGTGACACGCAATTCTTCAACTTAGGAATAAAGGTTAGTAAAACAGCTGCTGTCTTGATGCATGTGCATGTCTCTGATATTAAATAATAATAAGTACTCCGTACGTGCGGGCAGAAACGATAACTACCCGGTCTTCAAAATCAGTTTTTGCATTTTGCCTCTTTTCTTTTCTTTTTCTTTTCTTTTCTTTTCTTTTATTTTTTTTTTTCTGTTCTCCTCCCTGGGCTTGACCGCAAGTTCCTCGATGCTCTATGAGTGGGGAATCCACTGAGCTGTTATTATATATATGCCTTGCTGCCTGACTAAATCATTATGTGGATGCAGCCAGTGAAGTGGGTGAGTGGTCTATTTATCAATTTCCAGACACTGGGGCTTGGTGGTTTTTTTCTGGTGGTAGCGGTGGTGATGTGTACATACATACAATTAATATACAACAAGGGACCCCCCCATCCGTATGCCGCGTTTCTAGGCCAAGGCGGGTTACAGTTGAATGTTGGTGTGTGTCAACTTTCGACCCACTTTTCTGAACACATGTTCAACTTTATCACTCCCTCTAAAATACGGAGTACAGAGTAACTACACATTCATAGAGATGATGTGCTGAAGTACGCTGTATGTCTAGTCCATGTACATGTACATGTACATACATACATGTACTTTTAGGCCAAGGGGGCGCCTGGGGCCCGGTCTGCGAAGGGTAAGCAGGACTGAATAGAAAACATTGAAAAATAAAAATGTAAATATAAATAAGAAAGTTAAAGTTTTGCTTGTAAACCAAGCGTGAATGAATGAATGGCTTGATGAATTGGTATGGCCAGCCTAGGAAATATTTATCATCCCCAACGGAGAGAGAGAGATATGGGTTCGATAGTTCTCAAAGTAGGATTAATTCCCAATTCCAAAGAGCGATACACCCAAGGGGCTTTCGCCATTTGTGCAGTACAGTAACAACAGTAACTACGGAGTACTCTTCCGTAAACTACTGCCGCAGCTGTCCCTGAGAAGTTTCAGACACTAAAACTGCTCTCACATTTCCGCATAGATGGGTCTTTCTTTGGAGTGCTCCGTACCTGGGGCCATCCCATCCTGCAGGTGAGTTGTGAGGCGTGGTTAACGAAAAGCAAAAGCCTTCGGAAGGGTAAAGCAGCCAGTAGCCCGAATTGTACCGAATTCATATCAGGACGGCCCACACAGAGGATTCCATAAGCGGCATATCCGAAACCAATATATATAGTTAGCCCTTGAGCATTGGTAGACGGAGGAGGCTCAACATGTGCATGTTGCATGTAACTGTACTCCGTACACAATAGCGGAACGCCATTTTGACTGGGTGGATATCATCATCCTTCTGCCCTGAGTGTCTGGTTAGCAAGAGGGCCATCAATGGCGTACCTAGGGCTTTAAGTACTCCGTAGACGCGCTGAGGTGGTAAACCTTGAAATAAGGGTCCAGGAAGCAAGCTCTCGAGCAAACTGGAGTGGGTTCCGAAGAGCTCCATCAGTTATTATTATAGAAACGCTTCCTTTGCTTTTTTCTCTCCTTTCGCGTTGTGCTTTTTCTTTTCTTTTCTTTTCTTTTCTTTTCTTTTTTTTTTTTTTTTTTGGCGTCCTCTACTAACTCGAGACGCGTCGAGCAGGCTGACTTGCAGCAGCAAGTTTCAGTTTGACATGCAAGTCGCGGCGCGGCAGGATCTGCCTGGGGCGTGCCGACCAAGAGGAGTCGGAAGAGCAAGGAGCATTAGTTACATAAGAATGGTGAAGGCGAGAAAAAAAAATAAAAAAAATTCCCAGCCTGTGACTCGTGAGACGAACGGTGCGGCTTTTGATGCGGTGAGGAGCGGCTAAGTTAGTTTTAGTGGTGAGAAGCGGGGACTAGTCAACACTTAACCTGCAGAAATTTTTTTTCTTTTTTTTTTCTTTTTGTCTGTTTTCTCCGTCCATGGTGATTCATGACAAAGTAGTAGTGGAGAGTTGCTCTGTTATTTGGTGTGAGAACCATATGAGATAGAGATAGAAGAGATATATGTGTAACAGAGCAAGTATAGTTAACTATTTTACTTGTTGGTGGTGTTGGTGGCGCCGCAGAAATAGGCGGGGGGAGGTTGCGGTTAAACACTTAATAGTGGCTTTTAACGATGTCATTGCCCGGATCACCGCCGGGATTTAACCACAAGTGTTGGTGGAGGCGGCGCTAGGTGGGCCCCCATTGCCCCCAACGGAGCATTTGTAGTTAGTTAACTTTTAAGGCTTACCCGCGCTGCTTCAGGGAGGTCGATAGGGGCTATTATAGCCTATCTCTGGCTATACTACTCCGTATACGGAGTACGGAGTACTGTTGTTGTATTTGTTAATTAGTTATCGTTGTTGTCCCCACGTCCCCACTCGAACATCCCAGCCACCGAGCGCTGAACCCGGGATACCATGCAACCTTCCAAGGTTGTAGGCCGGAAGTAACGTGTTCTTGACGAATTGCTGTTGACGGAATAATGGCTCTTGGGAATTATTATTGTTGAGGATGTTGGATTGATTTTAGGGTCTGTGTCTGAACGAAGCAATCAATAATACCTTGCCAATTACGGGTGTTGTTTGAAGACTGCAATATATATAAGTTAAGTTAACTAGCTAGTTACATACTATATGATATGCGTACATATTTTATTTATTTTTCTCTTGGCTGGGGGTTCCTTATTCATTTTTCTTTTCCTTTTTCCACCTTTTCCACCATTATTGTTGCTCCTTGCTCCTCGTTTTCAGATGATACACAGATAGATGAAAAGAAAAAAAAAAAAAAGGACCAAAGAAAAGAGTGAGGAAAAAGCAAACACACCTAAATAACAACATCAAAGAATCCCAACCAAACCGACCAAACCGACCGAAAAAGGGGAGGGAGTTGGTAGATTCTTTTTTTTTTTTTTTTTTTTCCTACCCTTCCTCTAGTCTGTAGACATCGCAATCCCAACCGGCCAGTCTTCTCCTCTTCTTCGCAGCAACTGACTGGTCTCTCGGACTGTTCCTTGCGTGGTCTCATCGTGAACAATCCCCAATCGCCGCCCGTCCACACCCTCCCACCCAGGCCCCCTAGTCTACAAAACGCCCCCGGATTGGTGAAGCCAACTCTCGGATGCACATCTATCTCCTGGAGTAGGCTGGGACACTAAGACGCCGCCAGAGAGGAAAAGGAGAGAAAAGGAGAGAAAAGGAGAGAGAAAGAGAGTAAAAAAGAGAGAGAGGAAGAAAGAGAAAGAAAAAAAAAAAGAGAGAGAGAGAGAGTGTGTGTGTGTGTGTGGTGTGTGTGTGATGTGATTGTGATGGATGGAATATGTGCTACTCGGTAGTTATATAATTATTATTGAACCACCACCATCACCATACCATTGGACTCCTCCCCCTCCGCCGCCGGTAAAAATATATATATATATAAAAAAGCCCTGGCTGCTGATCCCGACGTCTTCTTGTATTATTGGATTATATTATCCCATCGCCAGTTAGTGACGCCAGGTAGAAGAGAACCCCCCCCCCTCTTCTTGGTTATAGTTGTTATTTCACTATAATTCATAGTTACGAACCAATCTCTTGCTATTATTATTATTATTATTATTATTATTATTTACTACTTTCACGCATTGCCATATTAAATAAATATCCCGCCAGCTTTTTCCTCCTCGTTCCTCTAACTCGCCCCCCCCCCCGCCGCAAATAACCAATCTCCTCTCCCTGCTTGGTGCCTGGCTCGGCTGCATCGAAAGTTCTATTTATCTATATTTAACTAAAACTACCCTGGTCATTCATCCATCTATTCGGACCATCCATCCATCCATCCAGTTGCCAGTTGCCAGCTGCCAGCTGCCAGTTGCCCATTTTGCCATATTTTCCCTGTTGACTGTATCGAACTGAAGATCGCATAAATTCCGCCAGTCATAACCTGCAGGACTACCTTGCTTAAGGGACGACGCGCTTCTTGCTTGTTTTTCCCATCCATCCCCATCAGATCGCAAATCGGATATCCCAAGCCCTTGACTGGTGCACGCCATACCATACCATTCACCTCCTCCCAACCAAGCATTAAAGCTGGAAGGGGAAAAAGAAATATATATATATATATATATATATATATATAAAATCTTGTTAAAAAAAAAAAAAAAAAAAGTTCCTTTAGCCTTGGATATCCCACATAAAACAGTGAAGATAAAGAGGAGGCGGGCTTTTTCCTGTCTTCGTTTTTCTGTTTCTGGGTGGCTTTGCGTCCTCCGCTGTTTATTTATTTATTTATTTATTTATTTATCGCAATAACTTCAGATTTTCGGAGCTCTGAATCGGCTCCACAACAAAACATCCTAATTATTATAACTACCCCACCACTACTTATCTTACCGCCTCTTCGCATCGATCGAGACCTCTCTTCCGCGCGCGTTTTTTCTGTCGTGTTGTGTATTCACAAACAAAGAAAAAATAAAGAAAATAAAAAAATAAAAAAATCGCCATCCATGAGTTTAGAGATACCCCTCCTCGCTAGCTCTCTCGATATTTACAATCGCTTGTCGCCATGCTTTATGCGACCGCTGCGGAGCCGCCGCACAACAACAACAACAACAACAACAACAACAATGTGCGATCTATGCTGATCGCGCCCGCCAACCCCCCTCCCCCCGCTAAACCAGAGCTCCCCCGTAAGCGCGCTTGGTGCTCTGGAGATATAATGACGAAGTCGCCGGATGGATACCATGCTCGGAATGGGGGTGGGAGAGGTCGTGAGGCGGTTTCCGAGAGAAGGTCTACGGAGCTGAAGACTGGGTTGCGCCGAGCTGCTGGGTTTTTGACAATGGACTGTTGCGAATCGAAGTCTACGGTATGTACCAAACCGGGATTTTTTTTTTTTTTTTTTTTTTTTTTTCTTATGTTCTATTGGATTTGATCCTTGGGATAGTGCTTGGCCGAGTTCCATTGTCCCTGGACGAAACCCAGAAATATATCCACTCTTATCGCACCCACAACAAGACCAATGGTTATGCTATGTGATGGTGGTTGCGTTTACTCGTTCCTTCGTTTGGCGCAGGCGTAGCCAGAATAACATACCTAGGCCGCCTTTCATTCTCTTCTCTTAGATTATCCTCTCCGTTTTCTATCTTTTACATGCCTTCGCCTTTACGTCCCAATGCTAACCCGCACAGACACTACTTGACTCGGCCCACGCCGCATCATTAAAAGCCTCCGCATTGGTCGCCGAAATGTTACTCTCACTCGACTCTACTCCCCTGCCGTACGGCGCTCCGCCCCCTCCCTACGACAACGTAATCACAGACATGCCTCCTGAGTACATGAGCCGGGATGAGTTTGCCCATCGCCGTGTCGAGACCCCAGCATCTGCGCCCACGAGCGCAGTATGGACTGAAACCGCAAAGGGGAATGGCTTGTTACTGGGAGAAGCCGTAACACCACCAGCAATTGACTTCAACGACGCGTCGAAATTCCGATCACATGCGAAAAAGAAAGGTAAGGCAACGAAAAAGGCTAATCAGGACAAGTGGAATGAGCCCGAGAAGGGAGGCGACAAGGGTAATGCCGCGGGTGGTGATGGTGATGGCGGTGGAAACGCAGATGGTGGTGCCGGAAATGGTGATGGTGGCGGCGATGGTGCTGGTGGAGCTGGTGGAGGTGATGATGGTGCGGGTGGTGGAGGCGGGGGCGGGGACGATGACGATGGCTGGGATCTCGGCGGTAGCAAGAAGAAGAATAAAAAGAAGAATAAGAAGAAAGAGGAGGAGGAAGAGAAGAAACGCAAAGAGGAGGAGGAGCGCAAAGCAAAGGAAGAAGAGGAGCGCAAAGCAAAGGAGGAGGAGGAGGAGGAGGAGGAAGCAGCAGCCGCATCCGCAGCCGCTGATGATAATGCAGGTAATTCTCTCAGCTGGGCTGGCGATGTATCCGAGGCTAATGCGGACGATGCCTGGGGAGGATTTACCACGACAACGAAGAAGAAAAAGGGCAAGAAGAACAAGGCAAGTACAGTCCTTGGTAACCCGTTGCCTGATATATTACTAACGGCACCTTAAACAGGCTGCCGATCCTCCTACCGCTAAAGAGCCTGCATCGAACTCGTTTCAGGATATAAATCTAGGTGATGAACCTCCGCAGTTGGATTTTTCTCTAGAGAGTGGTGGTGATACTGGTAAAACCGGGTTCAACTTTGGTGCCTGGGGAAATAGTTGGAATACCGGCAACATTGACCTGAATCTTGGTGATACCCAGGCAACCGACGAGAAGAAAGATGATGGCACTGATACCCTGGATCCATGGGCTCCCGCTGGAAAAAAGGGGAAGAAAAAGAATGCAACAACAAATACCTTCGAGTTTGGCGACTCGGGCGATGGAAACACCGAGGAGAAAAAGGAGGCTGAGGATGATGCGTGGCCATCTTTCGCCGTCGTTGGTAAAAATGATAAGAAGAAGAAGAAAAAGGTCTCTGCTGATATAGCTGAAGAACCAGTTCCCGATCCCGAGCCTGCTCCCGAGCCTGCTCCTGTAGATGAATGGAATTCATGGTCGACGCCATCAACGAAGAAAAGCAAGAAGAAAAAGGGGACAAATTCTTTCGGTGCTATTGAGGAAACACCACCGGAGCCAGAACCCGAACCCGAACCCGAACCCGAACCCGAACCTGAACCCGAACCTGAACCTGAACCCGAACCTGCACCCGAACCTGCAGCTGAGGATGATGCCTGGGGTGCAGTGGGAAAGAGAAACAAGAAGTCAAAGGCGAAAACTGCTGACGAACCTCCCAAGGAGCCCAATCCACCGCCTGAACCTGTCGTTGAGAATACTTGGGCATCTATCCCAACTAAGAAAGAGAAGAAGAAGAAAAATAGGGGTATTACTGAAGAACCATCGAAGGAAGAGGTACCTGAGCCTGAAGCAGAGCCGAAAGCAGAGCCGGAGAACGATTGGGGTTGGGCAGCACCGGCAGGAAATAAAAAGAAGGGCAAGAAAGGAGCTGTAACGGCCGTTACAGAAGAAGACAAGCCAGTTGAGGAGCCTCCTGCGGCCCAGCCCGAGCCCGAACCCCAGCCAGATCCTGTTGACGACTGGAGCACTTTTGCAACGACGACGTCTGGAAAGAAGAAGAAGGTGAAGAAAGGAGCCGTAGTTGCAGCCGTGGAAGAAGAAAAGCTAGTTGAGGAACCACCGCCTCCTCCACCTGAACCCGAGCCTCAACCAGATCCCGTTGAGGATTGGGGTGGGTTTACGACAACGACGAAGAAGAAGAAAGGCAAGAAAAGGGCCGTGGGAGAGGAGCCAGTCCCGGACCCAGCGCCTGAGCCCGCACCGGAGCCCGAGCCAGAAGCAAAGCCAGAAGCTGATCCCCTTGAGGAGGATTGGGGATTCACAGCTACCACTACGAAAAAAAGTAAGAAGGGTAAGAAGGGTGCGGTTGTAGAAGAGGCGCCACCCAAGGTGGAGGAACCAGCCCCAGTCGCCGAAGCAGACATCTGGGACACGGGGACATCGAAAAAGAACAAAAAGAAAAGCAAAACGACCAAGACCGAAGAGGGTCCTGCTCCCGAACCTACTCCTGCGGGAGACGATCTTGATTGGCTTAATGATGACTTAGGCGATGGCGGCAAAGTTACTAAGGTTGATTCAAAGAATTCTAAGGCTAGTGGAGGCTCAGGCGCTGACGGTGATGGTTGGGGTCTTGGCGGATGGAGCTTCGGAAGTAAGAAGAATAAGAAAAACAAGGCAGCCGTTGTTGAAGAATCGAACATTGTGCCTGAGGCACCTGCTGTCACCGGGACCACCTCAATCGATGCCGTTGACGACTGGTTCGGCACGAAGGGAAGTAAGAAGGACAAGAAAGGGAGACAGGACCCTATCCCTGAAAAATCACCGATAGAGCCAGAACCCGAAAAAGCCACTGCTGTCGCAAATGACGAATTTCTTGGCTGGGCTGGCACTACCAGTACGAGTAAGAAAAACAAAAAGAAGGGGACCAAGGCTGCCGAAGAACCACTTCCACCTCCTCCTGTTTCAGAAGCGCCTGAACCTCCAGCTGACGATGGCTGGGGAATTTGGGGAACATCAAAGAGTACGAAGGATAAAAAGGGCAAAAAAAACAAACTCGTTGAGCCTGAGCCTGAGCCTGAGCCTGAGCCTGAGCCTGAGCAGGAACCTGTACCTGAACCAGAACAAGAACCACCAAAAGTTGACCCTGAACCCCTCGTTGAAGCTGAAGCAGTAGATCCTTGGGCAGGCCTTACTGCGAAAGAAAGGCGAAAGAAGGAGAGGGAAGCTAAGAAGCAAGCTGCTGCGGCCGCCGAATCTAATGAAAACAACGCTGCAAATGCTGTTTCTACAGATCTGGTCAGGTCTCCAGCTCTTGATGACAACTCATGGGGGATGTGGGGAGCAGCTGCAGATAAAAAGAAGGGTAAGAAAGGGAAAGACACCAACGAGCCACCGCCACCTGCTCCAACACCACCAGCTCAGGATCTTGAGCCCGAACCGGCTGTGGTTGACATCGAGGGCATCGATACGTGGGGCGCATTCACTGGTTCAGGAGCCAAGACCCCAAAAACCAAGAAAACATCGCTCTCTCGCACAACCACAACCACGTCGAAATCACCTAAAGTTGAGGACGGTAAATCAACCAGGTCCAAATCCAGAGGGTTTGAAGTTGTGGACGTTACAGATGAGTTCAAGGGAAAGGAGGAACCCATGGTCGAGGTCAGTGCAGCCAGGGCAGCAAAAAGCTTCTGGGGAGGCACTTTTGGAACGGCTACGACTACTCCAATCACCAAGTCAAAGACCTCTAAATCAAAGGAGGATGCAAATAAACAATCCGTAGAGGCGACCAAAGATAAACTTGCCGCTGAGGAAACTAAAAAAGGAAGCAATGCGGACAATCTGCTGGCTGATACTGGCGAGCTGGAAGCGGCTAGCGCTACGGGAGCTGACAAAGCAACCGCGCCAAGCGCGCCAACAACGAAGACCACGACGACATCGACGGGTAGCATTAAAGTTACCAGCAAAACATCGGTCGCGGAGCGGATTAAATTACTTGAAGAGAGTAAGAAGCGAGAAAAAGAAGCGCTCAAGGAAAAGGAGAAGCTTAAGGCGAAAGAAAAGGCTGCTGCGCAAACAGCTGTTCCCCAGCAGCCAGCTTCCCCACTTGACGTCAAGCCGACCGTAGACCCAGTCGCAAATGACCCACCCCCATCCAAAAAAGCATCAGTTTCATCAAAAACAAAATCATCAACGGTGCCAAGTAATTCCACGTCAAAGAAAAATAGCGCTACTGCGGCAGCTACTGCCACGCTGCTCGACGGATCGAGTACTCCACGCGATTCGGTTCCTGGTAGTTTCCCGGGCGCATATGAGGACGAACTAGTCGAGATTGTTGATTTGGCTCCTCCTCCTGAACCAACACCCGTGCAATCGCAGCCGGTGAAAGCTTCAAAGAAAAGCAAGAAAGCTTCCCCTGTGAAGGCGGTTATAGTGGATGAAATGGCAACTCCCCCTCCACCTCCCCCGGGCCCCGTCCCTCCTGATGAAAACAAAGATGCTGAAGCTCCCCCCGATCGCGCGACAGCGAAACCTGCCAAAAAGGAGCGTCCTCGGGTTGAACGAACAGCTGGAGCTTCTTCATGGGGATTTTGGGGCGCTGCTCCCAAGAAACCTGTGAAAAAAGAAACCAAAGCAAAGGACGACGCCGGTCCTTCATCCCCTTCCACGAAGAAGCCAAAGGAGAAGTCTCCTCCTGCTTTGTCCAGGTCTAAATCCATGTCTTCTAAAAAGGGAAAGCCTGCAGATGCAGAAAAGGATGTCGAAAAGTCATCTGGTTCTGACGAGAAACGCAATAGCACTGCTGTTCGGCCGCGCCATAGTAGAGGCATGAGTTTCTCCAACTTCATGATGGGAGGTGCGCCACCAGTTAGAACCAAGTCAATGAAACAAAATGGCGCTTCAGCGTCGAAGCATAGCTCAAGACGCCCGTCTATTGACATTGATGACTCAGGTATTCTTTCTCCCAATGGCGGCCACGCAGAAATGTCCGGGAAGGCAGCTAAGTTCATGGGTGTGAACGGCACCAAAACTCCGAGAAGAGACCCCAATGGCAAGAAGCGCGCCTCCAGTAAGTTGTACTTCTTGTTCAGATATGTTTTAACGCAATGCATATTTCTTACCTTTCCCTTCTAGGAGCTCCTGACCCGTATGCGATCGACGATGACGATGACTTGGTGATGGTCAATGGAGGGGATGTACCCGAAGCATCCTCGCCAAAAGATTCACCCGTAGATTCGAAACCTCGTCGGCGTAAATCTAAACGTGAGGTCTGTAATTTGAATTCTCCCCGACTTTTCCTTCACACCTTCAGTTAATGTGAAACAAGCAAATTGTGCTAACGGAAGACCCTGTATACTACCAACAGCAAAAGCCTAGGAGTGCAGATGATGACATTGTGATGGTTGAACCAGGGCCCTCAAGCCGTCCTGAGGTAGTATCTGGCCCTGAGGATTTAGCGTTTGTGATCGACCCTCCTAAAGAGCGCGCAAATTTGAAACGCTCCAATACTACCGCGACGCCGAAAAAATCGGAGGGTTTGTTAGGACTGTTTGGCTCATTTCGCAAACATGCGGCGCCACCACCAGAGCACTCTCGGTCACGGTCTTATCGCGAAGAAGATCTGAGAAAATCTGCAGAAATAGACAAAGAATATGCCCGTCGTGCTCGACGAGAGAAGCGACGATCAACTAGAGTGGAGACAGATGGTGAAGGCTTTACTACGGACGCAGCGCCCGCAACGGAGGCGGAGGATGCTGAAGCTAGAAGAGCTGAAAGAAGAGCTCGACGTTTGTCAAAGTACGCAGAACAAGAGGCTCGAGAGGCCGAGGAGAGAGAAGCTGAGGAGCGGCGCGCTAAGCGACGAGAAGCTGAAAGGGTTAGGATTCGTGAAGCACGGGAAAGGCGAGCTAGAGAAGACGAGGAGCGAGAACAACGACATCGCGAGGAGAAGAGAGCTCGCCGGGCTGCACGGCTACTAGAGGAACAGCAACGCGAAGAAGAAATTCGGCAATTGGAAGCGAGGCGCCGCGCACGAGAGGCAGACGAATTTGGGGAAGACGGGAGACGAGTAAGATCGGAACGCCATCGATCGTATACAGACAAAGCACGAGATAAATATTCTCATGATGAATACGCTACAGATCATCGTAGACATCGCTCCCATCGATCTGGTGATGAAGCTGCCAAATCTCGACGGCGAAAATCTGCCGTTTTGCCAGGGGAAGAGTATTACACTTCTCGTAAGGGCCACTCCTCGCGCCGTGCTTCTAATGTACCCTATCCTGGAATAGCGGGTGCTGGCAAGGATAAAACGTCATCATGGTTAAATTCCCAATTGACTGACCCCCCCGAAGCACCTCCTATCGTCCCCACCGTGATCGACGTCCCTGCCCCTCCGGGAGATCCCCACGTCCACTCCTTGTCATCTGAAGAGGAAGCAAGACGCTCTGCCCGCCGCAAGGCGCGACGACACTCTAAGTACAACGGCGTTGATGATGCCGAAGCCACAGAACGGCGAGCCAGACGCCACGAACTCCGGCATTCAGTACGCGGTCCTCTCAAGAGCAGTGAGGGCAGTGGGGAGGGTGACCGCTATGGCGATCGTTATGCTTCCGACTACCATCGGCATTCATCGTACGCCAACGGCGCTCCGAAACGATCCAGCTGGTTCAAGAAAATTACAAATTTGTAGAGGTGTCCTTTCGCAGATTCGACTTGAAACAGCTGGATGCTTGTTTCTCTCTGGAAATTGACTTTCTTGGGCACAGCCTTTCTCTCTTGGCTCTCGATTTTTCTTCTTGGTGTCCTTGTCACACGAGTGTGTGTTGCCGCAACAAATGCGGGCAATGTAGCCGCTTAGGTGCGGCTGGGTACAGAACTGCATTATCTCCGAGGTGTGCCATGCTTCGTTTTGGACACGACATTTATTTACCTTTAATAATGGAGGGTTTCTGTCATACGGTTTATGTCATTTTATGTATTATGAATTTTGGTTTGTTTGCCCAGTTTTGCGGCCGATATTTGTTTTCCTAAGTTGATTTTTTGATTTTTTCTTGTTCTTCTGCTTTCTTTTTGGATTCCCACTTTCCATCGCAGTTCATGTTCAAATCAGCCAAACAAGGCAAAGTAATGTGGCTAGTGGATCGGCCAGGGTTTGTTTTTGGTCGAACCGTTGTTTTTGGCGTTTGTCTTTTTTCCTTCCGCGATACCCACCCAGTTTGGCACAAATAAATCCCCGCGGATATTCCTTGCTAACGTATATATATGATGTTGTGCCGCTCCTCTCTATGCTTTTGTTTTCTTTATCTCCGTTATATTGTCCTTATTCTCGCTTTTATTCGCATATACTCCGTCTGTTGGCTATTTACATTCATTATTTCCTTCCACTACTCATGGTTATCTCGCTTTCTTTTACTCCCCAATTTCCCAATACTTTATTTCTTGGTTCAAATTATATATGGCAAGTAGGTATTGTGGTATGCTTGGGCATGTCCATATTGCATTATCATCTGGAGGTCGGTCAGGAGGTTGGGAGGTCAGGCTCGGTCCGGTTTATTGTGCATTATATGGATTTTGGCGGGACAATCATTGGGCGGGTTAGGATGAGATCAAGATTGGCAGGGCATATTATGGGGCTTCTTTTCCTGGCTCAGGATTTTTTTTTTTTTTTTTTTTTTTTTTTTTTTTTTTTCTTTTCCCTCTATCTCAACTGTCTAAATACGCCATTGAGCCTATGTTTATCCTGGCATTATTTGTTTCTTCTCCTCGAGCCCATAAAATCTGTGTCTCAGGTAGATATCACAACAGTACTAGTTTTCTTTTGTCTGTACAATTGACAACACTCAGGTTTGTTCTTCCATCATTCGGCAAACTTCACAAGAAACCTCTATCTAGTCATGTAGTAGTCAAGGAGATTAAAATAAAGGAATAAAAAACTAGAATCATATAAGGTAATCTAGAGGAAAGATGAATCAAAGAAGTACAAGGTCTCACAATTAACCATCTCAAAGAGCAAGGGAAGCTAAAAGCATAGATACACAGGAAAGTTCCAACCGCTACGCCATACGATCATGCAATTCAAGACCCATAAAGCATTTATCTTTTTTTTCCCCCGAAATCACGAAAAGTACAAGGTTTCGTAGATTAAAATTTCCTCCGGTCGTCACAAGGAAAAAAGAAGGTAGGTTCACAAAGCCTAAACCTGAGATTCACCTGGGAGCAGATTGCCTTTGACAGCGAACATCTTCCCTGTCGTCGCAGCCACGAAGCTGTCGATTTGGCGTGAATATTGCTCCACTTGCCTAGTATTTAGCAATGTCTCTAATCTGCTGGGTTCCTGGGGAAGTTTGAACAGTCGTTGCCACTCATCCTCTGGCAGAAGGGGCTGCTTCAGCTGCGCACGCGTGGCGTTCTCGGCCTTGCGTTTGGCCTGCCACTGCGTAATCTTGGCTTGCTCGCGGGCAAGCGATCGCTGGTAGAATTGGAAGTTGTTGTTTTCAGTGTGGTGAGTTTCAATGCTTTCGAGCAGCAGGTCACAGTTCTTCTCCAAGAATGGGTCAATGCTTAGAGAGAGGCTGTCGAAGTTGGGAGATAACAGCGAAGACGACGTGTAAGGTCCAGAGGTCAGAGCCTCAAGGGATTGTGGAAAATCCAGGGGTTCCGAAGGAGTGGGCGTTGGAAGTTGGTGGAGGTAGGATGTGAGAAGGTGGGAATTGTGAATTTGAACGGGGAGCTCGACGAAGATGTCTTGGTATCGAAGGTTCGATTTCTGGAGTCTGTGATGGGCGGAAAATAAGTGTTAGCTACTCCTGAGTTTATAACTCTATGAGAAAGGTGGACATGGTATCGTACTGTTCGCTGGTGAATTTGTTCTCCTTGAATGCGACCATAAACTGAGGTGATAGCCTAAAAGCTCTGAGGGCCAAAGTGCCCTGAGAACTACGGCTGATGTCATGGACTAATGCCACCGTTCGTTCATTCAGTTCTTTCTGATAGTAATACTGATTCTCGATAACGTTCAGATTGACGAAGTTCCCCATGTTCGCACTTGTGTACCATCCGACATTGTTGGCATCTATGTTCACTTCCCGCAGCATTTTGATCATTTCCGCTTGATAAACTGTGTTCGCCTTTGCGCGCGGAGCAACAGCAGCCGAATTTTGGGAAGCATTATCGAAATGAGACTCGGTTGGGATCTCCACAATTGGGAAGGGGAAGCAGTTGGTGACTTGCAGGGCGCCCCGCACATCCATGCCGACAAGTGATCCGGTCGCGATAGTAGGGAAAGCCTGGGAGCTATGTTTGATGATTTTCATGACAACCTGAATCATATGTAAGTTTCATATTCCTGCCTCGCCGTTGTCGACTCAATATCGAAATTTCTTTTCTTACCAGTGCCTCCACCTGGACCACCTTGAGCGCTGCATCTTTTCTATGACTAGTTAGCGAAAATCCGCAAAACCCGGAGGGAAATATACATACTCCGCCATATTTGCGACGACGACAGCTACTAGATAAGAGTTAAGAGTTAAGAGTAAAGCGTGTGGATTCTGCGGTTCAAGTGTCTCACTCGTTCGTTCGCTGGTCTTTGACGACGTTGCTTGGTTTTGTGTGGGTTTTGCACATCGCAAATAATTTAAAGCACACTGACCCCGATTCGGCCTAGCGTGTAATTTCCCTGAGGTGCGGCTCTTGGTGCTTCAACTCTAAATAATTAATATCAACGACAAGTTGACAACTAATATAATAATTTTCAGAATCAACGGGACAAACAAACCTTGACAAAAAACCTATAAGCTGTATCGAAACATATTTAAGCTTTTCTATTGTTGTTATTTGGATTTTTACGCGCTGAAGATGACCGCTTCCAATATAGCATCTCGTCTTGGCTCAGAATTCTCTCGAGAGAGCCATCGCTATGGGCAAGAGAGCATCCTTCAAGATATATCTGTGTATTATCCCCGCCCTCTTTCGCAAACGAACCCTTCATCAAGTGTCTGGATAATGTACGCTCACTTCTCCTTCCGACCTAAATATCAGCCAAACTCTTCCGATTTTATTTTGCTTATCGTATGAATCAACAAAGTTACATTCACGGCGGTGCGTGGCGCGACCCGGAAATTACATCCGCCTCTCTTGAGCCCACGCTGGGGGCTCTTGTTTCCAATTACGACCCTCAAATCCTGCAGGGGGTTGCTGCCTTTGCGTCAATCGATTATCGTTTGACAGCCCATCCCAAATTTCCCCAAGATCCGTCCACCACCGAGCCGACCCATTTGCGGAGTGCAACTCACCCTGATCAGCTCAATGATGTGCAAAAGGCGATCGCGTATTTACAGGCTAAATTCCAGTTTGGGGAAAGATATATTCTAGTCGGACACAGTTGTGGCGCTACCCTTGCTTTTCAAGCCGTGATGGGAAGTGTTCTAAGCGTCGGAACAACAGGAAGTGGGACTCCCGGGCAGAATATGAAACTGCCCATCACGATAGTGGGTGTAGAAGGCATCTACGATTTGCGTGCTCTCCGTGATAATTTCAAACATCTTCCCGTTTACCAAGAATTCATCGAAGCTACCTTTGGTTCGGATGAAAATGTATGGGATGGACTATCGCCCGCTCAAGTGGAAGGACAACAAGGTATAGAAGGAGGGTGGGTAAATGGCAGGCTAGCTGTGCTAGCTCATTCTAAGGCCGATGAATTAGTTGACATTGGACAGCTAAGAGCTATGGCCAAAGTGCTAGACATGTGGAGAGCAGCGGGCAGCCAAGGGCGTAGTAGGAATGTGCTTCTGCTTGATGACCTGAAAGGGGCCCATGACGAGATCTGGAGCAAAGGTGATGCGCTGGCTCAGGTTATTGTAAAGGCAATTTCTGAGTTGAATCTATCCGAGAAGCTGTGACCGTTATATTGCAAACGGGAAACAGAAAAAAGAAAAAAGAAAAAGCAGAAACGAGGGGGAAAAAAATGTTGGACCAACATATGACATTCGTATCTTTACTCAGGGACGGGTCGATAAAGAGGGTTGCGCCGAAACCACCATGAAAAACTTGGGCGGCGCCTACAAGACAACAAGACAAATTATTTCAATCAATATGAGGTTGACTCTGATGCATGCCGCGTATATAATGACAGCTTATCAATACAGCTAACTTTGCACGCCGTTTCTCAGTTTGCCTCAGCAACACATTCCTAATCCACCACTGGAGACAAGGCTAAACTGCGAGCACCTCTATTTTTCCCCGACACTGAGGGCGTTCATGCACAGCCGAGCTCAAAACAATCCCCAGTCGCCCTCTATCATTAGGCGAGGGTTTTGATGAAGGCTTATCAGGGTTACCCAGAAAGTGAAATACTAATAAAATGCAGCGTTCTGCCAGCCAATATCTCCCCCTACTGACTTATTACCTTTTTCACCTGGAGTCTCCCATTTCTGCGCAGTAGATTACCTCCCTCTGGATGCAGAGGTGTGCCCTGCCCAGGCCGGTCAGCAGAACGATTGCCCAAGTTTATACGTTTAACTACGAGAAATTTACTCAATATAGGAAAGCTTCTCTGATAATCATCTTTTAGCCTACGCTAGATTGATACCAATTTTCGGCCGCATGGCAAATTTGTGGAAATATTCCAAATTCGGCCTGTTTTGGGCCCATTTTTTTGAATGCAATAATTGAGCATTGTTGTTTTCACACTGATGAGTGGGCAAGTTTCCATCGAAGTTATGGAGCTGCTTCACATTGCCCTATTTTGGTTAGCGTGGGCCAACATTCCTCTCCTCAGCCCCCTGAAACATATCTGTGGATGGAACGACAGACATGATACAAGAAAAATGGCTATTTTCAATGAAAGGAGGGATATAAAAGCCAGCACTCATTATATATTTTTCTTTGTCCGTAATAACCCATAGCCTTACTTTCCACCTGAGTTTCTTTCTACATCATGCATTGGCTACTTAGCTTACTCCAGATACTTGGTGAGTAAGAAAAGGAATAAAATGATAGAAGCTGATCATTTCTAGCTTGCTAACAGATGATACCCCTGTTTTGTTGCAACGTTCTCGGTTTTCGAGCCGACATTCGGGCTGATAGTAACCGTGACGGTAGAGTTGATCTCGATGGAGACATAGATATTCCCCATAAGCTGAACCATCTAGACCATGCCGGGGCCATATTTCTGGCTAATATCGGTGACACCGACCGGCGGTGTTCTAAACTGGCACTGAATGGCAGTCCTCCGTCCAACGAGAAACTTGCTGCCTGCAATGATGCCTCCGATAACATCCAACGCTCCCCTCAGTATATGGCGCCTCTTCGAACGGTTCCTATTTCCTGCTTAAGTCCAAGTGCATATGGAACTGTGTCAGTTGAAGACGCAACAGTACGCAAGAACGTTCGCATATTCCGCCAGGAAGGATCGAGCTGGCTGATCACGCCAAATGATCACAAGTTTACTCAAAACTAGCTGCAACAGGGCCTAAACCTTGGACTTGATGCCAGGGATACAAGGCGGCCAGGTGGCTGGGATGGAAGAGTGACTGTCCGCTTTACAGTTCACGATCGCGGGAAGATGTCAGCCGACAGTGTAAAGCTGCGCGTTGCTCCCATTTTAACTTATCATCATTCACATTCGGTCCACCAAATCCTCACCACTGCAGGAAACAATACCTTCAACCTTTTCCAAGCCAAATTTGTGTCCGCTTTTGATGCCGCCCTTGCCGAAATGAACGTCAATTCCCCACTCTTCAAATTCAATGCGTCCGACGACATTTGGGCTCAAAACTTTTTCGAACCTGGGTATACGAGCATGCCTAGTCCGGATGGGCCAGTGACGCTGCGAATCATGATACGTTCCGCTCAAGACAGCCGCGTTGCTGGACGTCAAGTATTTGAGTATCTACGAGCCGCAGGAACGGGAGCAGTTCAACACCTTGGGGGCGCGCGTGATGAGGTCAACTCCATGGGAAATTTAGGAACTATTCCACCTCACAGTTTCAAAGGCAAAAAATACAAAAAGCCATACATCTTGGAATACCTGCAAGCACAAGAAATTCAAGATCCGCTTCTGGTCGACGTCGACTGGCTTGCCGTCGGACACGTTGACGAGATGCTTCAATTCCTTCCTGCCAATAATTCACTGGGCTGGGTTATGCTCGTCCCGGATCCACAGGAAGGGCTTGCTATATTGCGACACGCCCAGTCAGCCGGCCACGGGAAGACCGGGGCCTTTTCCCGCCAAAACGATACCGAGGGGAATCCGTCCGATCTATTTGGGATACCCTGGGGCCTTCGCGGTGTGCCAAGCTACACGATCGATGAACTCCTTTTGCAAAACGAACTCATAGAAGCCAACGCCAACTTTTCTGAGCGCATCAAGGCTACCGTCGACGTTCTCAAGTGCAAAACGGGCATCAAAGATGCAGATAATACGGTTTACCTGCGGTTTTCCGCACTGGGCTGACTTATCCACCGGATGTCGGGATCGAGCATGAGAGGAGTGGCAGCCATAAGTATGCTGGATCACTGTATCCTGCCACTATCAACGGGCTAGTTCTGAGTGATACGGAATACTTGGCACCGAATCCGTGGGGCCCAGTTGTTAATGGCAGGGATATCATGGCAGATGCAGTATCTGAGGTCTATGGCGGGTTGGGGTTCAAGGTCAGTTTCGTGGATGATTAGAATTCGCACCATAGTTGTGGCGGTGAGGTTCATTGCGCGAGCAATATAATTCGCGATGGGAGTCATCGGTGGTGGTAAATGCCGATGGGCCTTTATATCCCCCCTCGTTTCTGGCAAGGGGCTGTAAAATAGAGGAACTAGAAGCAGATATTTCAAACTTAAAAAGCTATTTGACAATTGTGATGGGCGATCTGTACAATTCCCTAGAAAATAAATAGCAGAATCTTAACTACATAAATAAATAAAAATAATAATGATAATAAAAAATTAACGTTATGTCCATGAATATTACATCCCTCCACTAAGCAAAAAAAGCGCATCTATCCGGCAAATGCTCGAAAACATCACTCCACCAGCATTCATACTGCGAATCTCCAGCGCGCCTAATACTATCCCGACGGCTGTACTCACTCAGCAAGAAAGTCCCTGCGTCTCGGTAATGTAGTGTCCCCAAAGCTCTACTCAGTCTCATGAATGAACTAGTAACAAATTCCCGTAAAGCCAATGCATCCTCAAAGTGATCACCAGCTTCAACCCCAGCTACGAGCAGCGGCCACGTAACCACCCGAGCCAGAGATTGGCAGCGCAGGTCAGATTCAGGGGTATATATATTGCCCAAGTTGTCCGAGAGCGTCTGCCGTGCTACGATCTGAATATCCTGAACCGTGACATAGGATATCATATCTGGTGTTGCATCTGAAGCGCAAGAGGCGAGAATGAGGCCTTCAAAGTTCAGAGCAAGGGACCGTATGCAGTAGAGAAGGACTGCGGATTGGTATACGGTTGCTATCTGGAGCCAGTGGTTTCGATCAGGCTGGATGAATTCGCCCGCGGCTTTTCCGTGGGTTACAGATGCCGCAGTATAGTATTGAGTCATGCTGTCCGCCCAGCCTGCTGCGGAAAAAGAGAGAATACTTTGTAGCAGCGACCGTACGTCGTTTCCGAAATCCATCGGCATTCTGTCTGTGCCAATAGCTTGTACGGAGAGCGTTCGGTAATAGTTTATTTGAATAATACACTCGAACAGTTTGTTTGGGCAGGGGACAAATGTTTCCGAGCCATTATGGAAAATAAAAGGTAGATCCTCCAGATATCCTAGTTGTCTGGAAATGTCGACCATGGATAATGTCTTCCGGGATGTAGTGCCGCCCAGGACATCGGCTCTAGGAGAAATGAATCAGAAGCAATGACCAAATGAAATATATGAAAAAAGGGGATGGGTTTTGCGCCATGGCCAAACGAGATTTTGAGAATATGTCAATATACGTACAATAAGTAACATGTCAGGGGGCTTTTCAATATGGGGCACCGCTCAAGAATAGCTTTTGCTCCCCCTTTCAGCCCGATTATCGTCGTTGCACCTTCGAAATGGGCCAGCCATTCACCGTAGGCTGATTGCTGCATCTAGAGAAAAGGTTAACAAGATATGGTTTGAACATCCAATTAGCAAGAAGCCTGTGACTTTACCTCTACTAATAGCAAAGTCAGCACACAAACCAGTGTTACCTCCCCCAGCTGAGTCTGTGGATTTCTGAGCTCGCAGCTTAGTCTATGAAAAGCCTGCTGCTTATACTGGAAGACTTCTCGACCAAGCGCTACTTGTTCGTCCGGTTGCGATCTTACAGCTCTGTGGGTTGCAACGGCTGAGACGAGAATGCTGAAAAGTAAATTGGAGACGTCATCTTGCCAGCCCTTGGGGTCGATTGTTGGGAGGTCTTGATAATAAACTATCGGATCAACCTCTGGATATATGTACTTATTGACTGTGACTGAAGTTAGTAGTGGAATAGACTGCTCATGAAGCGGGCATCAAGAGTTAGTAACAAGGCGACGCTTACAGTACCAGATGGTACTGACGACCACTTTAATATTTAACGGGTATTTAAAGTTCCAAGTTTCTGGAACGCGGTGATTGTCGATATGGTCCAAAGAATTTGAAATGTCTAAGTATCCGAACAAAGTATTAGTACAAAAAGATACGAGTTTCCCAGTTATTGCCAGTGGATGGCGCGGATTGAACGTGAGCCGTTGCATACCCGAAGCCGTTCGCACAAGTTCCAACACCTCCGACCTATCATCTTTCCCAGGTTCGGGAGACTTAGTTGGTTCTTCTATGTCCTCCTTTGCAACTATAATCTTCGGTCTCCCTTTCTTTCGCTTCGGCTGCTCGACGTTATTTCCCTCTCCTAGATATTGGTTTTGGTTGCCCCCCCCCTGGAGCCAGACCAGAGGCTTTTGTTTGCCGTAACCCAGGCATTCAACGCCTTTGACAATGCACTTATTGCAGGCCGGGCGCGAGGAGTCGCACCGGACCCTTCGCTTTCGGCAGGTATGGCACTGGTGTGGTAAGCCGGATGCGGCCCGGGATGGCGGTGGTTCGGAATGCTTCCCAGAACTCATGCCGAATAGGCGCGGCAGCAAAGGACTAAAGCAATTTTCACACAAAAAGGAGCAAAACTTTGAACAAATTATGAAATAAATGCAAATGTTTGCGGATCACCCAGAACAATGAGAAACGAGAATGCTAGTTTGGCAACAAGTTTTAGCTGAAGGGATCTTCTGCTGGTGGAATAAAAGGCCCCATATATTCGATTCCCAAGAGTTCACAACTTCCATCTCGAAGCGCCTCAGCCCCGTGGTCTAGTGGTTGAAGTTACGACCCGGTTTCCCAATAATAATAATAATAATGGTAAGGGAGGTTTCACGAAGCTGGATCGAGGAACCCTGCCTCTTGCGTCCGTGGTCTACCCGTTCGGATCCATAGCGATCATGACGAAAGCATCCTTGATCGATTCTTGCCTGTCGGATCGCTGTGAATGACTATTCCAGATAGTCTCTCCCAGGGACCATCCAGTGCCAGTGCGACCCACTAGCGCAGGCTGGGTTGTTGCAGGCAACAGGGGTAGATTGAAGGCAGCCTAATCGACTGATTCCTCCGCTGAGCTCTTGGGCTGTCTCTGTACGCGCAACTTTCGGGACAGAGCAGCCATGTGTCGCGAGAGGCTGAGCTGCAAATACCACACATCTGCTGCCAACAATAGGTTTGTTGATGCCATGACTCGTCGGCGGCGGACGTGGCGACAACAGTCGGGATACGAGAAACACAATTTGGCTTTCCTGGTTCACTGGAAGAACTCAAAAGAAGGCGACGCCAACTTCGCCAAGGCGGTGCGAGGATTGAATTAGGGCCGAAGCTTCTATTTTAAACGCTGTAACTTGAACAAAAGGCCTCGTGGCGATCATTGAGACGATATCTTTGCAGATTCTCCGATGTGGAGTGAGGTGAGGGCAGCTAGAGAGCTTGATATCGGCGTACATGGAGGGAGAGATTATCAATCGCTCCTCTTTGCCGCAAGAATAGTATTAGGCCCTAAATCCAGCGTGATAGTTTTCAAAGAACCGAATAGTTCTCCGCACTCTCCCTCCCTTCTTTCTCCGTTTCCCTGTGCGGTGTGTGTACAACACAGCCAGATTGTCGGACCGTGCTACCCATCCAAATGGCACACGAAAAGCTTAAGGGCGAATTCAAAGCGCGGAAAATATATCGAATGAGCATTAGTCACCGGGGCCGGCGGGGTGCAAAAAGGGAAATATCTCGTTTCCAGGGGGCTGAAAGAGACTTAGGCCCAGCCAATAGATATCTATCAATACAATCAGTGACTCAAGAACTGCTCCTTTTGTAACCTCAGCCCTGCCGATCGACGGTTACACATTTTGACGCATGGCATCCGGTTGGCTTGCAGAAAGCTCAGGCTGAACACTGTTGAAGCATTTCACCTTATCGAAATGTGTATCTGTTGACTTTGACTTGTCCCTGTGAAATAGATATCACGCTCATCTTTGCCACCCAGAGGTCAGCTTTCTCCAAAATACAATGGACCTCATTATTTGAAAGCCTGTTGTTGAACTGAAAAAGCTCATTGAGAGGTTGCTTTTCTGCCATAACAAGGGCGGATATTGTCAATGCTGCTTTATTATAAATAAATTTCAGCAACTGTACACAGCCAAATAAATATGCGGTATGTCCTTTCTGCAGTATTTATGTGTGACCACAAGCAAGGTTGCTAGGTGTTTTTTGGTAGCTGACAGTGAAGTTTCACCAAATTTCTGAAATAGAAACCACAGAAGGGATGACTATCCCACGCGAGATAGAGCAGGCAAAAAGCCGCAGTATGCACACATGAATGCCAAAAACTCAGAGATAACTATATATCATTGTTCATTCAGTTGACCTCAAACCTTCACTACATAAGGATATTTCTCAATTCCTCAATCAAAACACCCTGTCAGTAAAATCCATGACTTGCACCTTCTCAACCACCGCTTGCAGACCACTGATGAAGACCAGGTGGGCCGGATCATTTTTGGTATAGTAATCTCTATCTTTGGCAGTTTCGAACTGAGTAATGAAAGCGTGTGTAAATCCATTCTAGCATAGGTGTCAATTCCAATGTTTCATGGCATCCAGAAGATTGAAGCATATAGATAGATAAATCAACAGATTGATCCACACTTTGTAAGAATGAATCCTCATACCTGGAGTCCCTCAGGTGAGTTATCTATGCCGCCCATTGCAGTTTTGATGTAGGGCTTTTGATGAGTAGGATGGATACAATTATCTTTCAACGCAAGCATTTTCGCGCAGGTCTGTGGAAACAAAATTGGTAAGCCCTTTTTTCTTTCTTTCTTTCTTTCTTTCTTTTTGCCTGAAAATCTCCAATTTAGAAGTAGATACATGCATCACTCTAATTACTACATACCTCATTGATAACCTCAGCACTCACACCAGCCTTAAACTGGAAGCAGACAATGTGCGTGATTCCCATCGCGTTGATTATAAGTGTAATAGAATTGGATTCTCTAAGCTGCAATGTGATGAAGAGCAAGCTGTACTTGAAAGAGAGGAGTGGAAGAAAGATACAGTTACAAGAATGCTAACTTGGTTTAAAAGCCAGTGTTTGAGGTTGATATTCAATTATATAGATACTTATACATATGAAGTGGGATGAAGTAGAAGTGGGGTGATAGGACAACACCACACCAGTAGTTACCAATTTGCCCTTACAAACTTGATTAGGAAGCAATATACAGGAGAACTAGATTTGACTAAACTCTCCAGCTATGATTAAGTTACCCTGAATGAGTGTGCATAAGCATGCGTTTCATCTGTCTATATTGTGCGGGCTGATTATTATTTGGAAAGAGCGGAGATTGCTAGTGCTTGGGGTGATGTATATATTCCCTGCAAGTACTTCTAAAGTTGTGCCAGCTCTTGTTGATTCTATTATAAGAATAGCACCTATAAGTAGTTGTGGGCTTCATAGCATGTATCTAGAAAATATATGACGAGTTTCATGCATAGTGGTAGACAATTCATACGCCTATACTCCGTAGAGCATTTCGATGTGCATTTTATCCCTGGCATCATGCCCGATGCAAAGTGAGAATAACTATGTTCCAGTCCTCATCCATCATGCAATGAATAAAAAGGTGTTGATAATATTAACACTGCTTAGCTTGGGGAATTCGAAGCATAAATTATAAATGATATGACATTGACACAGATCCACAAAAACAAATGAGGTAGCTTTCTCCCTCCCAAACCCACCCACCATTCTGATAAACAATGTAGAAAATATGACTAAGATGCTATATGTACCAGCCCTCACGAGATATGTTCCTAACAAACCTGACACAGCCCACCATCATCCCAGTCCTCACTTCCAACACCTTGACAAGAAATGAAAAGTCTAGTTGAATCCCATCTCTTCTTAATCACATACAACCACTTATAATTCTCACACCAGAAGGATTGCTGGAAGTCCGACTTATGGGAATCAGCCTTGTTCAGGTAGGCACCCATCTGGCCTGGCTCCAGCGCCCTGAAAATCGGGACCCCGACATTTGTGATATTCTCATATACCTTCTGCTGGTCGTGGAAAGGCGTACTAGAAGGCCATGAATAGCTGAATGTGATGTGTGTCAGTGCCTTTCTCCACGCCAGGTTAAGCGCGCTGTCGACTTTTCCAGCATTTTTCACAACTTGTCCCCCCCCACAAGGTGTCCTGTGAGAACACTTCCAGACAGTGATTCAATGCGTGAGAGGGCCTCGGAGAGCTTTGCCAGTCCATCCGATGAAACCAAGAAATCTCGAGATATTAGACAGGATCCAATTGTGACTGCACCACCGGTTTGGTCAGCATCTCCTTTGAGGAAGGCTTCAATGACATTGTTGGTTATTTGGTGAGACAAGGGTGAAAGTGGAGATTGTAGCATTATTGAGCTTTTCAATGGCCGCGGCTAGCGGTTGTAATAGATGCTCAACAGCTGCTTGGTCTTCTTGGTCAGCAAACATGAAAGCTACAGTGATGGTAGATATGGAGCCAATGTCAGACAAAGAAGGGCTTTGAGGGGAAATAAAGTAATATCCTGCAGCGCCGTTGTCACTCAATTCAGGTAAAGCTGCATGTAGCTCTTTCACTGTAGCCTAGAAGCCCTCACTGTTGTCAACTAAGGTGGAAATATTAACACTTCCTAGTATTATTGGCAGGTCAGGCCATGTTCAAACCGTGACGCTGGCAATTACACCGAAGGTCCCTCCTCCCCCACCTCTTATAGCCCAAAAAAGATCAGTGTTTTGGTATTCATTGGCGGTGATTAGATTGACCTATATACTTGGTTAGACTATTGCCAAACAAAATATTATGAGAAACACAAATAAACCATACCTTTGGAGTTACAACCTCAAATTCAAGTGCATTGTCTGATGCCATCCCCTTTCATGGGCCCAAAGGTGAGTGACCACCACCTTGAATATAACCCCCTGGGACGGCCACAGTATGAGAAAGACCAGCAACAGTGATAACGCCCTTTTCAGATAAAGCCTTATACAAATCACCTAGCACCACTCCAGCTCCAAGGGTAACAGCAGCTCCCTTTCCACTCATTTTGCATCCCTTTGGCACAAAGTTGTCAGTGAAGATAATGTCTTTCATTCAGTAGGTTGAGATTTGCAACGAGTTTGGTGCGAAAGATCTGCTGAGAAAGCAGTGCCCAGATGCCTTGATAGCTAGCCGAAGGTTATGCTTTCATGCAAAATGGGCAGCTTTTTGGATGTGTGACAGTGATTCAGCGAGAACGGAGGACAGAGACACCTGGCCTTGGTCACAAGTGTCACCGCGCGGGCTGTCAACATAGCAACTCTCCTGGTGAGTGGGCCAAGTCTCCCAATTGGGGAATTTCACTGCGCCTGGCTGTTCCGCTCTCCAGAAGGAATTATGGGAGATGTTCTTTGTGTTCACACATGCCTCCAGATCATAAGTTGGGTCATGACAGACACTACCAACTGGTCGAACAGCGACAAGATTGCCTTCAGCAGACTCATTCAAGCGCTTCCATTTACGCGGCGACGGCCAACATGGATCTTCTGGTTGGCAGCGGCAAGAAGCGTGATTCCCGCCGGAGAGAGCTGTTGGAAGACCTGTGAGGATGAGAGTGGCAGCTACGTGCAGTAATTTCCGCATTTCTATCTGCAGATGTGCAAGGGATTAAACAACGAAGGAGGAAGTAGTTGATGAATCGCCCAAGAGGGCATGAGACCAAGAATATCATTTATTTGATTCATATTCCCGCATGTTCCTGCTGGCGTGGTTGGCTTTATATATTGGCGGAAAATAACCTGGCATGCTGTAGTTTCGGCAGAACTTGGTGTTAGCAATTGTCAAAACGAGATATTTGCTCGATTCGACCATTTCGCGGGCCGAATGAGGAAGATCGATCCCAATCTCCCAGGCCTCTAGGCTTAGTTTTGCCAGCAGCTGTTGGATTTTGTTTGGTTGAAGAATAAGCATCGAGGCTCAGAAGTTATTTTAGCATCTAGTCTGTAAGGGCTCGCGCTGAATTCGCTGGCTGTATGTGGCAGCTCATCGCCCTAAACCCGATTCTGCATAAACCTCGTTTTCAACTCCCAGCCCAACCTGCTCAAGACAGCAGAGTTCTCGAATTTTTCAAGTTGATCTTCAGCCCCAATTTATCCTCAGCCACGTACTATTTTCTTAGCTATCTTCTCAGGAGATGGATGTGGATACGGGCAATGGACCCGACATCCAAAGGACGAGCAATGGGCTGGGGAAAACTGAAACTGACAAGCACGGAGTACCTCTAGCCGACGTGGATGATTCCTTGAAGAGCAAGGCCAACAAATGCCAGGTTGCCAACTGAGCACACCAATTCGCTGATGCTGGGGACGTAGATTTGCAATGGGGGGAGGGAATGGAGTGGAGTCAACTCACCACCAAGCAGAAGGATTCGTATTGTAGGGTCAATGATGAGGTCATTGAACCCAACTATCAAAACTTGTCAGGTTGCGCAAAGTGTGCAAATGCCATGCAACGTACCAGGGATGCCAACCCTATTGAATCCCAGGGATTTCTCTGTAGCCGACAAGGCTGAATGATCGGGGTCTCTTCCTCAGGCAGAAGCATAATCTCACAGCTACTGTTCATGACGGGCAATGGCAAGAGAGCATGAGAATTTGGAGAAAGTGAAATTGATATTGCTGAGCAGGCGTTGCAACCCCACGGGAATCTTCTATGATTGCACAGCTTCGGCTAAACTACGGATATCTCCCCTAAGCTCAGTGGATGTCAATGCATTGGAGAGACTATTACAGCATCTCATACCGCCTCGGGAACCTATTGCCGAATAGATTTCTGTCCAAAAGGGAACAGAAATTATCCGTGGACATTACTCAGGAGGCCTTCAAACATGCGGTATCTGCATAACATACTGGACTGAGATTTTTCCTCATGGTCCATACCACGGCGATGTGGGTATTTGCGTCAAATTTCACACCATAATAGATGATAACCCGCACGAGTCGAAAGCACGTTTCGTATGTACACTGCATGCACTCTGTACAGGTATGTGCAAAAGAACGTTTCTGTCCTACGTTACTCTTGTCAAGCAGAATCACACTATGGATGGTCACTAGCCCAAGTGTATCTGATGCTATGAAGCAGGAGCTAATCAGAGCAGTCTTCATTTCACGCCTTATCACGAACAATATATTTATTGAATAAAATTTAGGGGGGACAGACTTGTATTATACTAATTATGCAAATCCAAAACAGTACTCGCAGTTAAGCGGTTGGCCATTTCATGTTCCAATTTGTCAATGGTAGAAGGATGTACGAGGATGCTCAACACTGTACCTAAAAGAGTACAGAAATAAAAACGAATATAGGTGCAATTTTCAACCACTCCATATGTTTCAGCCCTGACCAATAGCCCAAGACAACTCTCACGGTTTGCGACAGAAGTTATCCACGCACTTGTTGTTGTAGCAGCATTCGGAATCACATCCACAGTACCCCATGTCCTCCTGGCAATTCGGCCACTTCGGGTCTGTCGGTCTACATTTGGTAGCCGCGCAGTAGCCAGAGCAGCAGAACTCGGGACCACCTCCGGATGTGCAACCCTCTGGGAGAGTTTGTTAGTTTGTCCTGCTTAAACTATGGGTACGTGTGAGCATCCTTATCACAAGGAGAATACTAACGGTATACGTGTAGACACGTGGGTGTCGGAGCGCAACTTGTTATGGTTGTCGTTGCGGGTGCTGTCCGGGTCACGGTGATGCAAGTCTCTGTCCCAATACAGGCTTGAGCATCCCCGCATCCCGCGGCATCTAAGAGAACGGAAGAACTATGTTAGCAGAAGTCTTTCACCAATACAGCTGTGATGACAGGCTTGGTGGTGGGGAAGTTATATGGTCGTACAACCCCCAAAGGCCAAGGAAAATAAAAGGGGTTCTGAAAGAGAGAAGACAGCGTACTTGCGAAGGCAAGATTTGCGAGGAGGAAAGCAAAGGGTTTAGCAATATGCATCTTCGAGTATTATGTGTGAATATAGATTATGTGCCGCTACAAAATTGGAAGTCCCAAAGTCTGCTTGAAGACTTAGAATAGCAGAGGAGATAACTCACCGATTATTTATATCACGAACCTCAGGAAAGCGGATGGTGTCAAAGTCGTGTCCATGTATGTTTCACATTTTGTGCAAAGAGCACCTCGTAAATACGAGTGTCCATATGTAGATGTCCAAGTCCCACGTCACTCGTCACTCGGCCGCTGACGTTCCAGTAGAGGCCAAAAATGTGGACGGTAAGCTACTAAATCAAATGACCGGACCGTTCAGGCTGCTTTCCTGCTCAGAAACGAACCCAAGTGGTCAACAAGTCGGCGTGGCGAGGCGGAGCTCTGGTAAACTCTCTCCCGCGTGGATGGAGCTTGAGCTTGGTGTGTGTGGTTCAGGGAAAGATCAGCTTGTATTCAGCTAACTAGCCCAATGCAAATGCCGAGAATAGCTCCTTAGCTTGTTGATGGGAGTTATCCATCTTCTCGCCATCCTTCTCGCCATCCCCACAACCGGTCGCACTAAGAGTGGCCAGGAATCAATGTTGCTTCGAGGACAAACTGCTTTTGGAAAGTCAGAAGCATGCCCGGGCTCAACACAACTCTGTCGGCGGAATATCCTGATATTTTACAGTACTCTTCGACGGCGGGGCAGTGAAACATTTTGTGTAGGCATAACTAGTATTTGTTGAAAATGTCACTTAGCTTCACTTGCCAGTTATTGTAATTAATGAAGGTCCGGGGTTGATGAGATTTAATCCCGAGCAATGATTTCTTTCGACTACGCTGTAAGTATAACTACCTCCAGGGCTAGGTATCGATTTCACGTGACCTAGATAACCCTAACAGTGACATCGTTTCGGCGTCGCCATTCTTCATCTTTGTTTTTGACATCACCGTACTTGATATGCGTGTTGCTTGCCTCATTATCTAGACTAGATTCTAATTCTCGGACGATGTATGGACGCAGAAAGAGCCTTCCAATCGCAGCACATTACCTCGCCTCACTAATTGAAGATTTTACACGACCTAGAAAATAAGATTAGGAAATAAGATGAAGGTTCGGTTCGCTGAACATACAGCTTACATTCCCCCAATGACAAGCCTAGTGACCTCATATGGGAGGTGTCTAGTATTAACTGAGGATAGCCATTGAATGTGAGAGAAGTTGTGGACTCCACATGGTGTCCGGATTGTGACTTTTGCTGGCATATGAGATTGGACCTATATGGTGTAACAAGGAAATCTTGGAGTAATGTTGCTTGATATAAAGCTCATCCACCTGCTGCTCCATCTCTCTGGTGCGCAGTATGAGAAGCTGGCTAGTTGGCACAATAATGTAAGGTCAAGTTTGCAGGGCTGAAGCTCCAGCAAGGCGAAGGGTAGACCACAATAATAAAACTCACTTACACCACCTAGCTCTGACTGATCACTGAAACTAGTGTTAAGCTCTGGTAGTGCATCGGAATTAATTATAGAGCAGTATGTGGCGTCCTCCATTATTTGTTTGATTCATCCAGAGAAAGGCGAGGTACAGTCGGGAGGAAAGGGAAGCCGAGGCCGGCTGCAGGATATCGGGATGCCGATACAATCCGTATAGCAACATCCGATGAAAACAGTAGATTCATCCTGAGCTCTCGGGATAGTTTCAAGTACAGTACAATAACTCGGCCACCTCAGCTCACTGCACAATGGAAAAATTCTCCTGAAAAGTGGGAGGGATTCGGGATTTAATAAGAAGCCCTAGAGGAGGAACTAATGTCAGCCCTATCAGCAATATAATACCTAACTAGATGATCACTAACTTGGTCATGAATTGGATATACCCCATATAAGAAATCAATGAAACCCTTGGTTAGGAAAAACAAACCCCCAAAAACACCCTATTACCAATTACCTGCTCCGGATAGAGCTTACATTCAGAGAATAAATGAAATAAAAATAAAAATATGAGACTATACGAAAATGCCCTAAAAATTGTCTGGAACCAGAAAAGCTCGTCGAACGCCTTGCTGTAAAGCATATACCTATTATTTATAAGGGAAAGACGGGAAAATAAAAGAAAATAAAAGAAGCGAGCCCTCCGAAAGCTAGAAGTCACGGTTTGTCCATCAGAGGAATTTCATCCCTCAATCCCTCCCAAACGCCTTGTTTAAGACCGGGTTTATCCATCAATCCGTTAATCCGTCAACCCATCCATCCATTCATTTAGGTCAAGCGCCAATATCCATTCGTCCCTTGTCAATAACAGACCTCCCCCCTTCTTCGCCGATGGCAGCAAGAAGCCTACTATCAAGCTCCCCAATTCCCGAGTCAGCGATATCGTCCTCATCGTCTTCAACCTCCCTATCCTCCATAAATGGATTCTCCAGCTTAAGTTTCCGTAGCCGGCCCTTCATCTCATCTCGTTTTCGATTTTGCCATCTCGCCAGTGCAGCGCTAGCGTGGACGCGGAATCCAAATACTCGAGGGTCGTATCGACGTAGGGACTTTTCTGGGATGAGAGCAGGGTAGACTTGGAAGAGGATGCTGTGGAATGATGAGCCAAAATATGCGCCATCGATAGCTGCGTGTCGGGATGATTTGGGATTATATATATCTTCGCATTTGGCGCAGTAGAGTGTGACCGATTTTTCGCCTGGTAGATCTGATAGGCCCATTGGGAGAAGGGGATGTTGGTTGCAGAGGACTCGCGGGCATTTGCCAAAGTCTGCCTTTTTGTATTTATCCAGCTATAAACGGCCGTTTGTTAGCATTCAACTCTGTGTTTTCCAGTTGATGAGTTCTATATATACCATTTTGGCTAATCCTCGGGTCGTAACAATGTACCGGGCGTGAACTAGTCCATAGAGATGCCGAGCTGATTTCTCGATTTGCTCTCTCGTATCTTCATCCGTCTCGTGGTCGTAAACATCCGTAACTAGATCGAGGGCATATTGGTAATACTGGACTTCATTATTCAAACCCGTAAGGTTAAATCGATCAGTGAGGTACTCTTCATCGATCTCGCAAAAGTATTCGTTCCCTCGAGATGAGATGAACTATGGTTATAAAAAGGAAATAGTTAGCTAAGTCTAGGACTTGAACAAACAGCGGACAACAGATCTCCTATATTGATATTCTTCGTAACAAGCGCAGAAAATGCACAGTCCCAGCCGGACAGCCTTACGCATGTTTCAAGGCACAATCCAGACACATATTCGATATCCCTTCCAAATGCGCATCCCCACATCTAAGGGTATCACACCACATCGCATGGTCCGTCTTGGTTTTGAAGCTCTCCCCACTAGCTATTTCCCGCGCATCGATCGCAGACACATAAACTTCTCTTAGCCACCATCTTGATGCAAGCTGGCAGAGCCGTTGCAATCTATCCAATCGCTGGCAACTCCTCTTCTCAACTGAAATTCGCCATATCCAACCAACAGATAACAGGGAAAAAGACTGGCATCACGCAATAGGCTTCAACGAGGCCAAAACCGCGGGGGAAATTTCAAAAAAAAAAAAAAAAAAGGATCACAAAAACTCACCCAGTCTTTCCAGTAACTTGTGTAGTCGCTTTCGGTCTCACTATTGAAGTCCTCCATGTCTTTTACTCCTCACTCACTCTCTCCGGCTCTCTTATTCTTGGAGGTGTATCCGTAACACTAGTTACTCTAGGGAATAATGCTACCACGGCATATGACGGGGAGATTGCGAGTGTGAGGGTGCTGGGTGTTTTGGACCCTTAGCGAGTTGGTGGCAAAGGGGTCGAAAAGGATGTCGTTGATTCAGACAGGAGTAAATAGAGAAGAAAATCGAGAGAGAAAGGGGTGGGGTCTTTTTTGGAAGTGGATGCGAGGGGGTGTTGGTACAATTTTGCGATGTGGGAAATGGGATCGATAGCGACGATCCAGCCAGCCCTGTTCTGGTTGCCATTGGGGAGGGAGGGGCATTTGGGGCCACGCACGGCGGCGTTTATACACACGGAGCGTTCCAGAACACTGAAAGATTTACTCTGCGCATTTACTTTGGATGTTTCATATTTTACTATGAAGGTCTGAAGGTCTGGGGAACAACAAATATTTACTGGTTTAATATTGATAAAATAACAATAACAATAACAATAACAATAAAAAAAAAAAAAAAAAAAAAATCAATCATTCCAAATGTGAGATATAGTTGGCATATTTATGCATTCATAATACGGTATACATTGAAAAATAACACTGAACAGATTTAAGAGTAACAAGAAAATGCTAGCAATTAAATGAACGATGGAATGAAAAGAGCCGTGGAGGCTGTGATTGGTTAACGTTTCGCTCGATCGCACTCTTCAATAAATTTGTAAATCCCTTGGAAACCGCCGTAGTGAGAGTACGTGGCAGCAGGAGAGCCCGTTTCTGCCAGCTCAGGGAAAAAGGCGCGATCACCTAACTCGCTAATGTTCATGCTAGAGTACCCTGACGACGCTCGGGAAGAAGTCCAGGGATTATGTTCGTCACTTCCCCAAAAATGATAGTCTTGGCCGGTAGTGTTCCCAGGTGAGGGTTCCGTCGGTTCCGCGGAAGACATCATATGGCGCCAGTTCAACATATCGGGAGACTTGTGTCCGTAGGCAGAGACGGAAAACAGTTCAGAGTCCGAGCCTACGTGACTGGGTGCGAATGGAAACAAAAGTGCCATCTCAGTGCCGTTTAGGATCTCGAAGTCCTCATCTTGGCGGATGACGCCTCTTTGTACGCCGACTTCATCACACAAGCGTTCGACGGACTCAACATCACAGCCGGGTAATCGCACCCGTAGGGTAGATTGATCATGGAGCGATACCGGCAAGTCCCCTAGCGTCGCAAGTCGCTTCAAATCATTCAAAACCGCGGCAAAATCCTTTAGTGCACGAGCAAAGTCGAGGGAAAGGAAGTCCATCAAGTTGACAGTATTCAAGTTGACGGGCTCAGTAGCATCAGCAATGGATGGTTTTTGCAGTGCTGTCAAGCGTGCAAATGCAGTAATAGTTGGGGATAGTCTAAAGTCAATATAGGATCCAGGGGAGTTTCGAGGGATTCCCTGCATTTTGCGGCCCGCTTCGTCTTGAAGAACCGTGACTGCTCGGTATTGCTTGCGGCCAGTTCGTTGATCTACCCCGTCAAACCTGGCTCTCTGTCCAGAAAGCCAAAAAGCACGAACTCCAGTTGACACATTGTGAACTACTTGGGCTGGGCATGCCGGGCCATGAGAGAAGTATCTTGCGCCACCAAGACGTCCCGCACCAAGTGTATATCCACCGGCTGTTCGGCATAGTGTACCACCTGTGAGATTGGGGCGCAGGGTTGATGCGAAGGGAGTTCGTGTAGTTAAACGATTAACAGCAGCACCAATTCTAGAAGCTTGGAATGCGCGTCTGACGGAGCGAGCAGATGTGTTTGAAGTGGAATAGTAACGACTTTGGGTCTGACGAATAGCAGCTATCCTATTTACCGGTTGTCGGCGAGAAATTCGAGCATATATAGGCTGGTATACAAGACGAGCTGGTTCAACCGGTTCTGTAACCCGGGGCCTGATAGCCCTAGTTGCCTTCTCGAAGGCGAATCTAAACCGCACAGTTAGGGCGAAAGCAATCACCAAATTACAACAGGCTTGATAACTCACCTGGCAACCCGCCAGATTTTGGGGAGCAGTTGATGGCCACTTGATGGCGCCATGGCTACCTACTCTCTCTCTCTAGTCGAGGTTGTTACAGACTTGAAAAGAGGAGAGGGGATTGAAACACGGCTGCCTGAGGGCGGACTGATGTAATGGCGGGTGTACCGGCCACGCTAAACTAATTTTAGTTAACTTTATTGCTAGAGGCTTAACTACCTAATACTATGGAGCAGCGATTTTCGGATTAAATATCATCCATTGCGGCTCTACAAGCTTCGGGGAAACTGCTTGCGATCTCGAGGTTTGGATTTGATCGACATAGCTGGCTATAGACAGCTCCAAAGCTTTGCTTCCTTCTGCCTTTTTTTTTCTTTTTCTTTTTTTCTTTTTTTCTTTCCTTTTTCCTTTTCTTTTTCCACAGCATAATACCCCATGAAGCGTGCGTTAAAACTAAATGTCGTCCGGATTTGTTAGTGGAGGCACGATTGAGGAGCCCACCGAACGAGACGATGAATGGGTGAGGGCCCAGCAAGAGCTCGAAGCTGAGAGGAGACGAAAGGCAGAAGAGAGTAACCGAGATCAAGGGAAGAGTCTCTATGAGATTTTGCAGCAGAATAAGGGTCAGTAAATGGCGTTGTCCTGTCAGATCCTTACCAGCGACGATAGCTAATTCTGATTCTTAACAACCCCAGCGGCCAAACAGGAGGCATTTGAAGAATCCATCAAGCTCAAGAATCAATTTCGATCGCTGGATGAGGATGAGGTGGAATTTCTAGATTCGGTTCTCGAATCGACAAGGGCCCAAGAGGCAGCTTTGAAGCGAGAAACCAGAGAGCAATTAGAGATATTCCATCGTCAACGTCAAGAAGCAGAGAGAGCCGCCCTGGTTGACCCTGGCTCCGGAGAGTCTAAGAGTGCAGGGGCATCGTCGCCTGCAGACGAAGAACAATGGACGACCAGTGTCCGGAAAAGGAAAAGGGCTAAAGTGAAGGATGCAATCCCTGGCGTCAAGTTGAGGAAGAGTTCATCTGCGAATTCCGACTCAATTGCCGCTAGCAAAGTGTTTCCAGAAGCTGGTAGCAAGGAATCACGAATGGCTTCGGACTCAGTAGAAATATCCAAGAACCAGGAGAAGCCCGATATCCCCGTGAACCCCGTGAACCCCGCGCATCCCTCGAACCCCGAAGATATCAAGGAACCCGAGGAGCCCGAGGGCTCCGCAACTACAAGCGCTAAAGCCGCCCCCGATCATTCAATCAAATTAAAGCAGAAAGCGGTACCACAGGTCGTCTCATCTGCACTTGGATTGGGCGCCTACAGCTCAGATGATGATTAACATCCCCGAGGAGCCCTGCTGTTTAATTTCGTCTTCCAATGGCCGACGGGATATCGCAAATGCAATCCACTAGTTTGGTAGATCCCAAGCAGTATAGTTCCGGGGAGCATTTGGCCCTAGCCACGGCGTAGTACAATCCCGGGCCTCGTGGAAATTCTTCTCTCAGCAGTTTCTAACTTGTCCCATCTTTTCCATGCTGTACTAATTCCAGAGCGTCGTGTCACCCACAGTACTGTGCATGTTGGGCGGTGTAAATGCCCCAGGACATGGCGAATCGACTACATCGCTAGCTTAGCATACTCTCAGGGTATGTGTAGTCCATGGGTTAACTAACTACAACTAGTTTCCCCGCACTTAGCTCTACCTTCATTCCCACGACGCCGAATGCACACACCCTTTCAAGTGCTAAGCCTGTGGCATAGGGACGGTTTATTCGTCATGCTTGAAAGAATTCATTCAATTCCATCTCGTCGACATGTCTCCCAAGACTAGAAGATACAGATTCTCCTCATATCAGACACAGGCCAATGAGCAATCGGGTATAAGACACGACATGTTTCCACCTAAGTGTTACCAGTTGCAGCAGGACAGCTCAGAGAAGCAACACATTGGTGAAGTTACAGATGGAGGAAAGAAAGGAGGACGAGGTTGAAATGCTAGAAGGCCTACACAACCATGACTAGTATTATTTGGTCTGCATTGTCCGTGAAATTGGCACCTAATTTCTGAGCGAAATAATTCGAGTTCGTGTGCGAATATCGACCTATGACAATAACGTATGAAACTTAACCGGACCGTGGCTCAGAAAACCTAAGCCATTATGATGATGGTGAGGAGGCACCAATAATGCACGTTGTCGTGGTGCCTTCACATGTGAATTTGGCTCGCAATGTGAACGGAGGAATGGATTCTACCAGTTGTGCCAAGATCGTCCATGATCAGGGGTTGTCGGCGTTTAAATCCAATAGGGATCGCAATGCGCGGTATCGTGTAACGAAGCATAATAGAGCCGGTAGCTTGTATCGAAAGCTACCAAATCACTCTCCGCGATTCTGTTTTGCCCATTGATGGTGGATGAACTGGAGCTAAGATCTCAAAACCGAGACCAACTCTTCTGATTCATTATTCGATCAAATGTCATTGATCTTCTCCGTCTCTCTGCATTGATTATGGATCTCCTTAATTCATTTGTGGTTGCTCTTCTGCCGATTGGAATGGGCACTGCAACGGACATGCTTGTTAGGAAAGGTCTTCGAGACGATGGAAAGCTATTCGAGAAAGTTTAATCATCTTGGAATTTGCATCCTCTTTTGAACATGATGCCCTCCTGGATAGCTCAATTTTCACTTCCAACCTCGGATAACTCTCTTTTCCTTGGTATGCAACCTTGTGGTGTACCTCGCCCCGTTATCGATGAGCCAACATGGGGGTAGGGTACCTACAATGTTGCTAAATGTTACATGTTGAATGCTGAACTGTTTGCATCTGCCTCTATTCACAACAAGATTTAAGGCGGAGAAAATTTTACTCTGGCCAACCTGCGCGCCCTCCTATTGTACGTGCCATATAGCAGTACCCCTTCGTCCAGGTAGCGAGATAAACGATCCAAGGAGCTTCTACATAGTTGCGTACGTTGTTGTCCAACATAGATCTTGATTTGTGTGCACAGGCGATTAGCTTCAACAAAACAGCATTAATGTCAGTGACGTCCAACATGTCAGTGACTCGTGATTTCGGCGAGAAAGAAGCCAGCTGGATTGAAAACGGTGGGCCTACCGAAGAACTGCGATGCATCTATATGAGCTCCGGGGGAAATACAGTGATATTCGAACGCCCTACACCGCCTTTATCACCGAACAGATGCCGGTATGAAACGGGCATCCTGGCGATGGTCGCCCATGATGAATTATAAGGCCTAATCACTCTGCGATTGTTTGCGATAAGGCTGGAAAACCTATGGTTCTAATAGACCTAGGATACCCCTTCATTGGAAACTAGTGCTAGAGTGGGTAACGATGGTTGAGTGGACGTGTGTTTGTGTGTTGCCCGTGGGTATACAAAGGAAATTACGAGACAATGGCACGCTGTGAATGCCAATAAGGTTTAAGGTCGGGATATATTCCATGACATGCCATTGTGATAGTACCAGCATGAAATGGGAAATTTTGGTGTGGGAGAGAGTACGCACGGGATTTCAAGGAGAGTTGTCTACGGTTCCGGATCGATCTTTGGACATGCTCACATATAAGATAAATTACAAACCCGTTCTGGCATTACTGAGCAGAGGGGAGCGCATTAGGCAAGAACGATAGGATGAGGGGCAAATATATTCGGGACGTCAAGTAATATACATTTCTAGCGAATTACCAAGGATTCTGGAATTTCAAAGACGGTCTTTTAGACAACATTTATTGTACTCCTGCAACGCATTTATATTCATAAAATCGTTAAATCCATAATCCCAAAACAGGCCGACACAAGTTCCCAGCTATCAAAAGGAATAATTACCACACCATCTGACAAACATTGGAGTTGGGGGCCCTCATTCCACAGGGAAACTCCCACTTAGCCGTATATCACGTTCGTTACGGTTCCGTCTTCGCTAACGTGTACATTCAACCTATTCAACAAAAGCCGTAAGCATGGAAAGTATTAGCGATAGGTATGAACCATTCAAGAGAAGTGCGTTCAAATGCAGACCACAATTCAGCGATAGCAACAACGAGCCATAGCAGAAATCAATCAGTTCGCAGACGTGGAGACTAACCTCTCCGGCCTATAATCCATTGTTATAGCCATGCCGGGCTTAACCACGCGGTGGACAGGGGGCAGGTCCTTCTTTGCGAATGACTATGGTAAACACTGAGTTAAGCGCGTGATACGAGACACACCCCGGGTCTAAGGGATGATATTCATATAGCAAACTTACCACATTGTCTGATGTTGATTCGGTCAGTTTCTTGCCCAGTAGTTTAGCCGCCCATTGGGACTTGTCATCATCGCTGACGTTTGGAACGATGAGAGGCATGACGATGTTTTGCGTGAGGAGTAAGTCTTCTTGATCTCGCGGATATTGTTGAGTTAATAGATGTTAATTGGTTAACTCGTCAGCTTTCATTTACTGTTTGTACTTGTCAGAATGTGAGGTAAGACTGATGGTATTTTCAAACCCTCTGTGCCTTATATATAATATATTATTGTAGTGGAAGTCAGGCAACACGGACGTCGGGCGTAAGGATGACGTAACGACGCGTCAAACAGGACAAACATCACGTGAGTATACCTTACCGAATTCTCACTAGTCGCGAAAGTCAAAATATCACGTGATATCAAACTGTTTCCCGATATCTCAGCCTCAACCAACACGAGGATGTTCGTATTTTTCTCACCCAAGTTTGGATGTAGCCAAAGCACTTATTGGCTTTTACTGCAAATCGGCATTAGCATTCTGTCTTGCGCATCATCATGGTTTCCATTTGTAGCTAAACACGGGCCGTTGTTTCAGGATTTCAGTTCTTGGATGGCGAAGAATACTCGAAATCCATCCTGACTATTGAAACCTCTGACCAATGATGGGCCGTAGATTTATAGATTTTGATCCCTTCCTTCTGGGGCTAGCTCATTCTATTCTTAGAAGGTAAGCTTAGCAGCCTCAAAACTCCAACCGGACTACGAGCGATTAATCAAGGGATTGGTATGTCCTTGGTTATGAAGTGTTTCGAGTTCCTTGATCCCACTAAGCTGACACATGAGAATCCATTGTTTGGCTCTTTCGTTCCCTATCTAGCTATAGGCTGACAAGTTGGCTAACAGCTAGTTAGCTGTTCAAAATTACATTATTATAATGGTGAGGGAATGGGGAGCGATCCGAGCAATCAGAATTATTCTAAAATATGTGAACGCGGGCTACCATCTCTGAAAAACACCAGTGATAACGATGGCTACAAGAACAGCTAACATTTAGAAGCTCGGGTAGCAAATATGTCATCCAATCGGCTTATCCTGATCCCAGGCCCCCTCGTATGAGACTCATTCCAGCCCTTGCGCGAGGCTGTGTTGGATGGAAACCGTCGAAACACCTCTGACTCTCCCCAGAACCTCGACGCACAACTTCATGCCTGAAACTCAATTCGAATTCTGACAGTTCGTCGACATGTTAACTGACTCCCTTGTCTGTGGATGCGTTGTCGTTTATTTTGTGATGAAAATTCACCATCTTCCCTTCTTAAAGGTATCTAGTTGCTCTTTTGTGGGGCCATCACTTTCTATTTATAATTCTCTGGCTTGATCCCTGCCTGTCAGATCTAGGCAGTTTACCGGAGATCAAATTTCTGGTGAAATGGGCTAAAAGCCCGACCTTCACACCTTGTAATGTACAGTATTACTGAAAACGAGGGCGAGAGCATTCTCGGGGAGCACATTCTCGGGGAGCATCTATCTCCTCAACCCTTCAACAACGACCATTCTAATTGTTGGGGCTACTTATATTGAGGGCCGGCATAGTCCTTAGGATATCGCCATGCGAGATATTTCCCTCTATATTTCGTTCATCACAGGCTGGGTTTGCCTATTTAATCTCTCATGGGCGAGCCCTGTGGATCTCTCTCTCACAAAATTCCCACCTTGTCCGAGTCCCCCTACGTGGGATGTAAAGGATGCCGCAGGCTTTCCGGCCAAATGCGCTCGAATCTCCCACCCGTCCCAGCGTGTTCGATTATTAAAAATCCAGAATAGGAGAAGACAGAAGGTGCAGTTCCTTGAGCGGACGGCGCCGTCGCAAAATGGGAAAAAAAGCCCAATACCAGTTGGTAGCAATGGAGAGAAAAGACAAATCATCGACGAACCCACCCACGAACGTGACCCTTTCTTTCCTGATCCTATAGCTACTAGCTTCCCCAAGTTTACTGATCCTCCTCAATTCACAAGAACAATTTGGGAGGATCCTTTTGATGAGCCGTCCACGAGCTCCCCCACGACATTTGTGTCTACAACGATTACCAGTGCAACTCAGACTAGAACTACATTTACCCCCCGTACTTCCATTGCTTTATCCACTCCTGCGCCGACCCAAATGCCGGAAAACTCCGAAATACCGGAACAATCTAAATCGGATGCCGGGCCCATTATCGCTGGTTGCTCAATTGGAGGAATTGCTTTGATTTCCATCCTTTACCTCTCCTTTAATGCATGGAGGCGTTCTCGAAATAAGAACAGAGGAGCTGGGACAAGCACCCTGCCGCCACCATACGCCAGCCAGCCGATGGGTGAGAGGGGAGGTGCGCAAACAGGATTTGTTGCGCGTGAAGCCCCACAAGAGATTTATCCCCCCGCGCAGGCTCATACTGCCAGCTGGACTCATGGCCCCGGTGCGGAAAACCCGCCAGACGTGCTGGGACAACTCCAACGTCAACCGCGTCGTACGTCAAGGCGCTATTATGCTGCATTCTTCCCCACTGATACCAATTCAAACGGTTCCAGCCAGCCAGCCCTCCAATCGAATTCATCAAACATTCAAAATCGGGGCACAGGCGCATATACAGAGACATCGAATCCCGCAGAACCTTTTACCGATCTCCCAATCGTTACAGAAGAATCGCCCCACGGCAATCTTCCCTTAACAGCTCCTGTACCACCACTTGAATCGGCAGCAGGAGCAGCAAGGCAACCAACCAGTTATAGATCTCGACGTGATTCCAGGAATATCGTCCGTCGTAGCTTGTTTGGATCTATAAGCAGTACCAACAGCAGTAACGGTCCCGATCAGGGAACCACTGACTACGATTGGCAAAATGTCTCGTATCCCACCCCCACAGATTTTGGCAGACACTATGACGTCTCCCCCATCGAGCCAACACATTCCGATCGTCTCCCATTCGGGAACCAGAGGAGCCCCTCGCCTACACTCGATACACCACAACCGTGGGCTTCCAATATCCGACCCAACTCACCTGTGTCGTTAGGCAGCGTTGAAAATGTGGATGGACAACATAGTATAGCTACGAGGCCCCCTTGATCAAGTCATCCGGAGCAAAGTTTTCTTTTTGTTCCTATTTCGTCTTTGACGGGGAAGTGCATATACCTATCCGCTCCGTACATATTCAAGGAATAGTGGACCCGAAAGCAGATATCGTGAATGATAACAACGATAAGGTTTTTATGACTGGTTGCAAATGCGGCCCCACTATTTCCTTTCCATCTCTACCTGCCTTTTCCCTGATGATTTCATGGTCCTATTTATTTATTTTGTGAATTGCTATATACCCACTATCGTCCACTGTTGGCTTATGTCTATGTATTCACATGTGGTTCGATTGGTTTCGGATCAATTATCTTACCCAGTACATTTTTGCGTTGAAGGTCTAAACCCTATCTGTATATTTTTGTTATATATTTCCTACTATTTATAGCTGCAAGTATGGCTATTCTGAGTAGGGGAGCGCCGAAGTTTTCGACGTAACACACAGGCTCGATTATCACCTGCATTGAATAAATGTACACATTTTCCTTTCGGATAACAAATCCCACTCTTTTGCAGCTTCTGCAGGGATCTATTTGTGCTAGCTCAATGAAATGATGCTCCGTAGAGGGAGCGAAAACTAGATCCCGATGGCACCTGTCTATACATAATGCAGCATCGATTGGACTACTCTTAACACAAAACATCCATTGTCCAAACATGAACAGACGGCTATTAGGAGGAAGAATAAATTTCACCTGGAGGGCTGAAGAAAGTACGAATGCAGAGAGAAACGGTAGGCTTAATTTAAATGAAGACTTGCCCTAGGTAAAAACATAAAAGAACATGAAAAACGACATACATGAAGGTTAAGAGTAAAGTAAACCCAGTCCAGAAGTTAAAAAAAATAAAAAATAAATAACCATAATTTCCCGCTCTAATAACCATTGAGAAAAAAATATCGCTAGCCCTACCCACCCCTAACACTTCTCAAACACCTCTCCAAACCCCTCCCCCTCTCCTTCTCCCTAACTAATGTGGTTTTGACAAAAGCTCGAATCGCATCCCTCCCCACCTTTTCCCGCCAGGCCGTCCACCCAGCCAGCTCTCCCACAACAACATCCTTATTCCATGCAATCTCTTTCTCTAGCTGTTCAGCCTCCGCTGTCGATTCGGAGATTTTCCGTTCCAGATCGCGCACTGATCTCTGCCGCGATTCCTCGAGGCCTGGGAAGTTGAATTTTAGCGGGAGAGACGAGGACGCCAGGGATGAATGGGCGCGTGTCAGGCCGCGAATTTCAGCATTGAGATTAGAGATGAGTTTTACAGGCCGCGAGAGCGCATTGAGCATTGCGCTCGTGGTGCTGTGCGATGACGTCAGGGCAGTGAGGAATTGGACCAGCGGGGACGAATCGACGGAGGAAGTTGAGATGCAGGCCGCATAGCGGGCGAAGGTTTCCACGTGCGACGTTGGAAGGGAATTTGATGGGGGTTGCAGCGAGGAGATGGCATATGCGCAGAGGATGATAGAGTCTGCCAGGTCGGAATATGCATGCTGGAGGATATGGCCGCGTCGAAGGAGGCTGCGAGTGGCGGCGCTAACGGCGCGGACTGCGTCCTGGGCATGAGAAACGACCTGCTCGACGTCTCGAATTCCTTCTTTGGTCACGGGTTCGTAGTCGTCGGAAATTGTCTCAGCAAGGGCATCTGCTTTCCTGCGTGACCTGTCTTCTATCATTTCGGTTTGCATTTCCGGGACTAGGAAGAATTCCCAAAGCATTTCATGAGTTGAAAATGTAGGGTGAGCTAATAGAATTTTCAAAAGGAGGTCTAAACGCGCCTGAACTTCGTGAAGAACTGCTCTAGAAGGTTTGGATGGGATTTGAAATGGGGTGCGGAAGGGAGGTAGTTCTGGAATGTATGAGGCTGGGTGCTCGACTCTGAGGAATTTTATGAGGTTCTCGAAATCGGATATGCTCCGGCGACAGGTCGTTATTGTGTATGTTACAACGCCTCGCGATGATGAACGCGGCCTTTCAGGATTGGGTGCTCCGGATTTAATGATAAAACGGACGCTAGCATCTTCAACAAATAATGAACGGACAACGGTGGTAATTCGCCCTGAAGAATCAAGCGGAGCCGAGGAAGCACTGGAAAAAAGGATTAAATCGTCGATTCGATTACGCACTTCATCATCCTTCGCTAGCTCGACTGCAGTGAGCCCACGCATCTCTCGAACATTGACGTCAACTCGTGGATCTCCGAAAAATGTTCGTACGAGATCGATACGGCCATACTTGCTTGCCATCATCAACGGTGTGAATCTTTTATCATTAGTAGCATTTGGGTCACAGTCACATTCTTTGAGGATCCTCACAATTAACTGTGGGTCACTAACGACGTGTAAGAGAGTGTTCCCTTTGCCATCCACATGGTCCTCTAACCTCAAAGGCTTGGCGTCACCTTGTGCCTCTTGTGCGACTGTCAATGCTTCATTCACCATGGGGCTGTAATCGGGGTGATCATAGGACCTACAAAGGGCAAAAAGAGGCGTCTGGCCATTTTTGTCCCTCTGCCGCCAGGGAAGTGCACATCCCAGTCGAGATATGAGCGTAGGAACGCTGAAAAGATAGTGGGCGACCGTCCGACCTCTTCTATCAGCTTTAGCGTAATACGAGGCAAGAAGCTGAGAATCGCGAGCTTGGGATATGAAATCCAAAATTATATCGACCAGTTCAGTGTGTGCTAGCTGCACAGCGGCACTTAGCAATGTCGTTCCATCACTATTAGTATCCTCCAATATGCTCTCCAAGGGGTAAAAGTCGTCCCGGCTAAGCAGGTACTTGAGTGACTCAGGCTGGCGGGCTTCCACTGCCATCATTGGAACAGAATCGCCTGCTGGATCCTGGGTCTTTGTCAGGTTCTCGATGGACGTATCTCCTTCCAATGCACTTGTTGAACCGACAGACGTTGTTCGAGAAAGGTATGAAACAGTCGATGACTCTGAAAGGCTCCGCAGGTCCATAGAAACCTTCTTCCGCGATGGGGTTTCGAAGGTTGAGGAAGAGACTTGGGACCAGTTCTGAAACGGAAAGACGTGAGCTAATGATGGTGTGTCGGGGATCTCCGGTAGGCTTTGACTCAATGGCTCGGGAGTGGTGCCATTCAAATGAATAGAATTATCCTGGGTTGTGCCAGATTCTGCATTTTTCGAAAGACTTGAAACCTCATCTTCATCGCCAGAACCGTCAGCAGGGCTGTCTTGAGAGCTATCCGGGTCCAATATCGCCTTTATCTCCGAAACTCTTCCCTTTTTGGTCGCTGTCCAAAGCCGTTTGTTTCGAGAGCTCGCCCGTCTTAGAGCACTGGAGTCTCTCAAAAGATATGTTAATACCGCTTCGAATGTGCTTAGAGCGTATCCAAGCTCTCCACTTTCAACATCATCAGTATATATATACTGTTGCATGTACAAAAGTCTAGCCTGGAGGTGCCGAACTTGTGACCGGATAATAACCACAAGTAACAACGAAACCAAAACATCTGCGTTTATTGCAAGCACAGCGGGGTGTTTCTCGGAGTGACCATGTGAATTCTCGCCACTTTGGACAATAGGATTTTCCATTATAGTCACAAGTTTAATAGTTGCCAGCAAAATCTCAAGCATATCTTGCGGGCATTTTACGTCGGCTATCTTTCGAAATTCATCCACACCTCTTCCAAGGCGGAGAATAAGTTCCTGTTTCCCTTGGCGACCGCCTTCAATCACAATTCCAACTTGCGAAATATCAATATTCTCCATTTGATGGATACGAGCGTCTAACTCTGCATCTTCCGCTTGGCGGTAGCCGCAAAGGCGCGGAAATAGGAGTGAATCATGGACTTGCTGTGCCACATATTTTTCGATAAGACGCTCAACCAGCGGGCCGGTAAGATCTGTTGTCGCTCCCAGCAAGGAAAGTTGTTGCTTATCCACAAGTCGAAATAGATCAATTGCTGACGTTACTGCAGTTTCCAAAGCCCGTCTCATAAGGTCTTCATCGTCCTCGAAATATTCTGAAGAGTTGAAAGGAAGGCTCTCTTGGTTCATATGCGATTTGCCAGTAGGTGATCTGCTTCGCCAAGCTTCATTTCCCTCAGTCTCGCCACCGCATGCTTCATTATTTGACATGGCTGGAGATACAGAGGGTGGAGGTGGTAATGGTTTCCCGAGCTCTTTGCCAAATTCCCGAAACACTCTATCTAAACCAGGCTGCATTTGTCTTGCGATCATTGGAAAATTGGCGAGCAATTCCGCGAATGATTTTATATCCTTCTTTGAGAAATGCGACACTTGGTTCACATTATGACTTTCCGATTTAGGAGACTCCCAAGGCTTGGTGATAAGCCCAGGGACGACCGCTGGGGTAATTCTGACAGCCTGAAAAGAGCCAATAAGCGGGTTCGATATATAGTAGATCAGCCATGGCTGTGATTCGTTATTCGAGGTATAATAAAGGACATCTGAAAGCAACTGGGCCTGGTTTAGGGTCTTAAATCCTGAAATATCCTCGTTAGCTTAGAATAGAAAAGATAGAAACAATGAGTCCATCCTAACCTTTATTGCTAAACACTGTGGTTTCCTTGATAACTACAGTCCGGCCATTCACTGTTGTGATCTGTCTTGCCTTCCCCCTACTGTCCCGAACGCTTGAGCCATCCTTACTTGCGGGCGATCCAATAGGGGAAGTAATCCGCAAGACATGGCTGCCCAGGAACTCCTCGGACGTGACGATATCGCCGTACGCGAGGTTCGAATCTCGGTCTCGGCCATTTACAAGCGACTCAGTGATGGGTACAAGAAGGACCTAATCTCAAATCAGTTAGGGATAGAAGCGCTGACTGAGACTGCGACTTGGGTGGGCGAGGGTTTCCAAGCCTTGGTACATGTGCATGTACATACATGGTTCTGGATGGGCACGCATTGTGCCGGGATAGTGCTGCGGAAGAAGGCACGGAGAAAAGGGTTTAATGGGTGCATCCACACAGCATTGGATGGCCCGGCGGACGAGCCCCGCCACGCATCAAATTATACAGAAACAGCGACGGCAATGGATCGCGCGCTTGGTTTGTTGGAGCTTCAGGAGAATACGCGCGCATTCAAGGTAAGCAACAACCTAACACACAATTTGTAATGTGCCGGACAAGTCGGAGATTATACCAAGCAAATTATATGATTCAACACCTTAGCGATCAAAATAATACAACAGCTGAGCTTGTTGGAGATTTAGTCTTTATTGTAGATGCCTTGGATGCTGGGAAGCACTAAAATCATGTGATCTGAAGGCTTGCTGGGCTGCACTAGACCCAAACGGGAATTATGGGACACAAAATGGAAACGCGACAAGAGACAGGCGACTGTAGCTAATCGCTTGATATTACACCCGAAAAGAGGTTAGATGAGGGCAGAGAGGGGGTGGGAATTCGTAGCAAATGATGTTTTATTATTTACAGCAGCTGGACAATTGTGTCCCTTAGTAAATCTGTGACAAAAAGATGTTCGTAAAATTTACAGGTGAAGATACATGGCACGGGAGAGCGGAGCATCTATAAATACATTAATCTCAAGTAGTGATAAATCCGTCGTTACCAATGTTAAATACACGCAGTGCCATTCAAAATGAATCATTCGGAAGCCCCGAATGGTTGAAATCCCTCCCTGAATCGACGACGACCGAAACAAGGTTTTAATTTACGTTCCGTTTCTCGATTCCCGTCGCCATAATTCCAGATAGAATAAATCAACATGCGTAAAGGGTTATCGAGGTCCGTTCAGTAGGAGGAAAGTATATAGATTCGAAGAAAAATAAAAGGTTGAAATCGACCTCAGCCCAACCTGCGTACCCTTTTGCTCCGGCATCCACCAAATTTTACTCGAGTAGCGTCTGTGACCCTGCACACCATATTGCGAATGTTCTTTCCTTCCGAGCCCAGCAGAACCTTTGTAAACGCCTCTCTGCCCGGGCCAAAACCTCGGAGTACAACCTCTAGTCGCTTCATCGTCAACAGATGTCCCTCTTCCTGGATTTTGCCCATCATGAAGGATGCAAGCTGATGCGCTGCGTCAAATTTCGAACGCTGTGCTTTGCGGAAACCGATATTTCCACAGCTCATGGAGAGCAAGGGTTCTCGGTTTGGTCGCGTTAGGGTGATGTGGGTATTGTGTTTGTGTGAGTAGACATGAAGGTGGTGTGGCGGGTCTTGCATGGCATAGCCGGACTGGACAACCTGATTAAGACGGAAGGCCATGGATGCAGAATCATTATTTGTGTTTCTCGAGGCCCTGGTAGACGCTGAGAGTTTTGACAATGCAGATGTCCCGTCTGTAGACATATCTCTAGCTTGTTGTGTGAGTGAGCAGGCCGCCGTTCGGAAGGCTTGGGATCGACGTAGGCATGACTGAGCCGGCTGCCCAATGGACCGCACCGCAGCGGAGAAACTCCCTACAATTCCCCCCTTCATTTCTTATTTGTATGGAAGGCAACGGTGGATGGATGTTAGACTGCCCTAAAAATACATATTAGCGATACTGAAGGAAGGGAGCTTGGCGGTTTGCGCTGTACACTACCTTGCTTGCGTTGAAGGGTCCGTGGAAGAAGCAGAGGAAGCCAGGAGAACAGCTCGATGCGTTCAAAAGACCGCCAGCGTATTGCTAGCTACATGCGCATGCAGGAACCAAGAGATCCGTTGCAATTGGGAATGCTGCACTCGTCGCCAGCGCTCGGGCTCAGTTGTCGGACTTTAGTGCCGAATCGTGGCCGAAGCAGCCAGAAGTTTTTTAGTCTTGGCGGCGGACAAACTCTAAATCGATATCGCCGTCAAAACATTTTCCTCCGTTCTCGCGCTGCCAAAGATCCCAAGGTCTACAAACCCATCGCCACGAGGCAGTAACCAGTCAGGCCGGGTTTCTGAGGTTGACTTGTCTTGGTATCTACTGTGCTGCTACGATTTTAAATCAGCTTTAACCGTCTATCCCGCCAATTTCACCCCTAGACCCTGAGCCTGCAGTATCCTTCCACAGCGCCCGGACAATGCTCATCCCAACTATATATACGCAGCCTGGCGTGGTGCGGACGGCTCTGTTACGGAACCACACTGCCACACTGTCAGCTGCATTCGCAGTGCGAGCGGTCTCCCGGCGATCATTGACACATCGAACTTCCTTGTTCCCTACCACCTCATCTCAAACCCTCGTCCCTTCATCAAGACACCCAATTTCGAATACTTCACCGTTATATCCTGCCCCCCCTGCGCAACTAAATTCGATATGGGCTATTCTCCCAGCCAGACGATCCTTTCAAACGGGATGCAGGCTATGGCAACAAAAGCAAAAGGAGCCGGAACAACCAAGTGCGGAGAGTCAGAAAGCAGATAAATCTTCGCAAAACGCAAAAAACGAGGGAGAGGAGCAGAAGGAAAATTCCCAGGAGGAAGGAAAGAAGAAAAAAGAAGAGCCACCCCCTCCTCCACCTCCCCATGGTGATAAAACTCCATGGCAAGTGTTCACTGAAACCCTACGATCCGAGTTCAAGGCCTCGAAGGAATGGAATGAATCAACGAAAGCCTTAGCTTCATCTGCTCATCAGTTTACCGAAAGTGAATCTGTTAAGCGCGCTAGAGCTGCGTATGAGGCTGCTTCTGGTGCCGCTACTTCCAAAACTTCTTCAGCTATTAAGACCACCGGTAAGGTTATTGGTCAGGGAGCCGCATGGACATGGGATACCCCGGTTGTCAAGGGGCTCAGATCAGGAGTATCTGCCACCGGAAAGGGTATCGAAAAAGCTACAAGGCCCGTTCGTGAAACTGCCGCGTATAAAACGGCGGTTGGGGGGGTGAAGGAAGCTATAGATGATGGTAGTAGCTCTAGATACGGAGGCTGGATGGAGAAGGAGGAGCGACGAAAGCAAAGAGAGCTTCGGGAACTTGCCGAGGCTAAAGCTGGCCGTCGTCCCTTAGAGAAAATGGAGGAAGATCCGAAGTAAGCCTATACTTCCTTGATTGCTCGTAGTCTCTTGAATGGATTAACTGACAGTCCTAGTGCCGGCACCAACGTCACCCTTCACAAAGACGCTGCTTGGAAAGAGTCGTGGAAAGAATTCCGAGACTCTAGTCGTCTCATGCAATCCTATTTCAACCTTAAACATACATATAATGAATCCGAAAATCCGTTAGTCACAACAGCCCGGGGCATTTCAGATACGGTTGCTGGTTGGTTTGCAGAAATGAAACGGCTAAGGTCATCAAAAAGTTCCGAGAAATGGATCCCAGCTTCCAAATCGAACCTTTCTTGCGGGAATTACGGGAATATATGTTACCCGAGGTGCTTGACGCGTACGTTAAAGGGGACGTTGAGACTCTTAAGCTTTGGCTTTCAGAAGCCCAGTATAACGTTTATGCTGCTCTCGCCCAACAATACACTACCGCTGGACTGAAATCAGACGGCCGAATCCTCGATATCCGACATGTCGATATCTCCCATGCCCGCATGCTTGAACCAGGCGACATCCCAGTTTTCATTATCACCTGCAGAACACAGGAGGTTCATGTCTATCGCAATGTTAAAACCAAGGAACTGGCTGCTGGTATGGAAGACAAGGTCCAACTAGTCACTTATGCCATTGGTATGACCAGAATTCCAGAAGACGTGAACAACCCTGAAACTCGAGGATGGAGAATGATCGAACTGCAAAAGGCGGGGCGCGATTATATCTAAGGCATATCTTTTCCTTAATGCGAAGTTCCTTTCAGTCTCGACAAATCTACCAGCAGTAGCCTTGCTATATTCTCCCGAAATAACTCTCGATTCATCCGCCTTCCTCGAATAACCCCTTATGTACTACGATCTACGATCGACCGGATTTCGACACATGGTTTTTCTTTTTTCCCCTATTGCTTTTTTTGTGCCGACTACTTCCCGGCTGTATACTATTATATGGATTGGAGTCTTATAGAAATGTAGAAATGTGTGGTGGGATAAATCTAATTGCAGTTTTATTAAGTGTATTGTCATCTTCCATTTGTTTTCTGCTTTCTTTAACTTGTACTTTTTTTTATTTTTTTTATTTTTTATTTTTTATTTTCTTACGTATTCTCAGCAGAACTATTCTCATATCCTCCCTCTCCTCTTATATTGTATATATGGCAACTTTGGATCGCGTCCGTTTCTTGTTTAGCGTTTTCTCTATACAGGGCATCATAGGTCGAAACGTGAGAGCTTGTTTAAAATATTATCAAAAGAATTCCTTATCAGAATCGTCTCTTTTTCATTGGTTTTTTTACATCCTTAAAATTGATCATAGATGTTCTCTTTTCCATGAAATTCTACCTCACAGCGTGTTTGGGTCTTTGGCGTAGCTATTTCTGCCGCTGAAGCAAGGAAGAGGGAGTTTACCGGATAGACATAGCGGCCCGGAACGATAAGCAGAGAATAAAATATAGGGATATCGATCTGTTTATTATTAAAATGTAACAGCACTACATCCATTGCTATATGAAGCCAATAAAAACACCATTTTCACGATTCAAACGAAATGCTACCATATTAAACATGCTCCAAATTTAGGTGGCGGAATCAAGCTCCTCTCCCTGCACCACGTCCAGCACCTCCGCCCATCAAATTTCTTGCCCTACACGAGTCAATTAGTGCCATTAAAATCAACGTTTATAAATAGTCAAATCACCACTTACATTTCAGCAATATTGGGATCATTCATCATGCTGGCCATATCTGGAAGTCCTCCCCCCTGACCACCAGGACCAGCACCACCTCCGCCCGCACCAAAGCTTTCCGCCATTTGTCGAATGCGCGGGTTATTCATGAGGTTACTCATCATGTCAGGGTTGCTCATAAGATTCTGCGCCATGCTGGCAAACATGGGATTGCTCATTATCGAGCTAAAATCAGGCATACCGCCTGCCCCTCCTCCCGCACCACCGCCTCCAAACATTCCCGCAAGAGCTGAAAGGTCCGGCATTCCACCAGCACCTCCTGCTCCACGCGAGGAACCAGAGGCATCATCAACGTCTTCAGCGGGGGGTTCATTCTCCTCCTTCTTCATTTCCTCAATACGCTTCTTTGCAGTCTCCAGCCCCTTGCGCATAGCCTCGCTGCCGCCATTTCCTTCGGCATCAATGCCCTTCTGATACGCTTCCGCAGCGCCCTTGGCATTGCCAAGCGCAAATCTAGCCAGGCCAAGTCTGCTCCACCCCTTAACATATTTTGGGTCTGCGGCCACGGCAATTTCAGCGTCCTCCGCAGCCTTGGTATGGTTTCCGGAAGCAGAGTAGGCGGCCGCGCGATTGGAGAGATAGATCGGGTTCGAGGGTGCAATGTTAAGAGCCTGTGTATAAAGGGAAATTGCAGTAGGATAGTCCTTGCGCGACATGGCTGCGTTGCCCTGTGATTTTAACTTCTCCGATTCCTCGTTTGGTGTCCCTTTTTGAGGGGTTGCTGCTGGCTTTGTCTCGCTTGCAGCGCTTGGTGTTGTTGCGGAACCTTTGCCTTTCAGTTTCTCATATACGCTGTAGATCGTTGCAAGACTTTGGCCTCCAAGCGCATCCTGCATGGCAGACTTGTCTGAAGGGTCGACCTTGAACGTATCTGCGATACATGACTGCGCGATTTCTATAGATTCTGCGTCGTCCGCGGTAAGGGTTCCATCTTTAAGACTACCACTGAGAAAATCTATTATTGCAAGAGCCAAGCGCTTCTTGGATTCTGTTGGGGCCTGAAGAAAGAGATATCAGTTTCATGCTGCGGGGTGATTTAAGGAAAAATGAAACACAAAAGGAATGGTTGCTATTACCATTTTCAAAGAGGGCTAAGTGAACCCTCGTTACAGTATATAATTTCGACAGTACAGGCCGTCGGATAAGCTGACACTCTTCACAGTGCTTCGTCTTGTTGGAAAATAGTAGTAAGCTGTTTGATTCTACTGGATTCCCCTCTGGGCAATTCGCCGTTCGGAAGTTCTAGAAGCTCGGCTTGCCACGTGATTCGCGAAGATCTAACTACCGTAGCGTAGCCTCCCCGCCAAGCGTTCCAACTCCAGACTAGCTCCTAGGTAAAGGCTAACTAACAACAGCTGCGGGTTGACATATCTGGTATCACCTGAACATTACTCTGGGAAGATCAACGGGGCCATGGATGGCTGTTGCTTGTCAGACCTGGCTTGCTAGAGGTTGCTTTAAAAAATCTGCCGTTGGTCCAAAGATGGTCCAATGCGATACGTCATCTTCCTTCGTTTCTAGCCAGCGCGTTATTCCCAGCGATGTACTGGCCAAATGGAGTCCCTCGAGTCTATGCGGTTAATGGCCCTGGTATTCAACTACCGGAAGTCGACGATAATGCGCAAAGCGATGCTGGCAGCTCCCGGGAGGGCGGAGACCAGGGCTCCCGTGCGGAACGCAGCAGGACCGCCGCCGAGAGCGGCCTCGGGAGCGGAGCATGCTGGGTAGACGAACCCATAACTGGCCTTTGCGTTTCCCGTAGCGGGCACTTGTTCGCCACGATGACAAAGTCCTCCATTGCAATTTGGCAAACTAGAGTACGCTATGTATTCATCTTGATTTTTAAATTTGATGTTCTAATACATTTATAGCCGACAGCTGTGGTGGCCGCAGTCAAGCGTTCCGACATCTCATTGGAAAAATACGGCCCAAATGCGGCGCTACTTCTACGTCCCGACTCCGCCATTGTTGTTGTACAGACTCTCCATGGATATTTAATCACCTACTCCATCGCAACAGATGCCAATTCACACGTTTACCAACAGCGTTTCCCTTTCCATTCCAACCCACGCCGCCAGCACTCTGGTCGTCATTTCGTCACGGAGGAAACAACTGCCATTCTGGAAGTTAGTTTTCGTTTCAGGGTTGCCATAAAGGTGGATGCAGGAATTAGCAAGGCACTGGCACTGGACAATGAGCTGATGGTGGCGACGGTGAAGCCAGCCGCTATCCAGTTAATTCGATGGACTCCCGATGATACTGGACATCAAACGAGCACGGAGCTCTTAAGCAGGATCCCGTTTATTTCTAAGAAGTCTACAATTGTAGATATGGTCTACGACCGTGCTATGAACATTTTTCTGTGGATTACGAGCGATGGCCAAACTTATGCGGTACAGCGCCTCAGGGATGACGCGGAACATTCGTCTGAATCGAAGTCCCAGTTCAGGGGCCATAGATTCCATACCCCTGAAAATGACGGACAAAAAGCACTTCACGTGGCTGTGAATGCGAGGTTTTCCCTACTCGCCGTAGCCTGTGCAAACCGTGAGGTGTACGTCTACGTAGCGAAAGACTACATGGGAAACATACCCCTTTCACATAAACTTGAGCTCCCTGCGTCACCAGCTTCTATGGGTCCTGGATCATTTATGAGCTATTCTCCTGATGGCTATTGCCTTTTCGCGGGCTATAAGTACGGCTGGACTACATGGAGTGTATTTGGTAAACCTGGAGGAACTAGCTTTGCCACTGACCGTGATCTAGCTACCAAGAATGGCGAGGCTTGGCTGACTGGAGTCTCTATGGGTTCTTGGATTGGTGGTGGTTCATACATTATCCTAACAGCACCGGAGGATAGCCATATCTGGGTGCTAGAAACAGCTCGCAGCGCTCTAACTGGATGCTTCTCCTCAGCGAACATGGCGAGAGCGCTACTGCAAACGGGAACAGAAATCATTTTGTATCGCGGGCACGACTTACCAGACCTCACTACTATATCGGGTAAAGATTACCTTTGGCATCACGCCCAGTATCCCCCTGCTTACCTCCATGCGCAATGGCCAATCCGGTCTTGTATTGTTTCTCAGGATGGCCGATATGTGGCAATTGCCGGCAGAAGAGGACTTGCTCATTATAGTGTCCAAAGTGGGAGATGGAAAACGTTCGATGACCCGAAGGCTGAAAACTCCTTTGCTGTTCAGGGCGGGTTGTGTTGGTATGGACATATCTTAATTGCTGCTGTTGAATGTGATAATTCCTACGAGGTATATGTTCTAATTCTCTCTAAATTAATTCCGGACCTTAAAACTAATTGGCATAGTTGCGGCTATACTCTCGTGAGCTTTCCCTTAGCAGTTCTTCTGTGCTATATACCGAGACTCTTCCTGCGCCTGCCGTATTCATCGGACCTTCCGGGGAAGACTCGCTCTTGGTCTACACATATGACAATATATTATATCACTATGTGATAAATGCTACGCAAACGAGAATCAGCCTTGTTCAAGTTGGTCAGATAGCCTTTCATGGCATCGTTAGAGCTCCTACACGAGTTCGGGCCATCAGTTGGGTATTGCCTGACAGCCAGCTCCGTAAGCAACTTTCCATTCTCGTCTTCAACTTGGTCTAAGAAAACTAACACGGTTCAAAGGAGATGGTGACCCTTCCCAGGATGTTTCTGTCGCATCAGTTCTATTCCTCGTTGATGGAAAGCTTGTATTGCTACAACCATCAGTTTCGGAAGCGGGCGATTTGAAATATGACATGCGCATTGTTGCCCACGATGTGGAGTACTACATTTTAATGCGTGATCAGCTGTCCTTCAACTTTGCTCCGCCCTCCGACGAACCAACCACTCCGGCAGTGGGAACCGCAGTTAGCGCGTCTCAGACTAACATATCTTTAAGAGATTCTTTGTGGATCTTTTGTGGCAAAGATTTACTTGTGTGGAGTGATGTACTGGATGTTCTCCGTCCAGTCAGGGGCTCTCAAAATGAAACAGTGAAGCCCTTGCCTATACCAGTTGACTTTTACCCATTATCTATACTTCTTAATAAAGGCGTTGTGCTTGGTGCTGAGCCTGAAATGATTCAGAGACGAGATGTTACGTTTTCCCTCCTTCGATTTGCCATTAGAGTAAGTCATACTCCCCATCAGATAGAATCGCTAGTTCCCTGACTCTAACATGTTATCAGACACAACTATTCCTACCGTACCTCCTCCAACACAACTTAAGCCAGCTCGACACGCCATCAGCTCTCTCCCTCTGCCATCATTACTCACATTTATCCTATTTCCCCCACGCACTAGAAATACTACTGCACCATGTGCTGGATGATGAAGTAGACAATCAAGAACGCCAAGCCCAGCAGGATGGAACAGCAAGTCACCAGCTGCTACCTACCGTGCTTTCCTTCTTGCAGTCCGCTATCCCAACCGATGTTTATCTGGAGATTCTTGTTCAGTGTACCCGAAAAACAGAACTTCGATCATGGCGTACCCTGTTCGCTCACCTTCCTCCTCCAAAGGAACTATTCGAACAAGCTCTCAGATTAAACTCCCTGAAGACAGCTGGAGGCTATTTATTGGTACTTCAGGCATTTGACGAGAAAGAGGACGGAGGTGCCGACAAGGGAATTGAAGATTCCGTCGTCCGTCTTCTCAGACTAGCTTCACAGAAGGGCGACTGGGAGCTATGCGGGGAGCTAGCCCGTTTCGTGATCGCCCTAGATGATTCCGGGGAGATGCTCCAGCGTGCCGTCGTTAAGGTTGGATTGAGAAGGGGAGACCAGCCGTCGCCAAACCCTTTAGGCGTAAATCGGACCGGCAACGGAACCGTGTCCTCCAGTGGAACCTTGGGGCTGGCCCTCACTCTACCTGAACAAGACCCTGCATCACTCTCGCCTAATAGTATTGGTAGTCGGCGACACAGTAGAAGAAACGGCGTGCTTACTCCGTCTATCCCTCCTAGCACGTCAGCAACTCTATCACCGTCCATCTCACAACAATCCAAAACCGATCCTGCTGATGAGGACAGAGACCATTCTACAGACAACCTTGCTTCCTAATCGCCATCCCTACCAGCAGCTCTGCCTCATATGTTGGGGTAAACCTTACCGTGATTATTTACCCCTTAGCGCATTGCGTTTTCTTTTACTTATATCCTCCTCTTTACTATTGTTGCTGCTCATTTATTGATATATATATATATACGTATTTACGTCTCAGCGTTTTGGCCTCGTGTATTCCTACCTTGGTTTCGTTTAACTTTCATTCATCCCATTGTAGCATGGACAGGAGGTTTTTCACAAGTGCGTAGGTTAGTTAATTTGAGACTTTATTTGGTCTTGTTTTAGCCTCTAGAATAGAATTTTCTTCGTATCTGGCCTCTATAAGTACTTATAGCCGCCTCTGTACTTAGATATGTACGAAAACAGGGTTTTGAGGTCGTCAATATCGGGCGGATCATTAAGCTTCGTTCTGTTATCCCTCATTCTTCCCACCATTATGTGTTAAAGGGGAAGAAATTGTATATCCAGATAGGTTGAGATGAGAATATCACTCAATCCAAGATATTTGGGTCCATTCCTATCCAGAATGTAAACATCTGGATGATAGGTAGTTATCGATATCCACTCAAATGAATCACGATCAACCACAGCCAACCCAAAGCGCCTCAAGCCATAACAAATTAAACCAAGCAGAGAACCAGGGAAAAAAAATTCCACGGGAAGGCAAAAAAAAAAAAAAGACAGAAGTAAAACCCCTCTCTTCCCTCACCCCACCCAGCACCTCACCCCACAAGTTCAATCTTCCAGAGCCCATCCCCCAAATAATGCCCTTCATCCATCACAACCCCTTTCCCTTTCTTCTTCATCTCCTCCGTGCCCACCTTCAACGGCCCAACCATGCAAATCTCCTCCTTCCCTTCCGCCTTAATCGCCACCACTTCCCCAGCCTCAATCTCTCTTTCGCCGGGATTGTTCGCGGGGTCCGGCAGGCTGCCGCCGGCTGAAGTGAGGCCGGGGGCCATGAGTGCAGCGCCCGAGAGGACGAAGCGGATGGCGCCCCGGTCTATGCCGATGGTATGGACGGCATCGGGGAATTGGTGTAGGACTCGCAGGTGGGGGATCGGAGGGTTGTCGAATGATTGATAGAGGATGGGGCGCGAGTCGATTGTGTAGAGGGTTACGCGGTCTGGGACGTGTCTGCGGAATTGAACTGTGATTAGTCAATGTGGTGCGTGGTGAGGGTAAAGGTGTGATGTGGCCGAGATAGGAGTGTGTAGTTGTGGGCTGGATCTCGCAACTCACAGCTTGACAGCCTCCAGCGAAGCCTTTTTGGGTATTAGCTCATCGATATAGGGCTCAAAGCCGGGATATGTCTCGACGAGCTTTTGTTTGATAGCGCGCTGGACGGAGGATTTGACTTTGGACCTTGCGCCTAAGGAGACACTGGAAGAAAGCTGTAAGTAGGTTTTTTTTTTTGATGGGAAACAGAAACTAGAGACAAAGGATATATATCAAAACGCTATCAAAACACGAGCATTCTCCGATAGAGCGGAGCAATATCTTGTCCATCTGCTTTGAAGCTCTCTCTCCCCTTGGTGTAGAGCGGGGCAGTTTTGAATCCGATGCAAAACGGAGAACGCGGAGACAGGGTGGGCAATCCTTACTCTTTTTTAAACATTGTAAATAGAAGCACAGCGGACAGACTGACAAAAGGAAATTGTCAGATTCTAGTGTCCGGGTCTATGGTCTAAATGCTTCTATCGACTAAGTTGACGTCTGGGACCAACTTCCGCCCGCTTACTTTTTGTTGCGCAAGTGGCACAAAGCGCCCGACGCGGGGGCTATACGTAAAAATTGTGGTTGGCGCCTCGCAGAGTCACAGCATGAATGCGGTCACACAATCTACGTATCTAGATGGAAAAAGGGCCATATGGAGGAGTTGTGGTTCCTGCTCACATTATAATTATTTGTATTTATTGAGCCAGCCTGCTAAATAGCCAAAAGGCAAAGATCCCATATGCTTTACTGGGAGTTCACCTATGCCTTTGCGGCACCAGCCTTAATCAGGACAATATCTCCATCTTCCACAACATAATCTTTGCCCTTCGTAAGAACCTTCCCAGCAGCTTTGACAGCTGCTTCGTCCCCATACTCTCGTAGCACATCATAGTTGAACACAACACATTGAATGAAAGTTTTCTCAAAATCTGCAATACAAAAAATATGTCAGATTTTACTCAAGTGGGGCAGCGGGATCACAAAACAGTGGAGGTTTAAAAGGGATATGGACTCACCAGTGTGAATGACACCAGCAGCTTGGGGAGCTTTGGTGCCCTTTCGGATAGTCCATTGTCTCACTTCATCAGCGCCAGTGGTGAAAAAGCTGCCAAGTTGAAGACATTGTCGCATAGTTAAAATGATCTTGGGGAGCGCCGACTTGGTTCCAAGATTTTTGCATTCCTCCTCGGCAGCTGCATCATTTTCGAAGCGGGTAAGTCTGTCTTCGAAAGATACAGAGACTGGGATTATAGGATCCCCGGGGGAGTTGGTTTTGATCCATTCTGCAACCTTCGGCAGGTACTTGTTCTTTTGCCTGATATAGTCCCTTTCGCTGAGGTTGACCAAATACACAACTGGCTTAGCAGTCAGGAGAAATAGAGGGTTAATTACTTCAACCTATGTTTTGTCCAGTCGTAGTTAGTCAATGGGCCCTCCACCAAAGCAACATCAGAAATGGGTAGAGTATATTAAAAGTGAAATTGTTATCAGGGTTGGATTCAAATCTCAATATGGCCTCAAACGTGAGATATAAAAACGAGGCCATTCGAAGAGCTGGGATTATATCGAGCGTTGTGCTCTTGTTCATCATGGTAATTGCACGAGAAGGAAATAACGTAACGGAAAAAAAAAAAAAAAAAAAAAAAATGCAAGGCTGCAAGTTAGAACATACCTCTTTAGGAGTCCAATCCCCTTTTCGAATATCCTTGCCCTCCTTCAGCCACTCCAGAATCCTGCCAACAGTGGCCTCCTCCTCTTTCAATTTTTTCATCTCTAAGCTCTGGCCTCCTCTCCTAGTTTGCTTTGCAAGGGCTTCGAGAGCCTTTTCGACGAATTCAATATCTTTGATCCGTAGCTCCTCGCTGATGATGTTCAGGTCCCGAACGGGATCGACATCACCCTCGACATGAATAATTTCTGCGTCGTCAAAACATCGAACGACCTGGAAGATAGCATCCACAGCACGAATATGTGACAGGAAAGCATTTCCGAGACCAGCACCGGTTGAGGCGCCTCGAGTTAGACCAGCTATATCATATACCGTTAAGTTTGCAGGTACCCTGGACTTTGGTTTATAATGTTCACATAGCCAATCGTACCGTGCATCCGGAACAATGACACGGGCCTCTTCAGGGTCAATGGTTGCAAAGGGGAAGTTCGCAGGATTACCCAACGAACATCTTGTAATAGCTTGGAAAAGTGTGGATTTGCCAACATTCGCTAGACCAACCTGAAATAGCCAGAGGTCAGTAAACCAAAGTCTGGTAAGATGCATTGCATTGTGAACTGGGGTAAAATGGAGGGGAAGATTATAGAGGAATCACATGAGGAATAACAGAAGGCAAGCAAGCGGAGGGGAGTGGTACAAAGGCAGGAATCAAAAGAAGAAAAAGCAGTACAGCAAAATTGACATTATTAGTAGCTGGTCCCCACATACGATACCACTCTTCAAGTTATTCCCTGGGCGACCCAAGGGAACTTTCTCTTCTTTAACCGGTTTCTTGGGAGCCATTTTCTTCTTTCTACTTGCGAAAGTGCGGTAGAGAATCAAGCAGGGTGAATGTGGAGTGGAGTGGTTTGCGTGTAATTGAGAGGGGGTGAGGTGTTGGGATAAGGCAGAGCCAGCTGCTAGTCGTTCAAACTGGGGTTTGAGAGAAGTCAAGAGTGATCGAGAAACCACGAGGAACGGAATGGTGACGAATTGCGGCCTTCACAAGGCACAAAAGAAGGGACAAAGGAAAGGTGAGGAGGGGGGATAGAGGGGTATTAGGGGATTTAGTCGTCAGGGATTGAGCACTAAACGAGGCAGCAGGCATTCAAACAGTTAAACCTGAGTGGCCCAAGTTAGAATAATACTCTGCTCCTGAGGAGTTTTATTCGTTGCTTGGATTTTTCCTGTTGGTGGAGGTTTGAAGGTTGAGGTTGGACGGGACGGGAAGAATTTTGCTTCTTAGCTGCAGCCGCTAGCCTAATCACGTGGTACATCTTGCCCTAACCCCAGCGAACGACGAATCAACACGGCATCATCTGCATCGTTTATCTCGAAACCAACAAGAGTTCAGATTCAACTACATGAATGAAGTTATTCTTTGCCGTCTGCCTCAGGTACTTTGGCTCTGCTGTCATGGGAATTAGTAGATATCTTACGTGGCACTCTTGCGTTAACTAGGCTATAGAGAGAACTCCTCCGACATCCACAAGTCCTAGGATATCTACATCCACGGCAGACCGCGCCTGATAAATGTGCAGCAATATGTATGTTAACCTGATGCTGTTCATATTCACCTGGTTGTTATTGATGATGACACCTAACGAGGTGACATCATCCTCTCGTGGTATGTTCAGCTATGCACCAGATAGGTTGAAAACCTGACCTGACAATTGGAAACACTGAAACGCACATCTCAGCCCGAATTATCATTTATATCACTTCTGCTTCGCTGTTCGCCGAGATATTCTGCTTTCATGCACGCGGACGAAAATCAGATGGTAAGGCGATCTGTCAAACAAGAAAAGCAGCGCCTTGGGCAAATGCTACCCACCTCACTTTTTCAGTTCGAAATTGAATCATAACTATTAAACAACTCCGCAAAAATACGGAACAAAACCGGGGTGCAATTGCACATTGAGGCATCATCCCTAATCACGCACTGAATACTAGAAACCTTTGGCATATATAATATATGTAACAAATATCAACCGTATGCTGTTTTTTAAGCTGCATTCATAGGAAGGCCTAGAGGTCTCACTATATATACACCTGAACCGCGGGTGGGTTTAATACCTAGAACGGCTTCTAGTTATACTCGGCCCTCCTTTGGGATCGGCTAAATTCTCATTCCTTTCTCCATTGTTGAGTTTGAATCTGTCCATTTGGTATAGGCTCAAATATGAGGGGGATAAGTGATTTGCACCTCATCAACAGATGCAGGGGGAAAATAGATTCAGTTGGACTCATTCCAAAGAAAGAGGAATGGAGGAGGACGGAAAGGATACGATCTACACGATAAGTATATCTTGCCTGATACAATATCCATGAAATGTTAGCTTTTAAATTAAAACAAGCATAATAATAATAACAATAACAGGGATAGTAATAATAAGACGAGATACCTTCGAAATTCCACTTTCTTCAACTGTCCATTGCTGCTCCTGCTGCTGCTACTCATCGATCAACTAGCACACAACCAACAGGCCCACCCACACTCTCAACGGAAATAAATATCCGACCTCCTCGCCTGTATGACTTTCAGCGGAGGTAGGCTCTAGAAATGGCCATCTCCACACCCGATCCCCTCACAACAACTTGTTCGATCAGCTCTTGTTCCCTTCACCCAGTCTGCTCGTCTTCCCCAACCTTGATCCTGACCAAAACCACCCTCCCTTCCAAAATGCCAGGACCACAGCAAAGACCACCAGCAACGAAACTAACCCTCTCGAACCCCGAATACGTAGAAACCGGAACACCCTTATCCCTCGCCGACGAGTAGCCGTCGAGAAAGAAGTGTCCGTAGTATGATCACACGCCGTTGACCCTTCATATATCTCGGCGTGAGAATGCGTGCGTGGATGACCATGATGCTCCCTAAGTTGGGCAGAGCGCGCATCATAGTCGTCGTCGTCCATATCAAATGTCGACCCGTCCCCACGGGTTGGCAGTGGAGTGGACAGAGTCACTTTCGTGAAGCCAATTCTGTGCAGTTGTTGGACGGTCCAGCGCTGGAGCTGGTGCTTGATGGAGAGGGCCATTTTGCTGGGGTTGTCTTAGCTCGATGAGGTAGACGAGAATCTAGATGGAAACTGGGAATGAATTCATGGGAAGACAAGATGTAGAGGAACGGCCACTTCCGTCCTTGTAAATGGAGTCTTCCCAGTTCGTTAATCCGCGTGTCTTCGGCAGGAACGGAGCTGGTTAGACGAGATGTATCCTTGTACTTGATGGATGGACTCTGGGATTAACGTCGCTAGCCAGGCGATGTTTTGGGTTGGGCAAATACTAAACTAGCTGAAGGAAGGGTGGCGGGAGCGATATCAAGGATTGGTGTAGAGTATCCAGCTCAGGTCTGGTAAGTTTTTCAAAGAGATAAATATATATAGATGAAAATCGCCTTTGAATGCCGTATTTTATTGATCGATGTAGAAAATTTTGTAGGTGTAAGCCACCTAGAAAAAGCTCAGGTGTCTAGCAGGTCCGCTATACCCATAGGCTGAATCCGCCAGCTTTTAAATACCCGCAGCGGCAAATTCCTGTCGGTCCAATACAAAAAGTCCTGAGCGAATTAGACCCCTAGTAAGCACGTTTCTTCAAAACCAGGTCACTTGAAGTGGTAACGATAGACAAGGTAGCCTCGCTAGTTAGTCAGGCGATTGGAGGAAGGATATCAAATAGAGAAACAGCGTCAGCTCTGAAAGGGACTAATATATATGTGTTTGTGTATGTGCACACATAAATGTGCCTGCATTTCTCATCCTTCTTCTGAATGGGCAAAAACACGGATGTCGATTGATGAAGAGGGACAGTGCCAGACCACGTCATCTTAATTCCCCACACTGCCGGGAATAGTAAGGAAAGCGACGGAAAGAAAAGAAGGGAAGGAGGACGTAGTTATAGGAAAACAGCTTTCACAGTCAACGGAATCAATCATACGGCAAGTCCCAAGCAACAGTAGATATAAAAAAAAGTTAAAAAAAAAATTAAACAAAAATAAAAACTCAATAAAATCAGAGGAACACTAAGCAAACAAAGAAATGGCAGGGGCAATGGTAAAAAAGGACGCGAAGGGAGCAAGGATATATTTAAATGTATGGTACACTTGGAAAAAGTTAAAAGGAAAAAAGAGAAAAGAAATTCTGGACGACGCACGCACAATATGAGATACCAGTTCCCCTTCCCTTCCCAAATCAAACACATTCCCAGGTTCAGTTTAGGTCAAGCATAACAGCACAGTAGATAAAACAAAGGGAGAAGTAAGTATAAAATAAACATGAACAAAAGCGGGAATCAGAGTGCGGGAAAAAAAAGGAAGAGCCACAGCAAAATATTCCACCAACCCCATAAAAGATTTGAGCTACTGTCCGAGTTGTAGATGAAACGCCAAAAAAAGCAAAGGAAAAGAGGAAAAGGAGATTTGACGCAAATGAATACGTTACGTGACCATCACATCTTCCCCACTTCGATCCATGTCCTGATCTTGATCCTGGGTCTGATCTCCTTCTTGATCCTGATCGCCATCCAGAATCCCAAGAAGTTGGGCATACGGGACGGTGACACGTTGAAGGTCTCGATGCTTACCTATAGCAGATTTAATAATCAGATAAAAGGATAAAAATGTTTGACAACAAAGAAATAATAAAAAGGCAAGAAAAGGGGGGAAATAAAAGGCGCACCTAAAGCTAAGACAACCTCGTTCAACAGCGTCCTCCTTGGCCATCCGCAAAGCTTATCCGAACCGTTGCCCCAGGTACCAGGTCCGGATTCTTCCTTACTACCCTGAGCTAATGATAACTCCTTAGACTTCACCGCTCCTCCCTCCATCCTCCTCGCAACACCGTTAGTATAACAGCTATCCTCATCAACCTCATTCGCGCAATCCTCAAAAATGCCGCCAAGAAGCCCTTCCAGTAACTCTTCCGCTTTCATTTTCGCTCCCTCAGCCCCGAGCCGTTTTGCATACATGGAAAGATAAAGGCGGAACTCCTCCTTGGCGCCAAGGGCGAGTGCGGCGGCAACACGGTTTTCTAGATGGGCAACAGAGACGCCAGCCTCAAAGCCCTCGAATCCCTCGCGGGAGAGAAGTGCCTTAATCAAACGCTGTAGGAAGAACCCACGACCTCGCACGAGTGCCTCGTCTGTGGTGTTACGTTCGAGGAAGGGGATCACGCCTGCTGACACCGGTGTTGTTCGAGTTTCACCGTCCTGTCGACTACTAGGAGCAATCGCAGCAGCAGATGAGGGAGAAGAAGCGGAGATAGACTGCAGGTTCCCGATGGACGAGTCTTTAGTGTTCCAGTACTGGCTGCCAACGGCCCACCAGCCCTCGGACATCCTTTGCCAGGTATATAGGGCAGGGGAGTAGCTGTAGCCGTCTCCGTTGGAGAGTGTGACGATTATGCGACCTTCGGAGTTTAATCGAGCAGCATTAATTGCGGGTGCAGGGGTAGCGTTGGGGCCTAGGGTGTGAACTGCTGCGTCCAGGATTGGAGCGAGGGAGATTGGTGGGTGAGGAGAGGACAACGTAGTCACGTTCCACACGTAGCACATGCCCACCGCATTTATGCAGAGAACCCATGGCCCGTTACATTCCAGAATCACAGGTTGGGCCTCCAAGACCAGAGCATTGAGCAGTCGACGTCCTGCTGGCGTCCAGATATATACTGATCCATCCTCCGATGCTGCAGACCATAATTTGCGGTTGCCTGTGACGAGAAGAACTGTTTTTGGGATGAAATCCTGCCACAGTGGTTGATCTCCGCGCGTAAGAGTAATCCGTACTGGTTCCCGATCTATATGACGGCCGGAAGAGGCAGGAGGGTTACGAGCTTCGAAAATGATATCTGCTTTAGGCCTTGGCGGGGCTCCTGAGTTCCCCCCCGCCCCCGTTGCTGCCGTTGTATCTGCTAAAGTAGTAGGGTTTCCTGACGAATCTATCGCTTGCAAAATATGGCTTCTGATCTTTGGCACAGCTAACCGTAGTTGGCTAATCGCCATACACGGATTAACCACAGCGGGCCTGATAAACTCTGGAGTCGGTCGAGGCCCTCCTTGAGCATCTCCAGGCTGCGCAGGTCGCAGACCTTCAGTCGCATTTGCCAGAATGGGCACAGATCCATTTTCCGAAGCCAATGCAACTCTCTTCTCGACAGACACCTCCTCATCCGCCCCTTCAATCTGTGCAAATTTTCGCTTATTCCCAAATAGTAGAGCCGCTAGACCGCCTTTCGGCAGGGCGTCAAATGGTTTTGAGAGATCTAGTATTGAGTCCGGGCCGTCAGGTCTTACGCTAGTGTTCATCGCCGTAGCCACCAACCGTGATTGGGGGAGGGACGACTCCGCACCGCCTGCACCCGAGACAAGGAGAGGTTGAATGCGCTTTTTCCCATCCTTGGTATAGGTAGGTCTTTGTTTGAGCCTCTCGAGTTTGGCCGCATACGGGTCCGGCTTATCTTGCTCCTCACTGGTCCCGTTCACAGGCCCATTAGGTTGGCCTTTCTGGGCAACGTTAGTACCACCACCAATTGGCGTAGAAGCTCCAGCAGGAGTCGTCGCATTAGAAGGCAGATTGACCGACGCGCTATTGGCACCCCGATCAGTAGAAACATGGCCATCTCCCATCAAAGCACCCATACGGCCTTCGACTCCCTTAATCTCACCAGCCTTGCTCTTTTCCTCTAGTAACAAGCCATTAGTAGACTCGACGATGCCAGCACCCCTTCTATTCGTGCCGAATTTCGTAAGTGACTTTTCATTCTCTTCTAAGGGCATAGGCTTTCCCAGTTCGTTGTTTTCAAATCGGACACAAAGGATCGTACCGTCCAGAGCTGTCACAAATAACGATTTGCCATCTGGCGACCAAGACAGGTCTGAGATGGCTTTGGCGGCTAGGTCCTGTGTGACTACGACTGGTCGTGGGTTGCTTGTGATCCATATACTGAGGGATTTATCCGCGCCAGCGCAGGCAATGACGGTAACCAGCGAATGCATCGGATGGCCCTGTTTATCAACAGGGGGTCTACTGGTAGGCTGTGAATCGTATAACCGAGGTGAAAACGCGCAAACTTCAATAGGGCCCTCATGGCCGATTAAATTGATATCCCCATCCCAAGATCCACGGTTAACTATCGCGACGGAGCTGACGGGTCCATTAACAGCATTGGCAGCAGCGATATGGTTACCGTCGGGCGACCAAGAACATCTCCTAAAATACGTAGTAAGGGGCGAGTTGACAAACGGCGCGGATATCGTTTGCTCCAGAACGAAGTTATTCATCTGATCGTGGGCCGTTGAGTTCGGGGTTGGTGGTGTGAAGCGGAATATCCGCACAGTCCTATCATCACCTGCTGTAGCAAAGTACTTGTTCGCCGGATCAAAGGTAATGCCTTTGACGTGACTCTGGTGGTTGGAGATCGTCTTCAACTTCTCAAAGGTATGGCCTGACCATACCACAACCTTCGAGTCCAAGCCAACGGAGACAAGAATGGAAGAATCATACGACCAGCCAAGATCTTGGACATCGTTATCGTGACCGATCAATCTGCGTATTGTTCGCCAGTTCTCAACTGGAGGCGGTTCATTTGTGCCTAACAAAAAATACATTAATATCTAAGTTCAGAAATAGAAAAGAGGAGAAGTACAAAAACACAAATAATAGCGCGTTTGTTGTTGTAGTTTCAGATAGATAAAAGCACCCTTACCAAAGCTCGACGCATGCGATGGCGGATTTGATTCTAGCACATAGATACAAACAATCTTATCATCCGCCCCAGACGCAACGTATCTGCCATTTGGCGAGAATCGCACGGCATGAATGGTCCCGGAATGATTACTCATGGATGCCAGCTGGCGTGGTTTTTTCGCAGAGGCAGGGTCAGCGACATTGTAGATTGCGTCTGTTGACCAGATACGAACATGGCCATCTATGCAATTCTTGAGTTAGAGATAAGACACCAAGCCATTATCCTGAGTGTAAATCCCTCAAAATCCCATTCACACAGGTCAGGGCATGTCCGCAGGGGACTTGGTGTCGGAGAAACGAAGAGAAAGTGGTTTATGTATATATGCATGCATCGCAACCAAAAATCGAGCGCTCACCTCCAGCAGCTGTAACAAGTCTCTTCCCATCCGGCGAAACATCGCAGCTGTAGACCTCGAAATCTTTCCGTTCACCTATAGTATAACAGAGCACCATCAGGTCAGCAAACTCAGCAATCGAAGGAAGTAAAAAGGAATACATTGTCCCCGCCAGCGCGGATACAAATAGGCACGTAGTAAACAGTGAAAAAAAGAGCACATACCCCCATGCGTCAGCCAAACAGGCTTGATAATATGCATCTTCCCTTTTGCTCCTCTGCCCTGTCTCTATTGCCCAATCTCACTTTTTCCTTCTCCTCGTCTCCTTTCCCGAGCTTTCCCCCTTTGCGCGTTTCCTATTTCCCCCTCGACGTCGCTCTGGCTACTATCCGCCCCGTGCCGTCGTCTCCTCCTCGCTCTATGCGTGCCTTTGCGATTTAACTCTTTTCTTGGCTACTGGGCTTGCGCGAATGCAGGTGCAGGTGCAGGTGCGGGTGCGGGTGTGGGTGAGTGGAATACGGTATGAAAACAGGGCGCAGAGGACTCGAGCATCTCAGAGCTTTAATGGTAGCGCGGGAATACTTTGCCGGAGGAGAATCGAGGTTCTTCGAGGGGTCCAGCCGCGGGGAGAGCGGAGTGTATGGAATAATCAGTTGTGTCCTCCCTATCCAATAAATACATGAATGAGTGGACGAGCAGAATGCGAAGGACGGGGCGAGACGAAGGGGAACACAGTCGGGTTGGTCAATCTTTCGTCCTCCTAGCTGTGAGTAGCGGGAGGTTGTGTCGTGTTGTGTTGATGCCGGTGCTAACGTGGCCGGAGTGGTTGTGGTGGTTGGTGATCGTTGAAGGTGTCGTTGAGTGAGAGGTTTTGGGGGAGTTGGCGCGGGCGTTGCCTGCTTGGTTCCGCGTTTTCTGCGGCGTGGTGCCAATTTCAAGGAACAGAGTTTGGCCGAGCTGCTTTGAGTCTGGGGAAGAGGAGCCTGGTCGACCATGCCATGTATTGCATGGATGGCTGATCTTTGATATAAGTTATAACAATCGGACTGTGTAGCTGCATTTTAATTTATCCATTGTTTTTTTTATTAGTTACAAGCATCAAACGCTCGCTTAAATACGCTCGCTTTGCTGCTTGCGCACCCCCCTCTATCATTTCCACCCTCTACCCCTACCCCCTCTACCCTACCACCGCCTCTACCGCACCGCAGCCCCCCTATCACTTCCACTCTCTACTTCCACCTCTCTCTTACCACTTCTATCATCTCTTCTGCTCTCTACCCTCTCTACCGCCACCACTACCTCTACCACCCCTACCACCCTCTTCCACCCCGTATCACCCCTATCACCCCTATCAGATTAATCAGAGTCATACAGGCTGCAGAGCCAGCTGTTCAATCCCATCCATGAATTCAAAGAGATGCACATGTTATCACATGAGATCATGTTACATAGCATTTAGCAGTGTATGCCATGAACACAGAGATCAAAAAATGAACATAGAGAAGAGTATAAGGAATGTAAATACTGTAGAGAATGTATGAAAAGAGCAGAATGAAAAAAAGATTGAAGATTTGAAGATTGATCTGAGCTTTATGAGCTGGAGCTCAAATATTTTTGATGAGGTGCATGTGATGTCATCCTACAGCGATTTTTGCATTGAAAAGTTGGTTTTTCTATAATAAATAGAGAGATAAATAGAGAGAAAATAGAGAGATTTAACAGTTGGTATATTTACACACACGATAGTTAGAATACAAGTACACTCTTGACCTCCCCTCCTTTTGTTCTGCTGGCCGGATGCCCTGTGGAAAAACCGACGCACGTAGAAGTAGAAATAAAATGAGACGACTGAAAAAAACTTAAAAAGGATCAAATTCACTGGCTCCTTCAAAATGCTGAGCGGCGTAGACAAAAAATCCTTCCCTGGTTTTCTTTTTTCAGAACCTAATTGGAAAAAACGAGGCAAATAAATAGGGATGAAAAGGCTGATGATATACTCGAAGTGGGGTGATCAAACAAGAAAGGAATGGGGGGCGAGAGAGAGAAATGGTGATAACGGTGAAATCCGGACAGTACATTCAGTTTTGAAAGCTAATAGACGGGACGACGAGCGTATGGGTGGCAGTTTGAGTTAGTCAAATCACGACTTTCTCCGCTGACTCGTTTGCTCGAATCCCTCAAGCACACTATCCGCAACGTCCCCTGGCGGCGCAGGAATGTTTTTAGCGGTGTCTCCGAAGTGATTCTGCGTCAGCTCCCCGGCCCTCGTCCTCTTCTTGGACCCTTCCTCGCCTTCTCCACCGTCTTCTTGTGATCCCTGCTCCCGTGCCCCAATCGCTTTTGCAGCCATAGCCTTAACTTGCCCTTCGTTCACCTTCCCATAGACGGCCATGGCACTGGCAATCATACCACTAATATCCCCGACATTCCCAGGAACAACAACAGCGGTGCCCTCGCGCGCCAGCTTCGAGAAGGCCTCGACATATTTCTCGGCAACGCTCAGACTGACGGCACCCTGGGCATTCTCCTGGCCGTCCCGCATGGCTTTGGCCACAGCATCAATCCCCTTCGCCGTTGCAGCGGCCTTGAGCATGATCGCTTCCGCCTCACCCGTGGCCATGTTAATCTGCTCGCTCCGAAGGGCCTCGGAGGCAAGGATGACGGACTGCTTGCGGCCCTCCGCGATGTTAATGGCACTCTGTCTCTGACCCTCGGACTCCAGGATTTCGGCTCGCTTGGACCTCTCCGCGGTGACTTGGCGGTGCATAGCGGCAACCACGCCGTCGGGGGCATGGATATCTCGGATTTCATATCGAAGACAAACAACACCCCAGTCCTGCGCAGCCTCGTTGATCGCCTGCGTAATATTCGTGTTGAGCGTTGCACGCTCCTTCAGCACATGATCCAGAGTAAGTTGGCCAATTTCTGATCGCATTGTAGTCTGTGCAAGTTGCGAAATGGCGTATTCCGCATCCTCCACCCCGTAGCTGTAGCGGAAAAGAAAAAAGAGTCAGCAATTCACCGTCCCCTCATATCAATATAACTTTAGTAAGAGAACGCGCGAATCTTGACAAAAAGGAAGATACCTAGCCTTATAAGCATCAAACACCCTCGTATATAACACACCATCCAACTCCAAAGTAACGTTATCCGCTGTAATCGCGTTCTGACTCGGAATCTCAATCGCCGCCTCCTTCAAACTCTTAACGTACGCGATACGGTCCAAAAACGGCACTAGGATCGCCAACCCGGGCTCGAGAATCCGATTAAACTTCCCCATGCGCTCCACAATCCACGCGGTCTGCTGTGGCACGAACCTGATCACCGTGTTCATGGGCAGTGATTGTCTGTGTGAGAAGTAGGTGGTTGGCCCCGGTTGAGCGCTGGAGGGGAAGCCAAAGGAATTTTCGCCCGCAAGGGGGCGGGGAGTGTTTGTGAAGTGTCGAGTTTGGTTGGGACATGTTGATACGCGGGGTCTGGGCGAGGAAGAGGAGGACAGTGAGCTGGTAGTGGAGGGGAGTGTGGCGGTTGCGGGAATGAAGGAGCGGGAAGCGGCTCTGGATATTAGTAGGTGGTTTGGCAGGTGCAACCGCACGCCGCTCGATAATACCCGCCGCGTTGCTGCGTCCATATTGTCTGTATATAGCTGAAGGCACCTAGTAGGCTATATGCAGAATTAAATGGAAGGTTTGGCGGAAAGCAGAAAGCCGGAGAACAAACAGTCAGTCTGGATGTTTTGCGGACTCATTCTGACCTTGCGGGAAAGCGGGAACATCTCATAAGGGCCCAATCCGGAAAGATTTGCCGAGCTCCGAATTATAAATATAACTTCGTAAAATTGAAATTAGAAAAATTAACTGGAAAATTATTGAATAATTAATGTGAAGCTATTATTACAGAAAAATTATTGTAAGAAAAAGCGTTTAAATTAATTAATTAATACAATCATGTTGGGGGTCCCGGGTTGATCGGCTCTTCTACGGTTCTACCAGCAGTGCGCTGGTGGTGACTGAGCTCTTTTGTTGGTGATTACTACACCTACTGTTGGTGATTACTACACCTACCCTAGTCACGTGTCACCCCAACCTATTCATTTAGTGTAACTCGCGTAGTTAGATTACAACACAACAACATTATCCTTCAAGAGGTTATGAAGCCCTCTACGCAATGAAAAGCTGCAAAATAATGTGCAATTGACATCTCCACACGTCGTTACAAGCATGCCTAGATGATTTATTGAGTGATTGAACCCATGATCAATTTAAGATCTGGTGGGACGCCTGACTTGACACAGGAGTACATTCCAAGAAGATGAGATATTCAGGAAACCCCTGAGAATTAAACACCAGAACCTAGCGGACTGTTACCAACATCAGTGATGAGCTGAAAAGCTGCCCCAGGGGCATTTGAACCAGTTGAAGAGATGATTAATGAGTCAAATGAGTTGAACAACAAGTATGAAGATCTGGTTGAAGATGCGATGTCAGACAACATGAGTGGTTCAAGTGGTCAAAGTGATAATACAAGTGAAGAAACATGTATGAAGTTGAATATTACAAGGCTCATACTAGAAGTTGAGTGATTGAAGACAGAAAGAAGTGAATTCTCTACATTAAATGAAGATATCAGTGCAGATTTGATGAACTATCTTCAGTGAAAGAGAAGAACACTCATGATAGTGAAGATTCTTAGTGAGTTCAGAGACTAGGTCAGACTCATTAAGAAACCAGTCATTCTCACTGACTTCATGAATTACTCAATGTGAAAAGAAGAGATTCTTCTTGCAGTGAGACAATCTGAAACTGATGATATTCTAAATAACAGGCAGGTTAGTTCTGATGAGAGTGTCAGTATGAATATACAATGTTTTTGATCAGAGTGAAATATCTGACTATATAACTATATATAGTCTGTGATTATCTCACAGGTTAAATCTTATTTCATTATACTCAAGAAGTCTCAACTATCTGCTTATTCTCTATGATCTGTCATAGAGAATAATTTTGCTGAGAGGCCTGCTGTTCACAGAACTTGCCTGTTTCAAGAATTGATTGAGATAATATTAAAATCAAAGAATTCTGATCATGCATTTATTGAATGTTTAATCACAATCAGGACTGATTATATCTGATTGAGATATAATATTGAAGATTTCATGTTTTTTAACAGACTTCTTACAGAGATTAGTAAAGGTTGATTGTCTTTTATAAAGAATTGAATGAATGCAATAGAGAAGAATGAGAATGCTAGAATACTTGAAGATGATTTCATAAGATTGTGTTGAGATATTCTTCTATAATTGTCAGCTACTGATGAATCTCTCATCTCTGATGAAAAGACCTCTGCAAATAATGCTCAAGATAAGGAGAAGGAGAAGGTCTCTGAGAACAAGGACAAAGATTTCACCAAGCTGAATAGAAAGGGTAATAATGCTATTAAAACATGTTATCATTGTCAGAAGATTGGCCACATTCAAACAGATTGCTGGTTGAAATTTCCTGAAAAATGTTCTACTAGCTGTGATAAGGATAAGGATAAAGACAAGAATGTGAAGAATATGAGTGCTGCTCCTGTTCACAATGTCATGAAACAAGTATTTTGCATCAAGGAAAAGGCCTATGCAAGTGATCAGATAGAAAAAGATACCTGAATTCTAGACTCTGAATCAGATGCCCATGCCACACCTCACAGGAATCTTGTCATGGCAAAACCTCAGAAGGTGAAAGTGATGTTGAAAATGACAGACAGAACAGTAATCTCTGCTACAGCTATAGAAGATATGAAGATTTCAGTGAAAGGAATGAATATGCTGTTAAATGATGTCTGCTATGTCCTGAAGTTAGAAGTGAACCTCATGAGTATGAGTAAGCTTGTATGTCAGGGTTATACCTATAAGCAGTTGATATATGAGAATAATCATACTATGTTAATTATGTCTCCTGACTGCATGTTCTCATTTACAGCAAGATTAAATGAGAATGATATCTATGAGATGAAAAGACTGGTTATATACAGAGACTTGATCTGAACTTATGATGATGCAATGACATCAAAAGCTAGAACACCTAAATTCTGTGAATATCATGAAAATGGCGGCGGATCCATGCCTGGGAATGAGGATTATAGGTCAACAAGCTTTACTGTTTTACAAGGTCTGTGTTCAAGCAAAAATGACACATTCAACCTTTGCATCTATGACATGAGCTGTCAAGCCAGTAATGAGATTCTTCATTGATCTGGCAGGGGGTGGAAAAACACTTTTCAACGGGAATGACACCCTCACTAGAGAGGGTGCAAGTTATTGATTGAGTATAACAGATGATGCAACCTGTTTATATGATGCTGAGTTGATGAATTGTGATTTGATTGAAAAAGAGAAAATCATGATGGAACATGTTGATTCTACAGTGAACATAGCTGATGAGCTCACCAAGTCACTGGTGAAGCCTGCATTTGAAGAATTTGTCAAGAGGGTTGGCATTCAGGAAATTGAGAAGAAGAAATGATTGAATGGTAATGATGATACAGCGGATCAATGGATTTTGCATGTATTTCTTGATTTTTACAGTTATTGCTGTACAGATGCCTTTCCTAATGAGGAAATCAGGGTCTGATTCATGTAATTAATTATTATTGCATTTTTGAAAGATTTGAGGATGGGGGAGGCCCCGGGTGGCGGCTTATAGGCCACGGTGTAGCAAGGGGGGGTGTTGGTGATTACTACACCTACTCTAGTCACGTGCCACCCCAACCTATTCATTTAGTGTAACTCGCGTAGTTAGATTACAACATAACAACGTTATTCTCCAAGACCTACTCTAGTCACGTGCCACCCCAACCTATTCATTTAGTGTAACTCGTGTAGATAGATTACACACATATAACATAACTATGTTATTCTTCAAGAGGTTATGAAGCTCTTTCACAAGCCTTGAGAACTGTAATAATATGCAAATTGATATCTTCATACATCATTATAAGTGTGTCTAGATAATTTATTATGTAATTGAACTTATAATTAATCTAAGATCTGAAGAGATAATCTGACTTAATAAAAGAATACATATCTTTAAGACAGAGAAATAAGAAAACATCAGAATAGCAGATGTAAGATCACAGATTATTATTAATATTAATAATAAATCAGAAGATAGCTTCTGAGAAGCTGAGAGAAATAATTACAGATATTTCTGAATTCAGTTATTTTCTTATAGCTGCTTGAGTTTCTGATAGAAAGTCTATTAAGTATTTAATTCCTATCTCAGTTGAGAATAAGAATCTCATATTTAATTAATTTAGATTATACTTCTCTTTCAATCTGACTCTGAGACTATTGTATAATACACAGTGCATTACAATATACTCAGAATTCTCATTTGTGTTACAGAATAAGCATTCTATTGAGTTAAATCTATCATCAAATCTTTGTATATAAGATTTGAAATAGTCATGTTCTAGTTTCAGCTGTATTATAGATGAGAATATTTTCTTTTTACATTTAATTGAACAAGATTTTCACTTGAGTTTTATTTCAAATCTTGAATAATGTATACTCTTCTTTTATTTCTGTCAGCTTTCATTTCACTTGTCTAAACAAGATTCTTTTATTTTTCTCTTTATAAAAGATCAGAACACAATTTTTTGAATAAATCTGCTTAATTCTACACTCTTTTTTACAGCTGAATCAGTCAATTCATTGTCATGAATATTCATATGAGCAGGAACTCAGTGCAGATAAATTATCAGCTTTGATATTCATCTCTTTTGAATTTTCAAAACAGAGTTTAAGATCAGTTCAAGATTCATTTAATTATTATAAATCTGACTATTTCTAAGTCTTTTTAAAGCAGCTTAACTATCAGAGAATATTTATATCTCTTTCAAACAATTTCCTCTTTTATGAGATTTTATTTTAATAAGTTTGAAAGCTTTCACTATTATAAATAGTTCAGTATCAAAGACTTCACATTCAGAGTCTAGATTTCAGAAATCTGAGATAAAATTGATATTATCTTCAGTATAAGCAATGTCTGTGTCTAATCTATTCAAGTTCTCATTTTTTGAGTCATCTGAATAAATCAGAATAGAGTCTTTTATATTAATTGTAGAAATTCTCTTTAAATACTGTTTATATTCTTTCTCTTTTAATAGTTCACTTATTTGTAAGTTTATAAGAGATTCAAGCTTTTCTCTCTAGAGAGATAACTTCTCATGATCAACTTTTTCAACATTTAAAGAAGAAAATTGATTTTTAATCAGAGAGTATAGTCTGTACAGTTGAGAAGACATTTTCTTTAAAGAATTATTTTCATTTCAATCAAGAAATCTATTCTAATTCAGTTCATTTTCAGAGTTAATTGATGAAAATGAAGAAGAGACTCTTTCTCTGATTATATAATTTAAGCTCATCTTTACAACTCTCAGAGTATAGTTTATACAGGCCTTTTCAAATCTAATAGCAGAAGAAGGAATTGAAGCTTTAATTTTCATTGCTTTAATAGAAGATGATTTGAATATTTCTAGAATTCTTCTCAAGACTCTGTTTTACAGACTTTGAAAGAGTTCAGTGAAATTCTCTTGATTATTTCATCAAACTTAAACTTCATAATCAGCTACTGATGTAATACAGACTATATATAACTGTCTCATAGCCTAGAAGAATAGACCTCTCTCTGTATTTGATAGTCTGATTATATTGTTTAATAGTCTTTCTGTCTTGACAGTTCTTTGTTGAATGTGATATTTAAAATTCAACTTGAAGTTTAATCATACTTCTAATCATTTGACATTTACACTGGGTTTAATCTCTCTATTTAAAAGAGTTAGAGATAGTTCTTTCTCATTGAATCTAGAAAAGAAATGAATTAACTCAGTTTTATTCATATCAAATTGAATTTAATTGATATCTACTCTAATAAAGATTTTCTTTACAGCTTCTTCAATTACTTTCAAATTCTCTTTGATAGTTTTTGAGCTGTAGACTAGACTAATATCATTCATATAACTCAGAGATCATACTATTCTCATATTTCTATTTTTGAATAGATATGCAGTGTATATTGCAAATAAAATGAGTGAGATTGAAGATCTCTGTAATACTTCTATTTTTATCTCAGTCTTGTCTTATTTCATTTCATCAAAGAAGAGTTGTATACTTCTTTTAGATATAAAACAGTTAACTCATTTTATTAGAGAAAGTAGCAGTTTTAATATCTTCAATGTCTCAATTAACTTTGACTTTGAAACATGATTAAATGCTTCTTTTATATCAATAAAAACTGCAGTTGAGACCAGACTCTCATGCTTTGCTATTTGAATATCATGAACAACTGAGAGAACAGTGTCAATTGCAGAACACTGTTTTCTATCTCTCATTTATTCACTGAATAAAAGAGAATTATCTATAGAGCTTATAAAAGATAGTTGAGTAGCTATTATCTTTTCTAAAACCTTTTCTAGGCAGTTCAATAGAGATATTACTCTATATGACTTAGAAATTGAAGTTTTTCTATTAGGTTTTGTAAGAATCACTTCAGTGACTTCTCTCCAGCATTCAGAATGATATTCATTTTTCAAGAGATTGAAAAAGAGCTCAAAATATTCATTCTTTAAGTAGGAATATATATTTTGAATAATCAAGTGATTAATTGAATCAGGATCTGCAGCAGTTTTAACAGAACTTGAGAAGATAGCTGACTCTAATTCATCTTGTATAAGATCAGGCCATTCCCAGTCATTTTCATCAATGTAGTTGAGAAGTGATATATTCTCTTTCTCTGAATCTGAATCTGAATCTGGTGAGTTCTGAAAGAGAATTCTCATGAAAGCTTGACATTTTTTCTCAAAAGAGTTTGCTGTATATGATTCATTCTGAAACTCATATTCTAAGGCTGGAAGTTTTGCTACACTTCTTGTTTTAGTATAGTTAAAAGCTTTAAAAACTTTCTTTTCTTATGCTTCTTCAAGAAATTTATTCCAGCAGTCTGTTTTAGCTCTTTTAATATCTGAAAAATATTCATTTCTGACAGCTTTGAACTCTTCATCAGATATTATATCATTCTTTCAATCTCTTCTAGCAGTAGCTAGTTCTTTTCTTTTAGATGAAATATTCTCATTTCATCAAGATTTTGAATACTCAGAAGATTTTCTCTTTGAAATATTATCTCAAACACTTGTTAGAATAATAGATGTAATAAGCTTCACTCTATTCTTAAGCATTTCATTTGAGATATCTTGATTAGAATTTCAATATAACTCATTCTGTCTTTCAGAATTTAACAGTTTTATGCTTTCTTCAACTACTTTTCAATCAGCTTTTTCAAAGTTATACTGATTAGAGAGAAGAGGATTTTCACTCATTTGTTTTTCACTCAGTTCAATATTAAATTGAATAATCTCATGATCTGATTCTGATGTCTCATTTGAATTAATAAACCAGTTTACAAGTCTTCTTTTCATTAGATTTTATGATATAAAGATTAGATCTATAATAGTGTAAGAATAAGTGCTCGCAGGCGATTATTCAGGTGTTTGCAGCTTGGCGTGATATGTACTGTTAACTACTAGAAGTATTCATAGTAGAAAGATAAAATGTAGAAGTCAAATGTATAATAGCATTTAAGCTGAGTTATGAATAGTATTCACAAACTC